GTCTTATCATATATTGATTAATATATACTGATATACAGATTTTTTTATGTTGATAGGTAAACCGAGAATTTTATTATTTATGGCAAATTTACATTAATGTTCGTACGTTCGTGGTTGTGATTTGATTTTTACTCTGTAGAGTGATATATTGATTTCTTATTTACGTCAGAGCTTTGTCTTTCGGCGGAAGGACTTTTGAATAATTAGATTTTTCAGGGAATATAATTTCGAAATATTCAGACGATAAATGACGCGAATTTTGTAAGGTCTTTCGTTTATCTTAGGTCTTTAGTTATATAAGTATTATGCGTAATGCTGGTGCATTGTTCGATCATTGCAGTTGTAAATGCGACAGATTTTCTGCATCTTCAGTTTAATAGTTCTTACAGATTTTAAAATATTTTTTATAATAAAATATCTATGACGGCTATTTTCACTTTGGAATGCTGTTATTAGTTTAATAACACCAAAAATGTTTTTTCAAAACAAAACGGTTACGCCAAGTATTAAAAGTGTAGCCATTTCATAAAAAATAAATCCTTGCTAAAAAAATACCAAGCAAAAATATTAAATCAAATCCAATAAATTAGCCAAGCAAAAAGCCTGTGGTGTACTGGTATGTGTGAGGAACGGCCCGGCGAGAGGGCACGACAAATGTAAGAGCGTAAAATAAATGTAAAATCGGAGGAAATAAATGCTTTTGGTTGTGGTCAAGGGAGCCGATTTGTTCGCAGGTTTCTTAAGACCTTTCCCGTACATTACAATCACCTAAAGTTTTATTAATTATTAAATCACCATTAAATCATAATTAAATACGGGAAGCAGCAGTAACATACAAGAGTAGCGAAAACGTTATAGGAAACATTGAAAATATAATTAAAATGATGGGCCAGTGGTAAATCATATAATAGGAAAACATGTAGTGACTTATGTACTTGGCCTCAATAAATTAGCCAAGCAAAAAGCCTGTGGTGTACTGGTATGTGTGAGGAACGGCCCGGCGAGAGGGCACGACAAATGTAAGAGCGTAAAATAAATGTAAAATCGGAGGAAATAAATGCTTTTGGTTGTGGTCAAGGGAGCCGATTTGTTCGCAGGTTTCTTAAGACCTTTCCCGTACATTACAATCACCTAAAGTTTTATTAATTATTAAATCACCATTAAATCATAATTAAATACGGGAAGCAGCAGTAACATACAAGAGTAGCGAAAACGTTATAGGAAACATTGAAAATATAATTATTCATTTAATATCGGAGTGTGCAGCAACTCCGGGTCATACGGTATACTCATGACATTGCCCGGCAATAAAATCGGAGTAGCTTTTACACGAAATTCGTACGGGAGAAACTCATAACAGAAGTCATAGAAATCATTGCGAGTTTTTATGATTTCCAAACGAGCCATCTCCTTCATCAAGACCTCAATTTCTTTGATATAGTTGTTGTACTTCTTGCGTCTTATGGTCAAGGATACAACGTCGGCAAGCATGATTATAAATTTTTCCGAACGTACTCTTGTATTTAATTTGTATTTTGGTTCAAGGCGTTTCCACAAATATTGGTAAAGACGATTTGTCGCCCATGATTTTGGTCTCGGAAGTTTTGGCCTTTTGTACACTCTGCCATTTACTATGTAAGCTTTGTCGACTTGCTTAGGTTTTTTAATGGACTCCTTGTTTGTTAATTGAAATGGTCTTTCATTCGGTATCGTAGGTTTGTTGATTCGATCTGATGGAATCTTTGTTAGGTATCTGTCTATCTTCTCCAATTCACGTTTCTTTATATTGTCCAATGTCTTCTTTATTTCCGCCATTTTATCTTTATCCTGTAGAATTTGTGTACTTGCTTGATCAGCATTTTCATTTAATATGATCTGTTTTTTGGTTGTTCGAGAAATTTTGAAATTCGATGTTACACTTGAAATAATTGTTGGCCTTTTAACGATGTTATTTATAGACTCTGAAACAGATGGACCGTCTGCAATGTTATTATCAATTATTTTGTTGTTTTGTGTATTCTCGTTTATCTCAGATTCGTGTTGGAGTATGCTACCGATTTTATGAATTTTATTTGTTTGTAACGTATTACTTATTTCTGGTTGGTCTACGGTGGATGATTCAATTTGGAACATACCATTTACAAAATTCTCGTTACTTATACGTTTCATAGGGGAAGGTGTTGATGGAACAATCTTTTTGTTGTAGGGTGTTGATTGTGATATAGGTATCATTCCTAAATTACTTATTGAGGGAGTATCTGGACAGAAATCAACGTCACTTCTTTTAGTTGTATTTGATACGGGTGAATTATTATCCCTTGGTACTTCGGTGGGACTTTTGTCGGAAGTCATATTGGTGTTTGAATCTTTAATGCTTTTGCTGGAAAGAATATTGTCAAATACGTCGGCTGCTAGACTTTTATGCAATTTTCTGAGGAAATTTGGTTTGGATTTTGGTAAGTCATTTTCATCTGATTTTGTCTCATCGTTCTTTGAATCATCTTTATTGTGAGTTATTGATTTCTTTGGGGATGAAATTTGAGATGGACTGATTGGACTTTCTGAATCTCTGTTAAGAGATTCTTCAGAAATTTTTGAATTAATTTGATTATTCTCAATCGAATGACGCATATCCTTACTCTCCGTAGCTAAATTTTCAAGACTCTCCGATTCAGTACTATTTTGATTTTGAGATATCGATTTTTTAGATGATAATAAAAATTGAACATTTTTTCTGCTCTTGTCATTCTCCACATTTTCTATAGTCTCCTCTGTTTTCTCAGGAGACTTATTACGAAGGTTAAGGAATGACATGTGCAAACGTTTTATTGATTTTGGAGAATCCTGTATATTAGACTTGGATTGACTACGAATCATTCTAAATCTTTCAACATTTTGTGATTGATTCATATTTAATCGATAAGATTCGTTTATTCGATTTAAAGATGCTGTCGAACGAGTTCTTCTGCCAGCTGTTAGAGCTTTTCTCTTTGCAATCGATGGATTTCCAGATTCACTCAATGAGTTATCTGCATCTGAACCTGTAGAAAAATCTGTTTTTTCTATGTGACTAATGTACATTGATGAATGTGACGAACGTGTTTGCCTTTGAGGTGTTGTAGGGTTCGTTTTATTTATCTGACGAGCTGATCTATTCATATTTTTGGATTTTGAATGATCTTGAGACTCATCAACGGTTTTCTTGTTCAATACTTTTTTGGACATATCTTTATGTTCAGAATTTTGTTCTTGATATGGACGATTATCCGACCCTTGATCAATTAGTAATCTTGAACCAATTTCTGATACTAAGTTATCTATTTCTGGTGAATGAGTTAATATTATCATAGGATTTAGTGTGTTTGAACGATTTAATGATTCCGAAGTGTTTAGTTGACTTTTTAATTGAGAAGGCGTTTGTTCCTTAGTTTTTGAGTTAAATGAATTGTTCTCGGAATTATTCATTTTTGAGTGTAAAGTCTGAGTCATCGGTGCTGGACTCATTGATAAATTATTTGCATTAGATGCTGGATCATTCTCAGCAGTAACATTTTGCTCGTTTGATTCTTCCATAGTATCATCGTCTTCTATTGCCTTCTGCACCATAGAACCCAGCAGACTTAATCGTTTCTTTTTAAATATATTTAGCCTTGACTTCTTTATAGATCTCTCAAGAGAATCTTTACTTTCATTAGCATTTTCGATGCTTCTTGTTGAAGTTATATTTTTATCCTCTGATAATAGGTCATCAAACACATTTCCTGTTATTTCTTTATGTTTTGTATTTCTAAGTATTCTTTTTGATTTTATAACATGTTCGTCATTGTGGTCACTCTCTCTTGAACTATCATTAAACCAACTATTACTTCGATTTAAAGAATTATCTTCCTCTGTTTTATGAGCATCACTAACAGCACTGTGTCCAGAAAGGTGCTTATGTTTAGTTTTAATGATCTTAAACATTTCAGATTATATGGTTAAGTTATTAACAATTTTTACATTGAGTCTGAGTGTTATTATTCTTACAGCTATAATGTCAGCGGTAGTACCACATGTCGAGAAAGATTTAGATTTAAGTAATGCTGGTCGTGGTGTATGGCTGGTTAAAGTACCAAAGTATATAGCCAATAAATGGGAGAAAGCTCCTGGCAATATAGAAGTTGGCAAATTAAAAATAACCAAGTGAGTAAACTAATTTTTACTCATAGGATATATACAGAGGTAACTTGTATAAATTATTCTAGAAACCCTGGACAAAAGGCAGAGGTATCTCTGAAACTATCAGAGGCTGTTTTAGCATTAAAAGAACCTGGAGAAGAAGATATTCCTAAACAACACAGACTCGATGTAACAACAGTAACACGACAAATGCTTGGTGTTTTCTCTCATGTTACACGTCAGTTAGAACTAATATTTTCAAATAATAAAAATACACATCGGAAGAAAGGGTGGCAGCTATGAAATCAAAAGAAATAGAAGAGATCATTCTCACGGACTCGGAAATAGATCAAAAACTTGAAGAGTGTAATAGATGTAACAACTTCAGTATCACTTATGTGCTTCCACCATTCTTTTGAATATTCAAATGACTCAATTCTTGATTCTGGATCAAGTGAACTGCTGGCACGATTTGCTATGCTTACTCGCATGGATCTTCGTGCCATAATGGAATCACCATCCAAGTTCTTCCACCACAATGGATTATCTTAGTTAAAACTAATATTTTCAAATATTTTCTTTAACCATTACACTCGTTTAGAACAATCGTGGTGCAAGTGTAAAACTAATTGAGACTAAAAACATTTTTGATTTTTAAAGCTTCCAGTAGCTCAGATGCCATTGTTCCAGAAACAGAAAAGTTGTTTATGGAAGGTAGAATTGTACAGAAATTAGAATGTCGGCCCTATGGTGCGTACTTTATTCCTCAACGATAATAGTACTTTATATTAAGAATAATTTATGAACATTCTATTCACAGCCGATAATTGTTACATGAAACTGAAGTTGGAAAGTATTAAAAGGGCATCAGTACCTCAAAGACAAGTTCAACAGTTAGATAGAGTAGTCCAAAATTTCAAACCAGTGTCAGATCACAAGCATAATGTAAGTTTGATTTACTGCTTCAAAATTCCAGCATTCTAATTATGTAAATTTATGTAGAGTTCTTGAATATTTGTTTTTCTTTATTCAATCTTTCCAGATCGAATATGCTGAAAAGAAGAAAGCAGAGGGCAAGAAGATGCGTGATGATAAGGATTCTGTACTCGACATGTTATTTGCTGCATTTGAAAAGCATCAATATTATAACATCAGGGATCTTGTGAAAATTACCAGGCAGCCTATAGTAAGTTATTAGAAATAATTTATCTATTTGACATTGTATGATCACTTTTGTCTACTACCTTTTTTTACCTATATATGTATTTCATTTCAGGTATATTTGAAAGAAATTCTTAACGAGGTATGCAATTATAATTTAAAAAATCCACACAGAAACATGTGGGAATTAAAGCCTGAATATCGTCACTATAAAGACGAAGAGAAACCTGCCGAAACAACAACCACTAAAACCGATGATTCTGACGATGACTAATCTTTATACTCTTCAATATCTTTAATATTTCTTATGCAATACATATTTCATCAAGATGAACAAAAGGATTTGATAAGACTTTGACATCCACGATACTTTTCGCACTCAACCAACGCTATCAACTTTAATTACAATTTGATATTTGATTGTAAAATACGAAGGAAAGAATTAGACCAATTTAAACGAAAAATTCTTACGTTATGATGTACAAATTGTAAAAAAATCTATGATCCAAGAAGAATTCTAATTCTATTATCAACAATAAAAAAACCTTTTTAATGATATGGTGCATACATCTATAATAATATGATTAAGAGAAGAAAGTCAATGACATTGATATGTAATTTTAGTTTTATTGTTTGATATACTCAGACCGTGCAACACGACGATTGCGCGGCGTATCGCGGTATAGAAACAATTGCTATTAGGGTATGGTACGGGAGTTCACAAAAATACTTGAAGACGTTCGTGTCTGCTAAAACTAGATCATTTAAGCATATCTACATATGAAGGTTTTACAAAGGTCTTTAAAATCGTATCTAGTTCACTGTCAGATAATACAGAGGGCTATTTCTTATTAGTACTGGAATATAATCCAATGGATACATTGTCAATGATTCGTGATTATCCACAAGTGCCTCAAATATTAAAACTAAATGATTCTCAATACAGTATAATAAGCCTTTTCTCAGTCGATCATAAAATTCTAAACGTGCTTTACAGTCATTTCTAAATTTCATAGCCAATTTTACAGTACAATAGTATATCTCTTCCTGTGACTAACCTGATAATATACCAACTGCTATGAGATACGTCTCAATGCACAATTAATAAAATGGCACAAAACGTATTTACTGCATTCTACAATTTTGGTCCAAGACTTATAAATAATTTCAAAGGTGCAGACAATATTGAATATCATCAGGTAGTGTTAGGATTTGATGACTCTTGGCAGACTGTAATCGGTTGAATGAGACAATTAATTTTTCATTGTCTCAATAGGCTAGTGGTCACTTTCACAATGATGAAAAATTGTATGACACACGACACTGGTACAAAAAAATATTCTTACAGAATATTTACTACTTTGTTAACAGACTGCGAATAATCTTCTTTGGTTTGATTATAATCTGCCACAGTCAATGAAGACTGTCAAAAAATTAATAATGGAACACTGGTAATACGATATACAATTATTATGAGAGCTATATGTGACATATGTATTGTGGATAATTAAAAACAGAAATAGAAAGAAAAAAGAACAAATCTTCTGGTTTCTTCATTAGGCTATGTTATCTGTCCACAGTAACAAACACAAGGTTCTCTATTCTAATACATTCTGGTTATTCAGTTGCTGACAGTATTCATGAGGATAAGATTCATTAACTCAGGACTAAGCGCGTGGGGTGTCTGAGACACCCAAAATCAATTCTCTTCAAGTAGAGAACAGAACTGCGCGGCCATTCCCGAGTTAACGAATGTTAACTGTTATTTAATTATGATTTATGTCTCAATCGATATAATGCATAGATATTAATATATGTAGTATAGTTGAATTAATTCATGATAATAAATGAAAATCAATGTCAATTAAATAATTACGTTGGAACGTCGATGCAGGATGTAATATCTATTGTCAATCGTTGTACAGTTCATAGTTAAAGTTTCTAATGTCCTTTTCTCTTAAAGAATATTCTTTGCAAAACCTTGAAAATCCTTTCCAATAAACTTTTAACAATATCAAATGCTTAACGTAATGTTTATAAAAATGTCTCGGTCAAAAATCAAATCGATTTTTTAATATATATATATATATATATATATATATATATATATATAATATATATACATATACAGTTCCTCCCATACTACTAAAACTGATTAAAACTCCGTAGCTTCATTGATTATCTTCGTTGCCTTCCTAAACGAAAAACGCATTTAAATAATTTATATAACATTACTGTATATAGCACTAGCTATTGACTGCCGAAATTTCATGAAAACAATAATTCCCATTACTGTCCATTTTGTAATGTAATGTCCATTTTGAGACCTATTTAAAGCAGCACTGAATGTATTTGAAAAACTTGAAATATTTAGGTATAAAATGAATGAGTAGAGAAATACTGCTAAGTGTATCAGTAAATAAGCGTTCAATATCTAATCAAATAATATTATTTATTTCTTTTTTAAACGACAGTTTGAAAGGCAGTGTATGCATGTACACCTGCTACTCGTCACTTCGAAGAGAGCGCCAAGAAACCTATGAATTCGTTATAAAAATAAAAATTTTCAAATGGACCAAATTTACGGTTAAATTAGTGAATATACCGTCTAGGACGACACAGTCATCTTCATCTTAGGCATTTGATTTCTATCAATCGAATAGTCGAGTCATCCATTGTTCGTTATTAATTTTTCGACTCCTACCTAACACCAGATGTTATTTAGACTTTTACCAGAAATTAAAATGACACACAATGGTCAATTTTACCATGAATTTTGTACCAACGAAGTCTTCCTTTTGATTGAATTTTATTCTCTTACGAATTACGAACGACGAATGCACGTAATTTTATCTATGCTGAATGAGATCGCTCTCCGTCACGTTTGAAATGTTATAAAAATTGTACGGTAGATTCGGTTGTAAGAAATTTTGTAACGCAGCCGGCACTGTATTAAAATACGTTGTGTTTCTTTCGCGAAATACCGTCTCTTGTACAGTGACTGGAACTTCAGCCTGAAAGCTTTGGATGGCTGTGGTGGGTATTGCCTGAACAACGATGGGTTGAGATACTGAGGTATGAGGCACTGCTTGTATAACCTATAATACATATATTAATTAATCCTTTTCATGTAAATAAAGGAACTAATTATTAAATTCACTCACTTCGTCTTACTTACTTGAACTGTTGTAGGCTCATTGTGTTGCGGCATGGCAAGTGTATCATCCGGTGTGGTAGGTTGTGGCTGAGACTGTGGTGGCTGCTGTTGGTGCTGATGTTGATGTTGTATATGTGGCTGTGGTTGTTGCAGATGTTTGGTATGTGACGTATTAATTCCATGCCTACGTTTCATATGTTTATTGTAATTTGGCCAATTGGTAAAGTGATGCTGACATTCTAAACAGCTGTATGGCCTCTCGCCAGTGTGTTGACGTCTGTGAGTCTGAAATAATAATATCAATAATTACTTTAATTTTATAGAGAAAAAAACTTTGTTCTTGATCATTGGCCTCTCCTGAATTATACGTTATAGCATTGCCATTAAAAAAAATTATTGAATACTCGGTAAACTATTACATCAATCTAGGACATTTTCATGTGCTATTAATAGTATGTCTATTGTTCTTTACTCACAGTCAATATTCCTTTGAATCGAAAGCATTTGCCACAGAATTCGCATGTGAATGGCATTGCACCTGTATGTATCCTATGGTGTTCACGTAATGTTCCTTTCTCCCTAAATGTTCTCCCACATACAGCACACTGATGAGGTTTGGCACCGGTGTGAACTGTTTCATGTTTCTTCAATTGAAGTGGTGTTTTAAATCTATAATATACCATTTATTTTGCACTGTTAACTATTCCTTATCCGATAATACAACTCATAGCATGAATTAATGACTTACGCTTTGGGACATTGAGAACAGGTGTATGGCTTATCAGCAGAATGTGTTAAGAAATGTGCCTCCAAGTTTCCTTTTTGTATAAAACTCTTACCGCATTGATCACACGTGAAATTTCTTACACCAGAATGAATACGCTTGTGCGTTACCAGATTTGGCTTTGTGGAAAATCTGAAAGAAATATTTCTGTAGAAATATCGATATGTATAAACGAGAAACTCAACATCGTTTCTAGGAAGATAATATAGTGATACTAAGTATTTATATAATAAAGAATTTCTTAATAGGCTAGTATTTTCTCTCCTTACCTTTTATCGCATTGGTCACATGGAAACCGATTTTTCATAGTATCTGGTAAATGGCATCGACTATGAATATATAAAGCACTCTGCTGCCTAAACGCTTTTCCACACGTTTGACAAACATGAGGACGTTCTTCACTGTGTATTGCTTTGTGAGAATCCAATACTTTTTTGTGAACAAAGGATTTTCCACAATCGTCACAGCTGAGAGAGAAACCGTTTATACGGTGCATATTAGGCTCTGCTGCTTGCAGTTAAATGTAAATGTTTTCTAGCACAATGATAATGACTTATTACTTACTTAAATTTTGACTTGTTTTTATGTCTCTTTACATGGGTAAGGAATCCATAGTATTTGTCGTAGACCTTACAGCATTGCACGCACATATATTTTGCTTTTTGATTGTGTACAGTTGCGTGGTGATTTTGTAATGTATCTCGGCTTGGTAATTTTTCATTGCAGTCAGTACAAAGCCAAGGATATCTTTCTAAACCTTCTCCTCTTTTACGACCTGGTTTTGAAGGCTCAGTTTCACGAGCTTCAATCATTTCCATATCAGACTCTGTCCCTGTATTTATAATATAATATTATGTCTATTTTATATATTTAATGTCCATCAAGAGTATATTAAGCAAAATCAAATACAATTTTTCTCACCTGTCATATAATTTTCAGGATAATGTTTTAAAGAGACTTTTGCATTCATGTCATTATGCTCCTCTTCAAAGTCTGAAGCTATTCCTAATTCTAAGTCTTCCATTTTTTGTGCTTGAGATCTCCTTTTTAATCGTTTTCTTGTTTGCTTGGGAGAATTCTTCTTCACAGGCGTTCTACACTTTCTTTGCTTTGTAGACTCTTGCATTTCCTCAACTTCATATTTAGATGGGTCACTGTCATTATTATCATCATTGAAATAACTGTCATTGATTTCATTAACAGAATCGTTAATGTAATTATCAGACAAGTGACACTCAACAATTCCTTCCGTGACTTCCTCCTCCTTTGGAAATTCTACTGCCTTCTCCACATAATCTACATTTGGCTCTAATGGTGGAGATTCAGACTTTGGATCTATCAGTAGCTGTCGAAGGGAAGTTTGAGCTTGATTAGTCTTTTCAAAGAATTCGCTGCACTGGTTTAAAAGAACACAGCAATCGATGCAGACTGACAGTGGAAGACCATCTGTTATTACCACCTATAGAAAAATAGTAAAATTGTATTACATTAAGAGATAAGTAAATAGAAATACATTTAACTAAATAAATGTCTTGTAGACTTAAAACATACCACCAAAATCTAAGAAGCACAAAGGAATAGGATGAAAAGAAACTTGAAGAAAACATAATTCATAAACTGAATATTTATTAAGCTTTTAAAAACCAAAAGAACCACATAACAATCTCAATTACAAAAGTACTGTTCTCTTAAGACTACACATCAAAACTAAAAGACAGCTACAATATAGACTGATATAAAAATAAAAATACAAAAACAATACTCCCAAAAAATATTAAACATCATTAACTAAGACAAATTATTCAGATTAAATGTAAAACTATAAAATTCTTATAAGAACAATATGCCTCCCTTAAAAGCACACTGACAATAATAGCGTTCGAGGATGTTTCTGCGTTGGTAAAGATGTCAAACCGAGTAAGAACGTTATAAAGATAATTTAACGGAAGCAAATAATAATAAGATAAATGAAGATAATACAAAAGAAAGAGCAGGAAAAGCCGACAAGCGGGATGCAATCATAGACACAAATTACAGCAGCGTTTATCGACTGTACCTGAATCTGCAAGCACTTGGCAATCTTAGCCTCTATCGCAAGCTTTTGGCCCTCGGCGTCATAGATTCCAATGAAGTTCTCTTTGGTCTCGGCGCAGAGCCGGCACAGCTCCGGCTCGGACATTATTTTCCAAGGCTAACCGGCGACAATGAAACTCGGACACTGAGCATCCTCGGGGCACTACTAAATCGCGGATAATCCAAAGTTACGCGTTCAGAGGAATAGCTCGTAAACAAAAGATCGGCGAAGACGCTAACCGGAGGCCGGACATATTGCTCCAATGTGTTAAAGAAAAATATTCCTTTTCATAGCCTAAATATACTTCATTACATGTAATCTATGCGTGTCCGTTTAACCTCAATGAAATCGCATCTAGCTAAGAAAGGCTAGAACGATTATTCGTGTCACGACATAATTTTTCACAAGATATTTTACTTATTTTCACATTTTATGTGCCAAAAAGTGGTCTGCTGTGTTTACGCATGCTCCGTTAATCAGCACCATCTGCGGGCGATCAATGTTACTATAGTTCCACACATTCACACGCGCATCACGTTCGAAACAATTGACAGTCAATTGTTTAAAGACAATCTCATGAATTAATTTGATTTTATTCGCTACTTTCTTTAATTAGTATTATTATATTATCCTTAGCTTATTATAAATTATCGACAATTCGTGATCGACAGTGATCAATGACGCTTGTTCAATCTCCTAACAATATAAATATCTAGTACTCAATGCCCATTTTTCTCACGTTTGGATCGTTGAATAATATCTGTTTCATAGGAACTAATGCAGACTGTATGCAGTAACAGTTTTAAAGCGAAATAATATTTAACGAAACTCTCATCTTTTCAGGACAGTAGTCCAATGTTGTCTCGATGATTCACGTAGGCCCTGAAAGGTTTCGGTACGCATACGTCATGTAACGACGAACCATTTATTACTCTCTACATATCATGGATCAACAGACATTTAACGTATGTCCGTTACCATATCTTCTAGTTAATCGGATGCGATTAAATATTCTACAATTGATAGTGTATATATTTTTATTTTATCAAAGGGTACCGAATAATATTCCGTCAACTGTTTCTGGGTCACCTACATAGCACATCAGACATTATTGTCTCTAACGGTACCTAAGAATATTTTCTGACAATACATTGTGTTGGGAGACACACGTCACAATTAACATAAAGAATGGCAAAGATGAATTCTTTTCCTTTGTGGAAAAAAAAAATGTTTGGTATGCAATACATTACAAGAACCGTCTTAATTGTGCAACATTTAATCAGTAGTGTCTACATTTATGACAGAGTCGTATCTAAAAAAGCATGTATCTTTGTTCTTATTTTATATGCTACATTAATTAAGAAAATCATTTCCTTGTATTATATAGTATGAACAGCTACATTATAATTCAGTTGTTTATTTTAAAGAAGAATCAATCCAACAAGGTTGAGGATAATCATGGTCGCCAAACAATCACAGCAGATAATCGAATACGTGGAAAGTTAGTAATATTATTTACCGCAATAATGTCTGTTATAAAGTGAGTATAAAAATTGTCTCCTTGGTACAGACAATCATAGTACTCTCACCAGTCAATGGCGAATTGACACTGTAAGTCCTTTCTATAATTCTTAAAATAGCTGTTAACATTACCGATTTTAATCGAATTCACGAAAATAATGTCCCACACAGGCACATTGGATACACTAAATCTAGAATCGTGTCTTAGAAGACAGGCACGAACGGAAAGATTTACAAAGATATCGACTTTTTAAAATTCCGAGGGTGTGTTAGCGAAAGTCTTCGTTTTCTCGCAGGCGTTTGTCAAAGAGAAATAACCAACGAAGTTGAACAAACATATTGAAATGAGAATAAGCCTTTAAAGGACCACGATAATTTCACTATAATAAATTTATCAAAGATACATATCAACGAAGTACATAGTCAATGAAGCTCTTAATTTTGTCATGCAAAAATCCTAATTCAACCTTGATTACACGCTTTCGAAACATCTTGCATTACAAGTCAATAAGCGCAAAAAGCAATATCACTTAGATACATAATAAATGATTTTACGATATCATCTTCAGTGAATTGAAACGTTAATTAAGTTTCAGCAACGAAAATACATATGTAGCAGAATCGACGGATGAAAAATGTTCTGGAAAGTTCTAATAACGATTTCAAATTCCTCATGTACAATCACGAGTTACACGTAGCCTGTTAACACCAAGTGACAATTGAAAGTGGCACTGAAATTTTCCCCGGATATAATATTCTTCAGAAAACAGCACCCTAGGCGAATTTTACTAATAACCAAGCATAATAACAGGTAGAATATATTTCAATAGCAATACTATTTTTTCCCCCTATCACGTACCAGTATGGAATACCAGTGAATAAGTTTCACGTAATTTTCTACAAAATTGTTTTCTACTACCTATCAATTGGTACCTACAATTACGTACAGAGTTTGGGGTAACGTTCTACTCGGAAAGCAGCTACGAAAATGACGACAATATGTGTACGGAGTCACGTTTGTTCATGAAAAGACGTGAAAGTTTTTCTGCCTTTATTATATTCAGTCTATTGGATTTTTCACAGCGTAAAACATTCGAGGTATGCGTTTATAATATTTGTACACGAAAATTTAGAGGAAGAAGTTCACATGTCAGGGTCACCAGTGGGTGTATCACTTCAAGCTTTCTATCTGTCATGACCTGAGGCCAACATATTATCAGGCACTATACGAAATCGAAGATTGGCAATCGCACCGAAAATACCTGGCCGCTCGTAAAAGTACTGGACCGATGAGTCTTCATTGTGTATATATAGGGGTGCCGCCGATGAAAGCACTGCAGTTCGTTCGCGAACGTTCATAGGTGAGCATCGTTTTAAACTATTTGACTGAATATTTCTTTTTCTCTTTTCGCTAACATTCCTTAAGACGGTGAAGGTTTAATGATACCTGTGATAGTGATTTCCATGTAATATAATATATCCACAAAAAGGATTGACAGTTTATTTGTTAGATTTTATTAAGAATTTCGATAATTTCATAGCAGATATTAAAACGTAACATGAATACTCTACTTATTTAGTGTAAATTGTGATGAAAAGTCATTTCCTTGTATAACTTGTGATTTAGAGTACAATTTGTCTTTAACTAATTACTGTCGATTCAGTGTGATACTTGTTTCCTAGAAAACAAGTTTCTGTGTTATTTTGTATTCTGGAAACACTGATACACCACTCCCTGTACCACCCTATAAAATATTGGGAACATAGGACCGGTTTTAAAGAAAGTTGACCATCGAAGGTTTCCTCGAAGCACTTGAGCTGCATCTAATTAAACCATCGACCATCGGTCATCGACCTTATGGATGTACTGAACAGTTCCTTGCATAAGATTTGGATGCAGCTTCGACCCGACCTCTGTATCAGAATATAGCCAACAAACATTTTAACGGGAACAATAAAATATTTACCTTCATAAGATTTGCATAATATGTTCTCCACGATTGTATTGATACATCCGAGTACGACGATAACAAATATTTTTCATATTGCAGACAGAAAATGTTGCGGCTCATCGTTCTCGGTGCTCTGGCTACGCTATGCGCGGCACAGTTCCAGCCGCAGCCCGCTGGAAGAATCCTGGAACCACCTGTACCGGCACTTTGCGCACAAAGTAAATGACGCTTTGAATTCTTTCTACTTGCGCAATTCATGCAAATCTTAGTCGGAACTTTTGACGAAGACCTACTGACTCAAATACATACATAAGGATTTTCAATATTCGACATTTAAACACTAATTCCATAAATGTCGTTTGAAGAACCTAAATATTTCGGGTTAAGAAATAAGTTATATTGATTCTATAAAATTCGTAATGCCGCGTTTGCGTGATCCATTCAATTAGATATGATAATTATTGAGGATCGTCGATCGTCAAATCCGTGACCGTGATACCTTATGCTAATCCAATTAAGAGAAATTTCTTCTAATCGACCAAGAGGCACGTGTCGTTTCATTCACCCATATCCCTCTATAAATATAGAAAGCATACGATGACTTCACTATTGTATGCCTACCGATTGGTAATGTAAATTCAATTATTATTCATCATAGTCACGGATACTAGAATACTAGGTTATACTTTCTCGATCAAATCATTCTGGATGTAAATGAAGGTAATTGAATTAATCAGGAAATTAATGGGTTCTGTTACATTTAAAAAAATATTAAGTTAGAAAAATCCTAGTTGAATTGAAGTTACTATACCGTGTCATTGATCCTGTTAATTATAATCCATAATATATCATTAATAGGTACAATCCTCATGGGATTCTCGATAATTGTCTTTGACTTTAATGGTTTGAAACACTAAGTAAATATTCTCATCACGTAGCTCTGTGCATTTTGTAATGAACTTTCTTCTTCTATATTTGGGAAAGCCGTCATTAACGTTGAACCCACCACGTCAATGTCTACGTATAGTGTCTGTGGCCGCTGTAGGTCACGAGTAACGGTAATTGCTCAATCCATTTCTCTTTAAAAGCATTAATATTCTCTAAATTATTGAATGAAAATTTCATGATCGATATTCACTATTTACTACATTTATCGCGTGCTCTGTCGACTTAACTATAAGAGCGAAAAGTTTAAATTGTATAGGAGAGATCGTAAACTAAGGCCGTTCACGTTTCGGTTCTATTTCTATACCGAGGACTCGCCTCTCACAGGGCGTCTTTCTTACCAATGAAAAGTAATTGGGATTCCCTTGACATTCAGTAAATAGCAATTTTCTTTCTGTGATTCGTATTTTACGATTGCCATTAAGACACTTTTATTATTCTGCCCGCATTGGGAAGTGAAACTCTGGAATGAGATAAGAGAATTCTCTCTAAAGTGTGCCACAGGGAAACAGGATTCCATTACTGATAGGGATAGTGTCACCTATTAGAATACCATTGACAATCGGCAAAACAAATATTTTTAGTGAAAGTTGACCCGGAAGAGATAGAATAGTTTTTTTTTAGTACGACTACGCTTAGTTGGATTATTATTCGTATGACGATCGCTTAAGACCATTATACTTTTATTTTGGATATCGCTTATTAGGGACTGTGGATTTACCTAAGATTAATTATTTTTTGAAATTTTATTTTATAGGGACCATCCATGAACGTTTCAATGGAAAGGGCTATTACTTCTCATGGGCTGAGCCCAGGACCAGCGGACAAGAAATGGATTGGCTTGCCGGAAGAAACTTCTGCAGACAGCGTTGCATGGATCTTGTTTCTTTGGAAACTTCTGCTGAGAATGAGTTCATCAAGAGTCGCATTGTACAGAGTAAGAAGTAGCTCATAACCTACTTGTACGACTTGATAGCAATTGGTAGTGTCTGGAGGATTTAATAAATTATTCATTTCATAGACAAAGTTAAGTACATCTGGACCTCTGGCCGTCTCTGTGACTTCAAGGGTTGCGATCGACCTGATCTTCAGCCTCTCAATGTGAATGGATGGTTCTGGACTGCTGAGCTCCAAAAATTGGCACCGACAACTGATCGCACGCAAAACGATTGGTCTGAGAGTGGCGGGTAAGATATCTGATTTGATGTTCCATTAGGTTACCTTATTCATATTTGATTGTCAGTATTTGGAATGTAATATTTTTCTATTACTTAGAATGGAAATCGATTGGATAATGAAAAATATCTAAATATTACCAAGATGCTCTGTGGAATGTTAATATCTTAAATAGAATGTGTCACGGTGTCTATTTAAATGAAATTTTCCCTTGTAATAGTTCGTAGTATTTTTTTAACTGTAGAATAGAGGATTGTTTAATATTCTAAATGTATAATAGTAGATCTCGTGTTTTATATGATGCTAACAGGAATATAAATATTTTCAGTATTGGGAAACCACAACCTGACAACCGTGAAGCCATCCAAGGTGGGGCACCAGAAAATTGTTTGGCTGTTCTTAATCAGTTTTACAATGACGGTGTTAACTGGCATGACGTTGCCTGTCATCACAAGAAACCTTGGGTCTGCGAAGAGAACGATTCTCTCTTAAAATACGTACGATTCACCAATCCCAACATCCGTGTTTAAAAAGCATATCTAGAAAATTGTCATGAAGCATTTTTTATATTTTATTGTAGAATCACTGTTTCTGGTCCATGTATTTACGAAAATTTAGTTCAATTAGTCAAAGATCTTACATCAAAATTTAGACTTCGTGGCAAGTACTGTTCTCATGTGAGATAATTAAGGGAAGTGACTGAGTAGCATGTATGAGCGCTGTATTTATTGCGATTATAATCCCATTGTCTCTCTTACTTTTAACTAATGACAAATAGCTCTTCTCATTAATTTTATTTCCCTGCTATAATATTTGAGGATAGACCAACCTTAGTATTTTTGTCACAGCTTGCGGTCAAATACGGTATTTATATTGTATGAATGTTTATATAATTTGTACTACAGAACTAACATTGAACAATAAATCTCTTTTCTTTATGTAAAGAAATAATGACTTCTTTGTTTCCTAATATCTCTATGTTGGATACTATGCATGTAAGAAATATCAATGTAATAAATATTAAAAGTTTATTTATAAAATTAAACAATTGTAAAAATTGATACAATTTTTACTTCTTTCCCTCAACCATAATGATATGATATCCAAATTTTGTTTTAACCGGTGGATCTGTATATACTGGAGACCCAAGACTAGATACAGGTAAAGCAAATGCAGCTTCTTGAAATGGACCGACCATAGAGCCACGTGTCATCCAACCTAGATCACCCTTATAAGAATTAAATAGTTGAATTTAAATATTAATAGATAATTTAGTAATAAAATCCTTAATAACTAATTTTATCATAAATGCATATTCAAATTGGAATACTTACTCCTGATCGTGCCTTGTCTTCACTATATGTTGCTGCAACTTCATTAAACTTTTGACCAGCTTTTAATTTTTCAAGTGCTTCTAATATTTTTGATTGCTTCTCGCAAAGAATGTGTCTTACCTAGCAATAGAGAGAACAAATATAAAAATGTTATTGCACTAACAAAATATACTAAATTACCTATCTACTATAGTATTACAAATAATGAAAAGTACAGTATGACAAATGAAACATTTACTTTTACAGCAGTGCCTCCCTTTTTCTCGCCTTTTCCTTTATCGCCATCGTCTCCACCTTTCGACTTCCCAGCTTTAGCTCCACCGGCAGCTTTTTTCGGTGGCATTTTCACTGAATCTGATTGAATCTGATGTTAACAGAAGCAATTGTGGTGCGATGAAGGTTAGAACCACATGAGGAAATGCGCGCGCATGAAATTTTCAATTACCAATTTCCATATTGCAATCATCCTGTTTATTAATAGTAAAAAATTAGATTAATACAAATATACTATTAGAAGATTAAATCATATATATTACCTCGGGAAGTCCTTCGTTAAAGGAAACCAAATTTAAATGTCGGTCTGAAAGTTTTGTAACAACCTATGTAATTTTACAATTAAAATATTAAATTAAATATTTTATAATGTATAGCGAATTAATTGCTTTTTCTCATATATACGATCTCGTGACAAAAACAATAAAAAATTGTAATAAATCTTTAACGCAATTATACTGCTGGTAAACAAATTATTATATGATTATCTATCAGGGGTTTCCAATGATAGTGACGAGTTCAGGAACGTTAGCAAAATTACATTGAACAATGCCAGGATGTGGAAGAATAAGAGAAAGAAGTTGCAACGATGAGTTTGTGATTTTTGAATATTTAAACCGGTCCAAGATGCTGCGCACGCAAAGATTACAGAGCGCCAGACAAGTAATGGTTGCGCATGCGCGGTGAGTGCCAATTGTTCGCGAGTCCCGTCATAAGCAGGAGTCGAAATAATAACATTTTTCTCTGGCCGAAAAATAGGTGAAATAAGCCAGTGCGAACATTAAATAGAAAAGAATATTGAGGTTTTGTGGATTATCCCGTGGAAAACAAAGTTTTCCGTGTATTAAGGGCCAGCGGCCGGGTGATGCGCGCATATGTCTAGGCTCGGAAGGACTCAGCTTCTGGCTACAGGACAGGTGAAGAGGTCGGCCGCTGACCACACGGCGGTGATCAAGAACTTGACGAAACGCAATAAACACTCCGCCGCAAGTGCTACAACTGTCGCCACAACCGCCGCAACTGCTGCCGTCGCTGCTGCAACTGCTGCCGTCGCCGCCGCCGTCGCCGCTGTCGCCGCCTCGGACATCGACGAGATCGAGAACATGACGGACACAGCGGCTGCGACGAACACCCAAAAGCGGGCCAATTTCTCGGCGTTGACCGTCGCCAACCCTAACGGAGTCAACAAAATTTCGCCGAGTTTAGCGAGCGCAAAGCCAGGCTCGGCTAGGAAGCTCGTCATCAAGAATTTCAAAAGTAAGCGAACATGGAGGAACATAACCTCGAAATCAGCTGGCATTGCTTGACTGCGCGAGGGGTATTGTATTTGCACTGCTTGGCATGCTACTACGTATTTTGCGAAATGAGGTTCCGCATGCTCGTGCCATCAGCGCGTTTCCTTCTTATCTTTACTTGACATCTCAAGGACGTTCGCCCGCAGATATGCCCTTCTTATAACCAGCTGTCTGGCACTAACCTAACCTATCTTTAAAAAAATCCTGGCGAAATGAACAATTGTTCTATAGAATTTTTGCATCTCACTTTAGACTGAATCATCCTTTTGGACACATTGTAATTTTTAAATCTACAACAATTTTCTCTCGGCTACAATTTTTTATAACGCAGATATTACTTGAATGATTATGAATGATCATTCTTTTCAAAGGATTTAATATTATGCTAATTATATAAAGATATATAAATAGATTGAATCTTGAAAACTACACATACTAACGTTTTCTTCTTACATTGCTAGTTTAAGATTCATCTCCATTGCTGTTTATGAAGAGTGTAGTAGTTTCTAGAATTTGATTCTTAATTAGTCATCGATGATATCCATATATAAGAACAAATGGTATTTTTATAGCTGTTGTTTAAATATGATAATATTATAATTGTCTTGCAACACATATTCTTTAATAGATTCTTTAATTTAAAAGACTTGTTTATTGTATTAATTGGATAAATATGCCTATTTTTTACTTATGCTTTGACATTTTTGTTTGGAACCTAGAGTTTTAAATTGACATTGTATTACATCTATGTACAGATAAACCAAAACTACCAGAAAATTACCAGGAACAAACATGGGAGAAATTACGAGAAGCTGTTGTTGCGATACAAACTAGTAAAAGTATTCGTTACTCCTTGGAAGAACTTTACCAAGCTGTGGAAAATATGTGTAATCATAAAATGGCATCCACGTTGTATGCAAATTTAACAGAACTCACTGAATCACATGTTAAAGCCAATATAGAACAATTCTTGGCAGAGTCGATGGACAGGCACATCTTCTTAAAAAAAATGAATGAATGCTGGCAGTCCCACTGTCGACAGATGATTATGATTAGGAGTATCTTTTTGTACCTGGATAGGACTTATGTCTTACAAAATCCCAGCATTTCGTCTATTTGGTAGGCAACAATTTATGGATCATCTGTGTTTTTGTCTCAGTCACATTGTTGTTACATCATTTTTTTTTTATTCTGTATATTACAGGGATATGGGATTACATCTATTCAGACTGCATATCGTCCTAAATAATTTAGTTCAAACGCGTACGGTTGAAGGACTTCTAATGCTAATAGAGAAAGAACGTCAAGGCGATACTGTGGACCGAACTCTTCTCAAATCTTTACTCAGAATGCTGTCCGATCTGCAAATCTACCAAGAGGCCTTTGAAACCAAGTATGTTGTATACTTTACAGACTCTCCAATCTATATTCAATAATAAATTCAATTTGTTTTGAGCATGGTTAATTATAAAAACCGTTAATAAAGGTTTACACGCTTTTTCTATAGGTTCCTGGTGGCTACAGAAAGGCTGTATGCTGCAGAGGGTCAACGACTGATGAATGAACATGATGTTTCTGAGTATCTTGCACATGTTGATAAACGACTTCAGGAAGAAAATGAGAGACTGTTACATTACCTCGATACATCCACGAAGTGCGTATCGTTTTCTGACAACTATTTCAACGTAACATACTTAAGTTTGATAAGAACCTTAATTTTCATGGACTAATATTGCAGATGGTCACTCATACACACTGTTGAGAAACAATTGCTGTCTGAGCATATTTCAAGCATTTTGCAGAAAGGTTTAAGTGGCTTATTGGATGAAAACAGAATCAGCGATTTATCGTTACTTTATAATTTGTACAGTCGTGTAAAGAATGGTCTCGTGGAACTGTGTTTGAACTTCAATAGTTATATTAAGGTACGTTTATTAGTTTAATTAATTATTACATTGAAAAAATCGTTGGAAATGTACAATCACACTATCCTATACATTTCAGAAGAAAGGAAAGACGATAGTGATAGATCCAGAAAAGGACAAAACAATGGTCCAGGAACTTTTGGACTTTAAGGATAAAATGGATAATATCGTGAACACGTGTTTCCATAGGAATGAAAAGTTTGCCAATAGTTTGAAGGAAGCTTTCGAAGCGTTTATAAACCAGCGGGCGAATAAACCTGCAGAACTCATAGGTATGGTTCATGTTCTTTTGCATATAACAATAAATAAAAGATTTTCATTCATAACTCTTAAATGTTGTACATCATTCTTCGTCCTTTTTAGCAAAGTTTGTAGATTGCAAATTACGTGCTGGAAACAAGGAAGCAACGGAGGAAGAGCTAGAACGGTTGCTCGACAAAATAATGGTGCTGTTCCGTTTTATTCACGGAAAGGACGTTTTCGAGGCGTTTTACAAGAAAGATTTAGCAAAACGGCTATTAGTAGGCAAGTCGGCATCTGTTGACGCTGAAAAATCAATGTTGTCGAAGTTGAAGCAAGAATGCGGCGGAGGATTTACTAGCAAACTGGAAGGAATGTTCAAAGATATGGAACTTAGTAAAGATATTAATATCGCATTCAAGCAGGTAAAAAAATCAAGAAGTATTCGTTAATTTAATTGTAATTGAAGTAATGGTTGATGTGATGCTTCTTATATAAATGATAAAGTTAAATAGTATATCTTCTTCGAAACCTTTTCATGATTATGGGTTTCCTTAATCACAGTATGCAGGAAATCTTCAAAATGAAATAACAGCTAGCAATTTGGATTTAACGGTATCCATACTCACAATGGGTTATTGGCCAACGTATCCCGTCATGGAAGTAACATTACCAGCTGAGATGGTTCAGTATCAAGATGTTTTTAACAAATTCTATCTGGGTAAACATAGTGGAAGAAAATTGCAATGGCAGCCAACATTGGGGCATTGCGTTCTCAAGGCGTGGTTCAATCAGGTAATTAATGGAATATGTTGATAATGTTTGTTAAATTATTTGTTAAATTCAATTATTACACACCAATGATTTGTTAACAGGGTAACAAGGAACTACAGGTTTCATTGTTTCAAGCCTTGGTACTAATTCTATTTAATGATGCTGACAACTTGTCCTTGGAGGATATTAAGGCTGCTACGAACATTGAAGATGGAGAGCTGCGAAGAACTTTACAATCTTTAGCCTGTGGGAAGGCTAGAGTTCTGCAAAAGAATCCACGAGGAAGAGATGTTGCGGATAATGATAGATTTGTCTTCAATGCCGAATTCACTAACAAGCTCTTCCGTATTAAAATTAATCAAATCCAAATGAAGGAAACGGTAAGATTGATTCTATGTTTATCATAGCGAATTCATTCTGTTAAAATTAAAAGCTTTATTAAAAATATCTATCTTTGTCCATCAGAACGAGGAACAAAAAGCAACTGAAGAAAGGGTATATCAGGACAGACAATACCAGATAGACGCAGCAATTGTCAGAATCATGAAAATGAGAAAGACACTTACACATAATCTCCTTATTAGCGAGCTCTACAATCAATTGAAATTCCCCGTAAAAGTAAGTTACTCCGTTTAATCTTATTCAGTTCTTACAGCATTAGTTTATCTAATTATCTAATAATCATTTTTTTACTTTTAGCCAGCAGATTTGAAGAAACGAATCGAGTCTCTGATAGATCGTGACTATATGGAACGAGATAAGGACAATTCAAATCAGTACAACTATGTCGCGTAACCTCAACCGAATGCCAAAGTCAAAACGAGCTGGGTTAAATTTACGTTTCTTAGTAAAAAATCAACAGGTCAATTTCGGTGTATGCTCGTGTTAATTGTGAAGGATTGGAGAAAACAAGTGAGGAAGATCAAACTGGAATAAGACGATTGACGGATTATCAATTTGACATTGCGCAACTTCGTCAAATCCAACTGAAAAAAAAGCTACTTCGCGTTACATATACTGTATCGATGTCGATCTCGATGTGACAAAGCTTCAATGAGAAATCATGAGACATCGTGCTCACTGACAATTAGTCTGAAGACTTAACGTTCGGACAGCATATAGAACGTCTACTGGCAATTTTGAGTATAGTGTCGCCACCTGTTATATCGTTTGTCTTATTTTTTGGGTTTTGCTAAGAAAAAAAAGAAGAAAAATGAAGATATTACAGAAAAATAATGGACCACACGTAAAGATCTTCGACAACACGTTGATTTAGAGATGTGTCGACAGTTTTTTAATGAGATGCAGTTTTTCACAGTATATTAAGAATTAAATGAGTATAGTGGAAAATGGAATATAATATAATACTGTGACTCTCTGCAATGACAATAGTTTAAGGATGAAAACGCAATATAACGTTAACGCGAGATGAGAAACGTCATAGTGCTCCTTTTCAAAGAAAATAACGATTAAAAATATTTAAAAATTCGTACACGGTGTAGCTTCGTACTGGAGTGATCCAGCCCTAAAATGTGAAGAAAATTCGTTAATCTTTGAACTAATTTGGATACTAAAGACAAATAATCTGAGTACGTGAATGATTTGAACAGATACCGATGGGAATAATTCTTCCGTGATTCTTAGGTACTTCGTTAAACACAGAGACTTTAAAGACCATGGATGACAGTTTGCTAATTAATAAAGTACGTTCATAAATGTTCACAACTGAGACTGAACAAATTCTCATATTAAGAAATAATGTAATACTGAAAAGTGGCTGAAGTTAATACCTTGCAATGCAGAGTAATTTGGCACTTGTTTTTGTTTTATCATAATCCAGAAAGTCAGCTATTCCTTTTGAAATTCGAATTTACTTCCATTCTATTTTAATAAAATTGTATTAAATAGGCGCTATATGTGAATCTATAATTTTCAGGTTTTTTTTTTTACGTTTTTACCTTAGTCCACGTTGCTATTTCAAATGATTTGTCTGATTTTTTGTTATTTCTACTTATCTTGTGTTTTAGGTACTTTCATTACATCAGTTACTTACATTAACATCAGTGCAATGTACTCAAAGTCATTAATGACTAATGTATTTGTAGCTGATTTTATAAGGATTCGATAGAGTAACTTTGGTACAGTAGATAGATTTGACTGCAATATATGTATTATGACAGTTTCTTCCTTTTTGCTTTTCATTTAGAACTTGTCATTTTGATCTTACATTATTTAAGAAGCCACATATATGAAATATACTTCGATTAATCAGTGAGCAGTGATTGCTTTTAATGTCAGTTGGACAAGTCTTAAAGCATTTTTACTCTGTGTTGCAAAGTTTATTTTCAAAAATGCTCAAAAGCTAAGGAGATTGCAATCTCGAATAAAAACAAACAAAAAATTTCTACAATTTTGAGAAACAACAGGAAGCTAATACTATTCATAGGAAATGAGACAAGAAAGCCAGATTACATCAGATATTCGACAATTAATTGGTAGCTACAGTGATTAACCTTTAGACCAGCTTAAGATCGCAAACCCTCTCAATTCTAATTTCTAGTGTAATCTAAAAAGCTATATATGAAAAATCGTGTAAAAAGATGTGTCCAGTGTTTTTGTGAATAATATGAGAGTAATAACTAAAAGAAAAAAAAAAGGGAAAAGAAACAGTAAAAAACCTTAATGATATACCGAGAAGTATGTGAGAGTTAAGAAGAAAAAAACATGAATAAAAAAGAATATAAACAGAACTGCGTAATGTAGGAACTGATTGTTATTGAACAAGAAGAATACTTACAATTAACATTATTATTCATGCGAATTATTAAATGAAACATTGAGCGGCTTATGATTTCGTCTTGGCGACGATTATTTATCGATTAGCTTTAGTTGCTGAGATTTTTAAGAACTGAGAAAAGCGTTACTGATTGAACCATAAAAAGGTTGTAATATTCGATCCAAATCTCGGGAAAGAGAGTGAAAGAGTTTCACTATAAATTATTTGAATTAAATACAAGGCGCTGATTATATCTCTGACACAAACGTAGTACAAAGTAACGCGAGTTGATGTTGGAGAGATTATTATTATCATTACTCATATTATCCAAATTCTACTGTATGAAATTTTTAATGGTCCACTCTTTAATAAAAATTTAAAAGTGGCATAACCATTATGCAATCTTGGCGTACGCTACCGCAATTGAGTTGAATATTTCAAACTGTACTCGTGCTCAGCATTTAAACAGTAAATCTGCCCACAGCTTTTGAATAAAAAAATATTCGTTAATTATTATCCATCCTCCATGGATGAACCTAAGCTTACATGAAAAGCTTAAAGGAGATACTGCCGTCAAATCTCAGGACGTCGAAGAAGGACAAGTGCTATTGTCTCGCGCATTACTTTATACTGCCTTTGATCCGAATAAGTAAGCTACGCTACGAAACTTATTTTTGTGTAACATTTCGTAGAATTTGTCAAGATTGTAAATAGGGTAAGGTTCCGTACTTGTAATAAAACACAACGAAAAAACTAAAAAAAATTTAGTTTGCTAGTTTTGTCATGTTCAGCTCCTATTTACATCACATACAAGTGTACACTTATAGTGTGACGAATTATACTATGAAGACAATGTGTTAAAGATCACTTAAATTTTCAATCAAGGGATATATTAGTTTTGAATTGAAACTAACGTCGGATGTACTGCTGAATATACATAATTACAAAATGTTACAATATCAATAGGAGATGTAGTTAGGGGTAAAAGTCTCCACGATTATTAATTAAACATCCGTTTTATTGTCTGCACATGATCATTCTTCATGTCTATTTCATTGATCAACGATTTGGCGAAATTTGTTGCATTAGCTTCTTTATTAAGAAAATCGGATACTAATTTAGAGGGTGGTTTCCCGCCACCATGAGCCAGACATTCCCGTCGATATTTCTCACCGGAGGAACGACAGAGGGGATCGGCTTGGAAATAAGTCTGCCAGATCCAAGAAGCAATGGCGCGAGATATGAGATAGGAATAATACTTTGCGCCATAGCCAACCAAATGGGAGAATCTCAATTGCCATGCCTGTGAATAATCTCAATAAATGCGTCATCTTGTTTAAATTTTATAACAGGTGTTATAACGAAAACGTACTGTATTCTCCACATAGGGCAGACCATAAAACTTCTCCTGGAGCTCTGACAGAATTTCTGTACTAGAACGTTCCAAACGTTTACTATGATAAACTTGATCCAACATACTATAAAACACCTGATTCTGTAATTCAGAGGCAGGAAACATGCTTTTAGAGGCGCATAATCTGTGCAGCATAACTTCTGGGATTCGTTCTTGAGTCTGAAAATGCTTGGCAAAGGTCGCTACCACCTGAGAATAATGTTTATTTAGGTTATATTTTTTACTTATATGTAAAATGCTATTAGATTTCGATGTATACTCACTTTTGGATCGCTTGCAAAGTACTCCATAAGTACACTTGGCACTTCAGCAAAATCAGTACTACATCTAGTACCAGTTACATGTTGATATTGAGTTCTACCAAGCATTGAATGCAACGCGTGCCCCATTTCATGAAAGAGATTATCCACGGATGAGGGACTCAATAAACAAGGAGATGACCACCTAGGCGATGGTAATGATAACATTAACACCACTATAGGACTCTGAAATTGTCATAGCTAATGAATGATAATTTGCACTATTGAATCAGTACTAAAGAGGAACATTATACAAGGTATAATCTTTACTTGGTAAGAACCGTCTGGTAATTGTCTTCCACCTCTGATAGTAAAGTGACAATCTTGATTAGGCTTTCCTTCTCTTTCGTAAAAGTCACAATAAATATAGCCCAGCGTTCCTTCATTTTCATCAATTACAGCCAACTTTCGTACATCCTTTGACCACACCTCACCAGGCAATACAGGTTCTGATTCTAATCTCACACCATATAATGCTTGCGTCAATGTACTCAAGCCATCCATACATGTTCCTAGGGAGAAATATGGCGCAAATTCTGCAGTGGATGTATTCAGCCAAGATTTCTTGGCCTTTGCCATAAAATACGCAGTATCCCATGCCATTAATGTCTACATTATAGAATTGACAAATGAGTAAATCCGTATGACGGTATTATGTTTGGTGACAAAGAATATTCATAAAATACAGAGCATTGAGAGCAGACCTGCTTCGAGGAATTTTCTGCATTTTTCATCTCTTGCATTACATCAAAATCAACTGCTGCACGATCTCTTAATTCATGGTTCAATATATTTAAGAAGTCATACACAACCTCAGGAGTTTCTACTGTACTTCCTTTGACGGCTCTGTATTAGAAAAAAAAAATTTTAATGTAAATATGGAGACAGCTCATTGTGGAGTATTTGGACATGCAGCTGTGAAAACTTCACCTGTGCGCATACGTAGGAAATCCACAAATTTCCGCTAATTCATGTCTGGAATTTAAAAGTTCTCGTAGTAGGTGTTCCTGCTGTCCATCTGGATATAAGAATATCTTATAAGCTGCTTCTCGAGCAAGAGCATTAGACGAATCCGTATAAAGACCATGCACCAATATTTGTCCGCCTTCTGCCGCAAAACTGAAAATTTCATTATATAAGACGGCAAATGTCGTATGGATACCATTTGCAAATATTAAGAATAAAAATGTTATATGTTCTTATTGGATAATTACTGTTCTCTGATATTTTTTGGTAAAATTTCGCTCTTTACAGCACGTGGATTAACAGCGCCTGCCATAAATTTTTGTCCCACCTATAAAATAGAAATTTTGATAACTTTTTATCCGTTTTCGCTAATATGGCATTCCAATTATTTACTTGTAGAATGTAATCGTTTAATTCGACAACTTGTTGTCTCTGTTGTTCAGGTAGATGAATGCCACATTGTTCAAAGTCAAATATAAATAATTTTGCTACATGATTATCTATGTCTGTTGTTCTCTGTACATCACCTTTGGATACAACACGTGTTAGAGCATTGTAAAGTTCCCTGTGAGTATTTAGTCTATAATAAAGAGAAAGAAAGTTATTTATAAATTTATATGCAACAAAGACACAATCAAAGTATTAACTAACTTTTCAACAACACCACTAATTGCTATACAAGCATCTTCTGCTGCATTTGCAAATTCAATTTCAGGATGAGCTATTCTCACAAACTCTGCCATATCAGCTACTTTGCACAATGTGTCCGATAGTTCATCGAATATTTCCACCATCTTTCTTTTTCGATCTTCACTTGTGGCTTCTGCAATAAGTGCATCACAGTGAGATAATGCACGTCTTTTGAGAGCAGTGAACCCTTCTGCATTTTCAAGCTCTGGTATGCCAAATAGACCCTAGAAAAGAAATAATCGATATTCTTAATGATGCTGCAACTTTGAACAAAGTTACTCCAAGTAAAATCACATACATAAGCAATTGGTATCAATATTAAGTTTCATCATACTTACAGTTTCTTTTCTTGATAGCCAATATTTCTCTGAAGCCTTTGAGTTAAATGCAGTAGCCAAGGAAGTCCAAGTACTAACTGCTCTGCATCTTTCAATCTGCCCTATCGCAGCACCAGTCAAGATTCGAAGCATTTTCTAAATGAAACTATAGAATGAAAGCACCGTCATTCGTAAACTGTTATACGTATAATATTTTTTTAAAAATGTATAACATTACGTCGTTACCATTGATAAATAACTACGCGTAAAAATACTCCAAGCTACTAATACTTGATACAAAGGTTACCACATCATAGACATTGACACGTAAAATCTATGAAAACACGTGGACCTAATAAGAATATTCTTCAAGTCTCTAATAGTATTCAGAAAAATTTCTAATTCTTTATAACAATTAAATACTACAATATTAATGAAACGTTAAAATTCTTGAAAACATCAAGCATTCTTTTTTAAATGCCAAACATATCTAGCAGAATTGTTCGTTTCTCTGCCTTCTAAAAATGTGGTGGCACCACTTTCTGTTCAACGATATAGAGGGTGTTCCGAAACTACCTGACCCGGTGGGTATGGCGGTGTTCGGGAGGCTTCACTAATCACGAAAATGACCTTCTTTTTGTTCAGAAGGTCATAGTTTTTAAATGGGAGCAGGTCAAAGTTGACTAATCAGAACGAGGCGTCAAGAGAAACGTAGGCACCTGCGAACTCTGAGTTTTCTTCCCTCGCTTTTGTTTTTCGGTGGCTTCGGGCAGGATGACGTCAGCCGAAGACATGCCTATTGGAAACAAGAAACAAGCTACGAGAAACAAAAGCCAGGGAAGAAAAATCAGAGTTCGCAGTGCCTACGTTTCTCTTGACGCTCCCTCTGATTGGTCAACTTTGACCTGCTCCATTTAAAAACTATGACCTTCCGGACAAAAAGGTCATTTTCGTGATCAGTGAAGCCTCCCGAACACCGCCATACCCACCGGGTCAGGTAGTTTCGGAACACCGTATATGTTGTGACGTGATTTTTTGAATCACGGTCCCAAGGCGGCTCCGGTTACCGATATAGATAACGTTCTCGATTTCTGGTTCTCTTCGGGTCGCCACCCTAAAACTATGACCTTCCGGACAAAAAGGTCATTTTCGTGATCAGTGAAGCCTCCCGAACACCGCCATACCCACCGGGTCAGGTAGTTTCGGAACACCCTGTATATGTACATATATTTGTACTCGAAACTTAAATTCTACTCGAATACATTGAATGGAAAAGAAATTTCATCTGAAAGATAAATTTTCTTTAAACAACGGTCTATAATTATGTTGTACCGTTCGTCATTGCTCGTTAGGCAGGAGTAGCGTTTAATTGAAATTAATGTAGTTGTGTGCGATTCGTCTCGTAAAAATATGGCTTTCATTAAGTGATTCGATCCTCTTGAGAGATAGCATCCACTAAAACCTTCAAGGTTACTTGAAAGAGTACAAATGGTGAGAATACTATGATTTTTGTTTCATGCAAATACTTGAATTCTTGTGGAGTGTACCCATAGTTTCTGAATGTAGGAGATTCTTATTATGTCGGTCAATGAGTCAAATCTTGAGGAAGGGGCACAAGGCCTCTGCCTATACAAGGATACATCTTACCTTTTTCATCGCCCACACGTTATTTCCTGGGTAGTTATTCACGAGATACCTGTAGTAATAAAAAACTTATAAACTAGATAGCATCCCTTATTATTGTGCTAAACTAGAATTACAGTCATTTCACAGTCTTGAATCATATTAAGCGTAAGCTACCAATGTTTTGGAGCTTCTGTGACAGAGCAAAAGTTGTTTTTTTATGAAAACACAATTATCTATATCATTTTTCTCCGGTTTTGTATTGCTATTATTTATTTGACTTGGTATTTCATTGAAGTTATTCATTGGACTTACGTTTGAATCTTACACAGTCGTATTCTGGGACGCATGGAAATCTCTTAACTGCTGCCAAGCAGTTGGCAGACAGTGAAATTCAGCTAATAAAGGCTATAGAAGGTTCTAGGAAAAGTCAACGGAAGCTTGTTAAAGGAACCATGTCAACTACAACGAAGGCTGTTACTGGGAAAAAGTCAGCCAGGGTCTCAAATGTGATTATTACCTATTTATCTATTTGAAGGCTCACATATTAAACCAAATGTGACTCTTACTCTTATCTAAGGATTACATTTTAGAGAATCATTGCCTCTTCTCGTACTATCTAGTTGGAGTATACAGCTTTATTCATACAAACAAACTAATTCTACTGTGAGATGCAAATGGAAGGCAAACTTAAGTTTACGTTTGTCATGAGTGACCCTATATAACTTTTTATCATTTCATGAAATTCTTATCTGTATAATTTACTATGTATAACATATAACCTGCAGACTTAGAACATCAGGAACTTCTCTACAATTTTAATTTAATGTGAATGTAGTGTATGAAATCTCCTCTAAGTTCATTTTTTAACACATTTATATAAATCACTCTTATATTTACGTAAAGTTTTCACAATATTTTGATAATACAATAGCTTTTGATTCCATTTCTTCATTCTTTGTCAAAAAGGCGAGACCTTCTGCTGCTCTAATTGCTGCAAAACGGGATGCTGCTCAACGAAAAGTTCTACAAGGAAAGAAATCAAATAACATCTTCATCCAAGATATTTATCAAAAAGCTATTGATGCTATGAACATGGTTCGAAAAGACACTGGCCTGGTTTTTGATCGGCGCATGGCTGAACATCTGTGTCTATGGGATAAAGCATATCCAGAATGTCCTGAAAGGTTTACAAAGGTCTTGGAAAAATGTGAGCAATATGGCCTAGTAGATAGATGCAAATTTATTGAATCAAGATCTGCAAATGAGGATGAATTACTACTGAAACACACTCAAGAACAAATAGATTTTTTGAAAGCAACAGATAGGTGTACGGACGCAGAAAAACTTGAAAAATTGTCTTCCAAATATGACGCAATATACATCCATCCGGTAAGTACAACATTATAAAATTTAAATATGTGTCACAATAAGAAAAAAGCTAGACAATTAATATTTCCACATCGTTCCTTTTAGTCGACTTACCGATTGTCTTTATTAGCTGCTGGATCAACAATAAATTTGGTAGAAAGTATCTGCAAAGGAGATGTACAAAATGGAATGGCTATTATCAGGTAATAAAGTACTGCTTTTTTGTACGCTTTAAAACTTAAATACTTTATGGAATACGTTCTTTATTTTACAATTAAAAATGTGTACATGGTATTTTATTTCGCAATTCTAGACCTCCTGGACATCATGCAATGAAAGCAGAATATTGTGGATACTGTTTCTTCAATAATGTTGCAATTGCAACGCAGACACTCTTAGAAAAGAATTTAGCTAGCAAAATTTTAATCGTAGATTGGGACGTGCATCACGGTCAGGCGACACAACAAATGTTTTATAATGACCCGCGGTAATCTTTTCATCTTACCGGAATCAATAATCTCGAAATGAACTGCAATCGAGTAATTCCTCCAAAATACTTTTAGAGTCGTCTACTTCTCAATTCACCGTTACGAACATGGTAAATTCTGGCCAAATTTAAGAGAGTCCAATTATGATTACGTCGGAGATGGTCCGGGAGAGGGTTACAACTTTAACGTGCCTTTAAATAAAACCGGCATGACCAACGCTGATTATCTTGCAATATTTCAACAGGTTTTGCTACCAATGGCTTACGAGGTAAATGTATTTCAAATAATATAGATTTTAACAAAATTTTTAATACTTATATTCCTACAATAATAATTGCGAAGTATTCTATACATATAAATACATCGTAATTCGTTGTTTGATGTCATTCATTAAAGAAGAGTAATTGACAATGATGTTTCTAGTTTCAACCGGATATTGTTATAGTCTCAGCTGGTTATGATGCAGCTCTTGGTTGTCCAGAGGTAAAACGATATCTTCTTTATTACTAACGCTGTTTATTTTTCCATGTTAGTTTTGCCCTGACCATGTCATTGTATCTGCTGGCTTTGATTCTGCAGTAGGGGATGAGAAGGTTATCTAATACTTATTATTTTTTTAAATTAATTTCTCGAAAATCACAAACGATCATGAATATTTATTTTTAATTCTATTTTACTTTGAAGCAAGATTATAATTTGTTTAAATGATACACGTAACAAATAGTTTTATATGCTTTTGTTTCATATAGTTTTATTGTGAAATTCAATCGGAGTTAAGATTATTATAATTTATTAATATTTTAGGGAGAAATGGAAGTAACACCAGCATGCTATGCACATCTTTTATCCTCACTGCTAAGTTTAGCAGGTGGAAAAGTTGCTGTGGTATTGGAAGTAGGTATTCCTATTGTTAATTATTGATTAATAAAATTTTCATCATAGTTGTTCGTTTAATTTATCATTGTTCATTATCTAGGGTGGATATTGCTTAAAGTCTTTGGCCGAAGGTGCAGCATTAACATTAAGAGCTTTATTAGGTGATCCGTGTCCAATGTTGCGTTCGCTGGATCCACCATGTGCGAGGTCTGTGAAAAAATAATATTAATTTTCTCTTCTAGCAATAAAGTTCTTTATTTATTCAAGAAATTCTTGTGTTTCAGCATACGTGAAACAATCTTGAATATCATTTATATTCATAAACCATATTGGAATTGTTATCAGTATCAAGAAACTTATAGCATTAATAGTACTACAAACAACGAAGAAGAAAACAACAACAGACATTTACCTACAGTTATTTACAAGTACGTTGGTCAATTTAATGAAATTATTTTTATTCTTCATTTATTTATACAAAAGAACTCAATATATATTTCAGAGGTGATGAGACAAAACCTGATTTCTACGAAACACGAAACTGTTACCCAGTGCAGAGTCCCGAACTTTTACAAGAAATTGATAGAAAATTAAATTTCTTGATCCAATGTAAGTTACTCATAAAAATACAAGATGTATCGTGTTTTTTCAATGTCATGCTAACTCGACGATCAGTCATGGATTTTTCTTTTCAGTCACTAACCTGACTAAAGCACCGAATAGAGTGTGTGTTGTGTACGATCCGAGAATGCTCAAGCATATCAACGTTCCAGACGATTCTCATCCGGAAAAACCAGAGAGAATATCTAACATTTATACAAAGCACGAGGAGTACGGTTTACTAAAACGATGTCACGTTTTGCAGGTACGAGTCCGATTATACTAATAGTTTATATTATAAACGATGAAAGTTTTACATCAATACTGGAATATATTATTCTATCTAAAAGGGAAGAGTTGCTACCGAAGAGGAACTGCTTTTGGCACATTCAAAAGATCACATAGATATAATTAAGAAGACTGCTGATACAAAGTTGAGAGACTTAGTAAAACAAGCGTCTGATCTTAATTCCGTTTATTTGCATCCTGAGACCTGGACCAGTGCCTGTGTTTCTGCTGGTTCATTGCTTCAAGTTGTTGATAGTGTATTGAATAGTGAAAGTCAATCAGGAGTGGCTATTGTCAGACCACCTGGTCATCATGCTGAAGAAGACGCTCCTTGTGGTTTCTGCATCTTTAATAATATCACAATTGCAGCTAGATATGCTGTGCAATATCATAATTTGAAAAGGTATTCATATAGGAAAATAGAAATAATACGATTTTTCTGTTTTTAAAATGTTATAGTACATTTACTTTCTTTTGTAATACATAGGGTATTGATAGTAGATTGGGATATTCATCATGGCAATGGGACGCAAAGTATTCTGGAGCAAGATCCCACTATTCTTTATATATCAGTGCATAGGTATGATAATGCTGGATTCTTTCCAAATTCAAAAAAGGCAAATTATACTGTTGTCGGCTCTGGACCTGGAGAAGGATTCAATGTAAACATTCCATGGAATAAGGTAAGAGCGAATTGATCCATGAATATGAAGTCATGTGAATATTTAATGATTTTTTCATACATTGCTTTAACGTAGTGTGCCTGTGCTTCTGATTATTATTATTATTTCAAACAATGATACTCGATGATTTTCATAATTAGCCAATCAATAGTAGCGGCCGTAACCAGTTAATTTTTAGAATTTGCTCTCATTTCCTTCAGTCGTAAAACGGAATTCTCTTATGATTTTTATACAGAAAGGAATGGGTGATGCTGAGTATATAGCAGCATTTCAACAAATCGTAATGCCAATCGCCTATCAGTACAATCCAGAATTAGTTCTGGTTTCAGCAGGATTTGATGCCTGCAATGGTGATCCATTAGGAGGTAACCATACAATGTTATTTCATAGTCCTTGCTTCCAACATTATTTTAAAGTTTTAATTTATAACCCTGTATTTAAATTTTTATCTACAATATTTGGATTTTCTACTTTCCAAAGGTTGCAAAGTGTCTCCGGAAATGTATGGACATTTAACACATTGGCTGTCATCATTAGCAAATGGTCGAGTTATACTTAGTCTAGAGGGTGGTTACAATATTAACTCCATTTCCTACGCTATGACTATGTGTACCAAGGCTCTTCTTGGAGATCCTCCTGCAGTGTTGGATGCTGGCCAAGCACCGTGTACAAGTGCAATTAATACGATAAACAACGTTCTCAAAACGCATAAGCAATTCTGGCCGAATTTGGCCTTTCAAATGTCCTTGCCAAAGGAGAAAGTACTTCCAAGGATTAAACCCAGTCAAAAACATTCCGAAGAGAGCTTAAGAGTTGAGGGTGGTGCCGGACATAAGTCAGAATGCAAAATTGCTTTTGAGGAAATTGAAAGCGAGAAGCTAGATTTTAATCTTTCGTTTGACAAACATAATTTAAACACTGTGACAGACGAAGAAATATTGAAACTGCAAAACGAAGTGGAAAATATGAAAATTAGAAGTTTAAAGACCGTCGGACGTAATACCGAAATGATCGGCGATATTCCAGGCAGCACAACCGGTGCCCAAGAAGAAACTGGAACTTGTTTTTCAGGTATATTAACAGTCTTAATAAAAAGAAAAATCAACAATAGACTGAACCATTGTTTCTAGCTCGTGGCTTCAAAGAGTGTATAAATCCAACGGAGAAGAAAGATGTACAGAACTCGAAGGACAGTCGTGCTGGTACGAGTGATGGTGCTGGTAGTAGCAGGGAAGGTCAGAGTGAAGAAAGCAGCTTGGCAAGTGCTGTTCCCACTACAAATCTTTTTGACTATCTCTCAGACAATCTGCAGGTTTGTTACTTCTTTCATAGTCAAAAAAATATTTCTATTTCATCTATAGCCTATATATTTAATTGCCTCAGGCCCTGGTAGATGGAGAGATGTTTGCAGTAGTACCTTTAAGAGAGTGCCCACACTTGAATACCGTGAGAGATGTACCACCCAGTGGCATAGATGTTCGATCACCTTGCACAGAGTGCAACAGTGCTGCTGAAAATTGGATTTGTCTCCAGTGCTACACAGTACACTGTGCTCGTAGTGTTAATCAGCATGCTGTGACTCACAGTCAAGTGGCAGAACACCCCATGACCCTCAGCTTCAGTGACCTATCGGTTTGGTGTTATGGATGCGAAGCCTACATTGACAATCCAGTAAGTACCACATACTTCATTAGATTTCTATCATTACAGTCTTTCAAGAGGTTACAACACACGCTTTGAAGTACCCAGTAGTTTTTATGACTGAATTCACAAAAAGGGGAATACTTTATTTCTAGCGATTATACGCAGCACGGAATGCTGCACACCGTAGCAAATTCAATCAAGATCTCCCATGGACATACAGTGATCCAGCACTAGTTATGGACACACACTGATACCATTTATTTACAATTTTCATGCTCGGTCTTTCAAGAGTCAACATGTTAAAACTTGTACTAGTGCAATAGAAATATGAGGAACATCTGCTGTCAAATCACAATACGACAAAACTGTACCGTCATTTAAATGCAGGGACAGTACACTTTTTTATGAAATTGGATAAACTATAATAATGAGTGTACAACATGCGATGCATTATGATAAAGTTTGTCAAGCTCATTGCAGTGTTATGGTGGTTATTTTTTTGAAAATTAAAATGACTGAAAGTACATTATTGAATTACCTTACAGTGGTAGTGTATTGAATTAAGATAAAGATGTATTTTTCTATGTAGAATCAAAATCATTATCTATGATAGATAGTTTACTTTTATAGTTAGTCAAGCTGTAAGACAATATACATTTACTGTTAGAAAATCGTATAATTTTACTCGGAAAGATCAATACTTCTATGATCGTTAATCACTTAGTCTGGAATCATATTGCCCAGAAGTTCAACTCTCTGTGGCCCATAATTGTTCTTTAAATGTGGGAAACGTATGCGGACCACTGACTTTTGGTATAAAAATAGTAGAATTATTAGACAGTTTGAGCCCAGGCGACCGTTGATTAAATGGCAGGATAAGTGGTTAAAACAATTGCATGATTAATAATATTAATACGTTGAAAAAATATAGGATATTCTTGTTTCTTAAGTACCTATTATATACAAGCTATCTTTGTTAGCGTCAAAGAGTTCTGTGCAACTTATTTTGATATTCAATATCAACTAGCAAAAACTGAACTCACTATGAGGAGAATAAATGCAATTTTGTTTTCTGATAAAAAATAATACGATTATTTTTCTTATAAAATACACTAAATCAAAGAGTTTATACGAACTGTACAACTTCATAATATAGTAAATGCTATTCTATATCTATTTTATATCGATTGGTGTAAAAACTGAATTTTTTACATCTGCGAGAACATTGTTGGTACAAAAAGTTATAAAATACAAAATCGGTCAACAGCTTAGATATTAAAGTAATAATTGATGTACTAAGGAACAGCTCAAAATATTGGCTTAAAAAAATATTGTATTTGTATTTAAGTTAATATATTTTACTCGTTTGAGTTTTATGTCCTGTTGCAATATGTTACAATACATATATTGATCAGAGGGCAAACCATGTGATGTCCATAATTAACCAAATATTAAAATTAATCGATTAATTAGAACTGACCATAAGTTAAGATCTAATAGTTTGCCTTGAAAACAATACCTCCTCAAATTTCCAAATTCAATCCGTAGGATCAAAAGGTATACTTGCTTTACTTTGAGGATAGTAACATTGCAAAGATCAAAAAAAGAATATGCACTAACTTAATAATCAGCATAAACGTTAACATCCGAATCAATAATAATAAGACTGACAGAGGAAGAAACAGTTATACTGAGTTATACTGTGCACGTTAAGGAAGGTAGTTCTGCTGCTACGCAGAGGTCATGAGCCCTAGCGACTATATATGTTGAAAATCAAGCATCCACAATATTATAATTATTAGTTGCACAAATAATTCTGATTTTCTAATAACGTGCTGTAATTATAAAATCCCGAGTTTTGTTGCAAAACTAATTTTAAATGCTCGTTTGAATCAGTTCACATTATAGCTGTATCGGATAATGCACTGTTGCCAAGCTTTTGCCCCGTGTTCATAGCTACGCCATTCCAAGCGAGTTGTTCCTTCTGAACTTATTATTGTCTCGATAATCTGATTTATCTTTTGAGATGTCCGGTAACTCTACTTTTTTTTTTTATCGGATACGATCTGTAACGTCTAACAAACACGAGATGCTTTTTATATTTCCGCTATCTTTGATCTAAGTATACAAATTATTAACGAAAAAATGCCACTGATTGCTCCGGTCATAAGGTCCCATATAAAAATGTCGATTTTCAACATTTAATTATTCTCCCAAATGATCGGTAAATGGGCTTGACATTTTTTTGACATGTAACTGAATACTAAAACTTTCATATATAACAAATTTTGGTGCAACAGTTTAATTTACGTAGACGGCAGAATTACCTTAGTATCATCATTTCTTTTTTATATATTAACTTTTGAAATACAGACTACGCTTAAAATGCAAACCTTAATATCAAAAAAGAATTATAATTATACTTTATATATAATTGTTATCTAGTATATGTACAATTGCTTATATTGAGTTGCATCTGATGTATTGACGTTAAATTACCGAACGTCTAATCTTGTAAAATAATTGATTCGCTGCCACCACGCGTATAAATTATTTTTCGTTAGTTACTTAGTGCACGCACTTGCACTTGTATAAATTGGCGATATAATATTTTAACATTTAATTGTAAACCATTTGATTATTGCCTCTGGGAGAAAACTTCTCGGCTCTACGTGATAGATTAGGTGATAGAAGGAATAAATAATTTCAGTGCAGCAATAGTAATAAATACTGGTACGAATAAATATCAGGCTGTGGTTGGCATAAGAGCGCTCTTAGGACCAATAGCAACCTAGATTCGTTCTAACTATTAATTAGTTATCAGCACACACAAACTTCATCACGATTAATTTAATTAAACAAATTAATTTATCGAATAAGATTTATGTAACGTTCTCCTATACGAAAAAATAGAAATGTTGAGTAGCGAACAATCAAAACTTATTTATTCCTAACCATTCATTGACTCCAGGCCTTCTTAATTCTATTTTAGATGTAATTACCAACTCGTATATATGACATTTTGTTAAATGATTTATCGATTAGTCAACTTCCACGTTATTATTTGTCACTTAACAATCGTTTCTAATATCAATTGGATCAGTAGTAAGCATTAAGTCAATGTTAAAAGATTTGAAAGATATTAATGTATTCATTATCGGAATATCAACGTCAGTCTCAATATGGAACAAGATTGAGAGTGAATACTTGCCGATTTGAATATCTATTAAGACATGAGAAGCATGGCGTCTTCGTGGGCTATAAAATAATGTTTTGATTTGTTTCCTTGGTGGGATATTCAATTCTCAATAACAGCAAACCAAACTGACGTAAAAGCTTGAATACATTTTCTGCTGGTTTTTCAAATAATTGCTGAATGCAGACCTCCGATTTTCCATAAAAAATACAGTGCTTAATCGTATCAAGAAACGGTAACCATTCTACGGTTACATGTGGATAAAACGTCCTTATAACACGATAATGAATTAATCTTGAATTATTCTTAAATGCATATTCCATAAAGTCATCAAATAAAGTTACAGGAAGTGCGTAATAGAACCTATATGGAATCTTTTTAACCATAAACTGTTTTTCGCACTCCTGTAATTTTTTGGCAATGTCCTCATAAATATCATCGATATCCCTGGCACCTTGTTCATAAAGAAAGAAATCTTTGGTCAAACGATACTTATATTTATCCTTTGTTATGTACGTTCTTTTTGTATTTCTTAGTTGGATTAAAGCTGTTGGGAACGAGTATGTATACGATGTGAATACATGAATATGTGTCAGATGCGGTTTAGCTTTCAGTTCTGCAGCAATGTGCGTTGCCAATGGAAACACACCGCCCTGATGAGCAAAACCGTAAAAGAAGGCCAACAACGTGTTACAAATATACCATGTGGCAACAAGTTTTCGAATTTTCGAATTTTTTCGCTGCTGTGATTGCTTTCTCGCTTTATAATTAACATAAGCAACTGTTTTTGTACTTGGGTTGTCGCATATCTTTTCGGCATAGAGAAACACTAGTGGCAGAGTCACAGGAATAATGAAACGTGGCTCCTGATGTGGAAATATAGACAGAATCAATATTGGCAGGATGAATGACGTTGTCATCAGACCGATAATGCTTTGGATACGTGGTAACTCAAGCCATCGAGCTTTCAAGCCACTGGAAATCATGAAAGAACATTTATTGGGCGTATTTAAGAAATAATAACTTTGAGATTTTTGTTTAAGTGTTCAGTATTCCAGTGTTTGATTTATTAATATCATTATCACTCACCTGTATATCATTTTACCAAAGGTGATGAGACCAATGATTCCAAGAACGTTATACAATAGTGGTACATTTACTAGGAAGTGTAGAAAACGTGGATGGAGGCCGTGACTAGCAAGATTTTTAGTTTCTGAATTGTACTTTAGAAAATTGAGTGGAGTCACTACAAAGTTCTTCATGCCAATGTCTAAATTATGTATCTCGGCTAATGTTAAGTATCCAAAGTAAAAACTATCAAAGAGTATAAAGAAAATAGCAGTGGGAATGCCATATAGAATAAATGTAAAGATTCTTATATGGAAGTCAAGAAGCCCTACAGTTTTCGAACCAAGACCTCTTTGAAGCCAAAAGAATATTGGTGGAAATGCAAAAGCTATGAAGGTCGGTCTATTGAAAATACCAGCAACGGTTATAGTTGCCAAAATGAGACAGTGATTCAAGGAATGCTGTGGCAAAGATGCCAGTAGCTTATAATATTTGACTCTTTCCACATCGCTTGAGGCTCGTCTGTACCTTTCAAAGAGATGATCACTTTGAAAGACAATCTGAAATAATAAAAACTTATAGTCGCTCCGTAAATGACTTGTTTAACTATTAACTTTATTTATTACCTTCTCTGAATAGGCCATGCATTCCGATACAAAGTGCAACAATAAAGACGTTAATACAAGCTCAATACTATTAGAAAATGTTCTTGTAGCATATGTGATCATAATGTAAGAACTGGCATATGTGACTAATCTCACTCTATAATTCTGATTATACAAATTGCATATTCTATAAAGGCAATAGTCGGAAACAAACGAGAAACCACACATAAGTAGTCGTGGGAATAAGATTAGAAAGTATGGTGATTTTAAAGGTGTACCAAATAAATAAATAGAATATGGGGACAATCTGCTTAGAATAGAATATGATGTTCCAACAATTAAATAGGGAAACACAGCTGTTCGTACGGGAAAGGAAGCATTATACTCCCATGGTTTGTAAACATCGATATCAAAGTAATCGCCTGAAAAGGAACAAATCATAAAAAAATATAATTCTGCAATGTTATATTGAAACCATAATCTCATAATAAATTCTCATAAATTAAAACGTACCTGCAATTACTTCTATTGATTGAAAATATTCATCAGGATGTATATAACCAATTTGTGGCAGGAATGTCAGTACTATCCTTAAACCAGCCAAGACCCAATAGCATACCATTTTCAATTGAATGGGTGTTGCTAAATTATATTCATCAATTGATCTATGGTATTCATTTTTGTAGCCCATTATGAAAATTCTATAACAGTTCTTTAACAATTATTCAAATCCGCATCGTTTGTTGTTTCAAATTTAAGGTTAGTTGACACTAGTGACACTTTTCGTATTTGTGTACATAAACTATAAGCACTTGTACTTAACGAGTCGACGATAGTATTGTTCATCATTTACACCCCTATTTTATCAGTAAATAGATATTACTGCAATAACATCAAAATCAATTGACATTAATAGATTTTAGGCAATTCTACTTCATCTACTGAAATATCAGCTATCACATAATTTCTTAATATATTATAGCAACACGTGTTTCACGTGCGAAATTCAATTTGTATCTTTTAAAATAAGGATATTAAGATGGCAATAAATGCTAATGCTTATAGTTAATTTTAATTTTTTCACATACCCGAATTCAATATCGTATGTTATTTCAACTGATGAAAAACTCAATAATCAGAGATGAGAACATTTTTATAGAAATTTTCAATAATACACGGTGTTTCTTAAGCCCCGGACAGGAGACATATCGTTAGATCCGGCGTGAAAAAATAAAAATTTGGCGTGAACATTATTCATAATTTTTAATTAGTTTATTAATTATTACGGATTAAAGTAAACCAATCATAAGCGCGTGAGAACTGGTAACTCCTCCTCAGTCTCCTCCCATTAGGGATAGCCAATCATTTATTTTCCCACAAAAAACATTTTGCATTTTTCTTTTGTTTATTTCCGTTACTCTTTTGTTTATTTACATTACTATATTCGTTTACGTATCCACTGGTCACTGTTTTTGTGGGGAATTAAATGATTGGCTGTCCCCAATGGGAGGAGACTGAGGAGGAGTTACCAGTTCTCACGCGCTTATTATTGGCTTAGTTTAATCCGTAACAATTAATAACTAATTAAAAATCTTGAATACTGTTGACGCCAATTTTATATTTTTTCACGTCGGATCTAACGGTATGTCTCCTGTCCGGGGCTTAAGAAACACCCTGTATTGTATATGGTTTACGATATTTTACAGTTTTATTTTATAAAAACCAGTCATTACTATGCATTACCCTGTATCAATCAAAAATATTAAAAATAGCTCCTTTATTGTATCCACATAAAGCTAAAATTTTTCCTCCTAGATGCCATTGCACATCTGAGACAATTATTCCTTTTGGTGTTTGTATGCATGTTGCTCCCTCAGGACACCATTCGAATATATGAGGAGTTTCTGTAAGTGCTATTAAACGACTGCAAGTTGGACTCCACTTTACACCTTAAAAATGGAATACAAGATTTGGATTATCTCAATCAAATGAGTACTAAGACAATAAATATGGTATAACTTACTGGTAATAGGATTTCGGAGAATCAAATATTCTACACTGTCAATATTTATATCCCATATCCACAGTGTAGTAGGATAAGCCTGATACCTTACAGCTAAATAACGACCACAGGAGCTGAATTCTAATATATCCACATCAGTTATGATTGGATCGGTATTGTTTTCCCTTTTAACAATTGGAATGTTTATTGGACGGTCATTTATTTCTTCTACTATATATTTAAAGGAATGAAATTGACATTTTAATAAATTGCAGTGTGCAGTTGATATTAAAAATTAACTTTTAATATGGTACTTACAAAGATGTTTTCCATTTACTGATGAATATTTGTTTGAATCTCGAATTTGAATAATACATTCCTTATATACTTTATTCATATAATCAGATTCATTTATTATTGAATTCAAGTATAATTCCAACAGTGGCTTCCACGTTACGTAATTTATAAGCACAACCATTTCATTATATCCAGTAATAGCTATAAGTTGACCACTTGGAATCCATTTGACTTTATTGATTCCTTTTATGCCTCGTTTAAATTCATTTTCTATATCACCTTTATCTGTATCATCTTCTGGAGAATATACTCCTACATGGCTGTCCAAAATAGCCGAAAATACAAGTAATTTTGATTCTCCTATATTGGAGCACCATATACATAATAGTTCGCTATCAGGAGACCAGCAAATTCCGTTAATAGTTTTTAGTCTTTCACATATTAATTTCTGAAATATTAAAAACAATTATGCAATTTAACACAATTATGCATTTAAAAACAATTTGCAAAATTATATTTGAATTGCTTCTACAAGAATGTACAACAAAAGGATCCAGTTCAGTCGGTACAACAGTTTCATCAGCTGTGAACTTATTGTTCTGTTGTAGATACAAAACTGCCACATCTAAGGAGCATATCAGCCTGTGGAGTATGAGCACATGGGACGCTAAATTGTAAGCGTTAGGCTAATTTTCAAGCAAGAAAACTTAATCAAGAAATAAACAGAGTAATGACTACCCGTTATATATGTTGCGCATGCAACCGTTTTCCACATTCTCTTGACTGGGGATATAATGGAGTTGTTTGTTATGGAGCCTGCAATGCTGTTGCATTATACAAACCAGACAATTTTGGCACTGGTAAAGTTTTTAAAACACTTCATCGACATAGTGGACGAGTTATCGGTCTTCGATGGATTAAAAAGCCGGATTTGCAACCAGAAACTGAGTTTTTATCAGCATCAAATGATGGCACTGCTATTATCTGGTCAAAAACCAGTGACACGTTTGAGCCTACATCAATACTGAAAAATACTGATGCTCTTACCATTGCCAATGCATTGTACGTTCCTGAAGATGATAACAGTTCAAGTGAAGACTACCATACATTAATTATCTGTACAGGATCCATTAATGGAGATTTCAAACTTTGGAAAAGAAACAGTAATAGGGATCTTCACTGTTTTCAAACATTGGAACTTAAGCAAAAGTTGCCAGTCGAAGCTGTATTTTCATTTTTGCCCAATTGTCAAAAGCCTCTATTAGCTTTGTCAATGGAGGACTCTTCAGTGCAATTATATTGTCAGGATTCATCAGAAAATTTTATAAAAGTTCAATTATTGGTTGGTCACGAAGATTGGATTCGTTGTATGGATTTTGCTCATGACAACAATGGCAATGTGCTCTTAGCTACTGGTTCACAGGATAGCACAATACGTTTATGGAAAATTTCTATGGACAAAGAAGAAATTGATCCTGATGAACTTAAACAGAAAAAACAACAATTTCTTGTTGAAAAAATAAAATATAATGTCACATTGGAATCTATTTTAAGTAGCCATGAGGGATGGATTTATGGAATACATTGGCATCCAGCAAAAATTTGTAATGGAAAATATGATCAACCTATGAAATTATTATCATCTTCGCTCGATAAAACTATGATAATTTGGGAACCTGATCCTGTAAGTGGTATTTGGTTAGAGTCAATAAGAGTTGGAGATGTTGGTGGAAATTCCGTAGGATTTTATGGTTGTAAATTTGGACCAAATGGAGAGAGTATACTAGCTCATGGATACCAGGGATCTTTCCATATTTGGAAATATTTACAAGAAACAAATAACTGGGCTCCGGAAACAGCACCTAGTGGCCATTTTGCAGAAGTTGTAGATTTATGTTGGGATTCAAAGGGAAGGTATGTAATTCTATATCTTTCAATAACCCTTGATATTATCAATAACCATATCATTAACTCTAACTATAATTTCATTACAGATTTCTAATGACAACTAGCTCAGATCAAACCACAAGAATTCATGCACCCTGGAGGTATGAGTTAGATGAGTGTTGGCATGAAATAGGACGTCCTCAAGTTCACGGCTATGACATGTCTTGTCTAGCAATGTTATCCCCTTACATGTTTGCATCAGGTGCTGAAGAAAAAGTAATAAGAACATTCACGGCGCCAGCAACGTTTATAAACTATTTAAAGAAACTAGCTAATGCCAATGATTTCCAAGGAGTTTTAGCTGAGAGTGCTTCGGTGCCTGCACTTGGCTTAACAAATAAAGCGGTTTTTGAAGGAGAAAAAGCAACTGGAGAAAACTTATATGTTGGTTATTCAAAAGATCTAAACTATGAACAACCTCCAACTGAAGAGGAATTAATTCAACACACACTATGGCCAGAGTTACAAAAGTTATATGGACATGGGTATGAAATATTTTCCCTGGCTGCAAGACACGATGGTTCTATGCTTGCTACAGCTTGTAAATCTACGTCGCCTGAACACTCTGCTATTATTCTATGGAGTACAAAGACTTGGTCACAAGTTCAAAAATTAGTGTCTCACCAGCTGACAGTAACGCAATTGGCATTCTCTCCAAATGATCGATTCTTAGTATCAGTATCAAGGGATAGAAGATGGTCCCTGTTTCAACAGGATGAAAATTCGTATAATTTAATAGCTGCTAGTTTAAAGAAGGATAGTCTGCACAGTCGTATAATTTGGTCCTGTGCGTGGTCGCATGATTCAAAGTACTATGCGACAGGATCCCGTGATGGAAAAATCGGTATATGGAGTACTTCTATTCAGAATGATAATGTAGTCATGCCGATTACCAGTTTGGATAGTAAAGACAATTCAGTAACAGCGATTGCATTCGCACCATTGTTTGTTAACATGGATGCATATGTTATAGCAATTGGTTTTGATAGTGGTAATATAGAAATTCAGAAAGTTGTAATAGAGAGTGGAAACCCTGTTTGGAAAAAATATGTCACATACAATACATCTGAAGCTCATCATTTAACAGTTAAAAGGCTCATGTTCCAGCCAGAAGGAGAAAACTCACAGAAAGGAATTCTACAGTTAGCAAGTTGTAGCTGTGATCATACAGTTAAAATTTACCAGTTTAATATTACGGAGCTGTCTCTTTTGTAAATTTTACATGCAAGAATAAACGTTTATTTATATACTCGGCTATAAGAATCATACTTACCCTACTTATTTTCCAGTTCTTTGTTTTGTAGATAGCAACATTATCTTCATCATTTTCTGCTACTATAAGAGCCAGTTTCTTTCCATTTGGACTAAATTCGAGTTTCTTGTTAGTAGATGATTTTGAATTCTGTATGTATGTTACGTTTCTATTTTCCAAAGACCATATTGATATTTGAATCTGTACAAAAATATATATAAAATATAGCAAATGAACCTGTATGCATAATATACTTGGTGATTTAATTACATTAAAATCTGCCACTGTAATAATGTGCCTATTATCCGGAGACCATATTACTCGTTCTAATCCTGCACTACCTTCAATCAATTTGCATCTCCATTCTGGGAAGCAAATTGAAAATACCCTGACAACAGCTTTCTTGAAATTGGAGCATAATATATATTCACTGTCCAGGGACCATTCGATATACTGCAATTATTTATTAATATCAATAACAATTAAACGTATCAACAGTAATATCGTTATATTATATTCTATCGTCATGAAAGATATATGAGGAAAGCATCTGTTGTAGCATGAGTCCAACATGATACACTAACCTCAATAATATCTCCAAATACGTATGATTGGAAAGTATCAAAGGTTCCCGTATTTTTAATAATCAAGTTTCCTTGAAATGCTACTGCTAAAAACCTTTCATCATTGGAAAAACTGCACAAGTTACTATTCATGCGAAATATCTCATTTTCCACTTCTGTCGTCATCGCGCGTCTCCTTCAATTTAAAACCGGTGACTTGAAAATGCACTGCAGGCAACTACAAAAAATTATTTTATATGATAATATGATTAGAATATCAGATAGTGATTGAATAATTCGCAGTTTCGATTAACTATATACACTAAGTTAATAATGAAAAACACATAATTATTTGTGACATCCTCTTTATTAATGTTCTTACGTTAAATAAAATACCTCTTCTTAATTTTATAGTTGGTATTATTGAATTTAAAAAGCTTCTGTATGGCCAGGTATGGCAGTTAGTAAATTTGTTTCTAGTTCTACTTGAAGAATTCAGTAAAACGTAAGCCTATGTTTAGTATTTAATCATTATTAAAATTATTGAACAATATAATTTTGTGTAACTTTTTTTTATTTTAATACTCACTTAAAATTGAATTTCAGTGTATATACATAAAGTATATAATTGTGTTTCTATAAGGTTAATGAAATTATTCTCTATTTCTTCAATATGAATGGTGTTGTAATAACTCTTTAATCTTCTTAGTAACTGTTCATTTACATTGTTCATTAATTTTACATAATCATTTACAATTTTGATGTGCACAGAATTAAGAAAATGAAAAAAGAAAATCAATCTAAAATCTTGGAGTTTGTGATACCTTTGGAGAAGGATGAACTTTTACAGTCACATACAGGACAGTATTGTGTCAATGAAGTTCTTCCACCGCGTGCTATACCCCAAGCCATCAGTGGTATATGTCTCAAATTTTTTTATGATTAAATTACATTTTGTATGTCAGTAAAAGATGAGAAGAGCTAGATATTGCTATTGACATTCTGATGATTATAATAATTTATTTAACAGATACCAGAGCTGCCTTGCAAGATAATGGTGTAAATTTTATTCTGGAGCATTTTGACACCTTCTTTTCCATAATTGTACATGGTTCCAAAATTGAGCTGTCTATGATTACTAGAGGATTCGATAGGCTCATGAAAAGTAAGTTAATAGTTATAAAAATCAAATCACACAATCTGATTTTAAAATGATCATTTTGTGAGATCATGTGCTTATGTTTTTCTTTTCATTCATCTGATAGCTCTGGAAATATTAGTGGATGATTTAGAGAAGGTGTTTGATTATGGTACAGAATTGATACCAGAAGATAGATCCCGTTTACTATGTATCAATAAAATGTTAGCATATCTTGTATCTTGGTTTATGCGTCATATTAATGGTCGTGTGCAGCAAGATGCTGGTACTATTGATCTGATGGGAAAGGTATAACAGAAATTTATATCCAAACGAGTAAAAAGTAAATTTATGATAATGAATAAAAAATAAAACGAATTCTTTCTTATGTATTATGAAATAGCGAAAGAAGAATGCTAAAAAATCAGATGCAGAAGAAGAGTGGGAAAGGCATAAGCAGAAATCATTGGAGCTTATATATCGTTGGGTACAGCAACCACTGCAAAAGCTGTGGCAACCTCCTATTGCTGAGGATTCATTTATCTCGTAAGTCTATTAAACATGATTGCTAATTAATTAAATAATTTATCTTCAATAGCTATATCTCATAACTACATAACTTGTGGAAAAAATCAAATGATTCTACTGAATAACTCATTCAATAATATACTTTTACAGGGTTCTGACGCAAATATGCTATACATTATTGGAAGACGCAAAAGATTCAAAGCAAAAGCCACTACGAGAAACAATTTTCGAGGTAATTTGTTGATTTGGATTACAAAAGTCTTAAGAAATAAATAAAGTTCTTTAAATACGTTACTACAAAACCATATCTTATACAGATTTTAGGTACACTAGTAAAAAGGTACAATCACGGTGTAATCTGTGTAATAAAAATAGTACAGGTATGTATTAATTGTCGATTCACATAATTTACAAAAATTGGAATTCATCAGAAACTGATTTTTCTGTTTTGTTCAGTTGGTGAAATTACATGACGTCTTAGCGATTCCACTTGCCACAGGAATTGCCCAAATTGTAACTGAAACCGGTTGTACCGGAATGATAAAGGAATTCGTCCGAGAAATCGGCCAAACCGAAGCTGAAGAAGGAGATGCTCGCAATATTTCAATATTTCTGGAATCTCTCTCCTCAGCACGGCCTGACCTCTTATTGCCTATTTTAGGTAGCATCACAGATTATCTATCAAACGATGTAAGATTTTTTGTGTGAATCTCTGAGAAAGTTTATTAACAGAACTTCTTTAATTACTTAATAGAAATCCTTATTGTAATGTCTTATATTACTTGCAGCAATACACTATGAGAAACTGCGTTATCAGCATCCTAGGAGCAATAATATTAGGAGCTTTAACGGGAGAAGATTTAACTCCGGAGCAAAAAGAGAAACGTGATGAGTGTCTGGATAACCTAGAAGAACATATCCTGGATATCAATGCTTATGTCAGGTCGAAGGTTCTTAACACGTGGCAAAAGTTATGCTGTGAGGGTGCTGTTCCTCTAGCTAGACAAGGAAGTCTTCTTAAAGCGACTGTGTTACGATTGGAAGACAAAAGTGCAAACGTTCGAAAGCAGGCATTTCAATTATTACGTGCATTGCTTCAGGGTAATCCTTACGCTGCTAAGGTAGAAAACAAGTATTTTGTTTTAAGAACATCCTCACAATTAACGACATACTATAAGAATTTTAATTGAAGAAAATTTTTAATGCTTGCAGCTTAACCAGAATGAATTATCGAAACAACTTGAAGACGCAATAACTAAATTGAAACAACTGCGCACTGAGCAGGCCAGTCAAAGCGTTCGTGGAGACGAGGAGAGATTGCAATTTTGGAATAGTCAGCTTCCAGTAATAAGGACAGCTATCAAAACTGTTTTGAAAGAAGGTAATAGTTATTAATTACATTTCTATCTATACAAGCGATTACTAAGTTATTGAATCTACGGAAAATATAGAAAACACCGCAAATGAAAACATTGAAGACGTGGACGAGGCTTTTGAGAAAGTAAGACAGTTGATGTTGAGAGAACATGTATTGGAAGCAGTGCAATACTTATGGCATGTAAGTGCACAACTTCCTGGAGCACCAGATATGAGGAATATCGATTCCAATAGTCAAGAAGAATGTCTCTTTCTATTTTTACTGAAAATATTCATGGAGTCGGAGGCTTCGGACTCCAATATGGCAAATAACAATAACAAAACAACTGAATTGGAAAAGTCAAAGGAAAAAGAGCGTAAAAGGCAAAAGGACGAACTCAATGCACAAAAAAGACTCGTCGAATATTTGAAGGTAAGGCAAAAGAATAATTTCTCCATTCATTCCGCATGAAATATCCAAACTCCAATTACAAATACAATTGTTTAATTCGCAGGATTGTTCGCAATTCGCTCAAGAGCTTGCAAACGCTATACCGCAGGCTGAACATCTTCTTTTTTCAACCACAGCCAGCGATGCTGTAGAAGCTTGTGCATTTCTTGGTACAGCTTGTCAGTTTCGTGTAGCTGGTGCCATAAATGGAGTACGAAAAGCTTTATTTCAGGTCTTTAGTCGCGATCAATCAGTCCAGGACAATGTGGCCAACGTTTACAAAGAACTGTATCTAGGAACCAATCAACAATATCAATCAGGGCGTCAACGTGGCTTGGCATCTGTAAAAGCTCTTATTCGCTTTGTAATGGATCTCGAACCTGGACAGAGTCCTGCACTTACTCAGTTGATTGTTTCCTGGTGTAATAGTAAGGATCTTGATGCAGACGCGTTGCAGGTAATTGACTATATTTAATTTTCTTTTGGAATCAGTGAATTGAGTATCGATCTTCGCATAGGTCATGTGGGAAAAATTCTCGATGAAATTACCGGATACCACGCCGGAAGAGAGCAGAGCTGCTCTCGTCTTAATAACTATGGCAGCGAAAGGTGAATCTGCAATAATTACTGGGAATTTGGATGTTTTATTAAAAATAGGGCTCGGTAGACGAGCGAAAACTGATTTGCTCTTAGCTAGGGACACTTGTAGAGCGCTTCATAAGATTCCAAACAATAACACAGATCCCAATAAGCCTCCTGTTAGGTAAGTTTACTTATCTGTTAGTAGAGTTCTTTTTTGTGGCTTTACAATTTTCTATTTAATGCTCGTTTTCGCTTGTAGGTATGCAAACGATCATGAAATATTCCAAAACATTCTTGAGCTTCTAACTGAGAATTTCATGAATCTGGAGGATGAGTGTTACATTTCCTTTGCAACCGATGCTATCAATATTATATATCATGTAAGATAGAATATTTTTGTGCAAGATTTACTCATTTAGCATAGAATAGTTTCAGAAATAATAAATATATTTTATTAGTTAGCGAATCAACCTGATAAGTTAATTAAGGAAATGATGCTTGATGTGGTTGCGAAAGGTAATTTTGTCAAAAACGGTTCATACAGTGCTGTAGCACCTGCACCACTCTTAGCAAGACTCTTATATCTTGTTGGTCACATTGCCATTCGACAGATGGTACACCTTGATACTGCAGTATACAAGGAATTAAAACGTAGAAATGAATTACGAGAGATGAAACGTGGACGTAAATCTAAGAAAAGAGATACGTTGCTACCGGAGAGTGTTCCAAACACTCCTTCCTGTGCGAGTCAAACTCTTCGTAACAAAGAGGTACTATTTAACAGTTTTCACATATTAATATCTTACGATATTATTAATTTAGCATTTTCGTTTCACGTAGAATAGTACTATTGAGGACAATGGCGAAGAAGCTCTAGAAGGAGCCACGGCTGATGATGCTGATGCAGAATTTATTAATGCGACGTTAGAAAATGACATCGTTACAGGGGATGGACTACTCGCTAAATTTGTGTGCGTACATTTAACACGTTGCTCATATTTTTTGTGTGATCATTAGTCATTTTTCGAAATCATTGTTATGCAATTTATTCAGTGGCTAAACGAACTAAGTCGATTTTTGAAAATAATTGCAGTCCTCTCGTGCTAGACATTTGTCGATATCCAGACAAATATAATGATGAAAATGTACAGGCCTGGGGTGTTCTTGCTCTCAGTAAAATGATGACTGTCAGTAGTCGCTTTTGCGAGGAGTCTCTACAACTTTTGGTTACGATAATGGAACGATCGCCCTATCCTGGAATTAGAGCGAACGTTTTGATTGGACTGACGGACTTGACTATTAGATTTCCTAATCAGATAGAGCCTTGGACGAGCCACATTTATGGCAGGTATGTTGCAAGAGAAGACATATTTTTATTTAACATTACTCTAAAGTTAGAAAACTGTAAATAATATTGATTGCAGGCTTCGCGATGACAATACTAATGTGCGAAGTACTTGTGTTCGTATGTTATCCAACCTGATAATGAGAGAAATGGTGAGGGTCAAGGGCCAAGTGTCAGAGTTGGCACTTTGTATTGTCGACCCCGATCCTGACATTTGTCAAAGTACGAAGCAGTTCTTTAGAGATCTTTCTCAAAAGGGTAACGCTTTGTACAATGTAATGCCAGATATACTATCTCGATTAAGCGATCCTGAGCTTCATTTGGAAGAGGATAAGTTCCAGGAGGTTCTCCGGTAAATGAACAAACCATAAAATTTTCTCAACATTACAGTTTTACAACAATTAAATGTTCTTTCTTTTACTTATAGTTATATATTGGGATTATTACAAAAGGAAAGACAAGTGGATACCATAATCGAAAAGCTCTGCGCACGTTTTAAATTGGCTACCACTGAACGCCAATGGCGCGATCTTTCTTATTGCTTATCACTTCTTCATTTCAGTGGAAAAAGTAATTAATGAAATAATCGACAGTCTTAATTTCATTACGAATTTTCTTTTAGCGTGTAGCTAACAATAAAATGGTATATTCTTTCAGGTATCAGACGTCTAATAGAGAGTCTTCCACTTCTAAAAGACAAGATTCATCACAGAGAAGTGCAAAGGGCTCTAAGGAGTATAATCGATCAGACAAAAAAAAAACCAGATGCAAAGGCAGCTTGTCTTGAATTAGACGAGAAGATTAAGGAAATGCTTGAGAACGCAAAAACTATGGAAGATAGAGATCCAGATGCTGATGTTATGCCTCCTCCACGACTTCCGCCTCGTAAAAAAATGGTTCGTAAAGCAGGAAAACAAAGCAGCAGCGAAGAAGACGATTCGTCGGATGATGACGACCCAGTATCAACCCCAAGAAGATGTATGTGATAATTAGAATTAATAATATCCGTATGTAATACTTGTTCATATTTTCACGAAAACGAATTAATTAATTTAATGATTCAGATATAAAAAGTAAACGTAAATCACGCACGACGGAGCAAAAGTCTGATTCAGACTCTGAAGAAGATGCTGCCTTGGCTTTCAGCAAAACTCCTTCAAAGCGAAGTGAGTGCCAATAAAATTAAAATTAACATTATACAGATTGCTTTATTGATTTTATGAAACAAAATCATTTATTTAAATCTTTATTTTTTATTAGCTTCAAAAACACCAAGACGACAGAAGATACTTGAAACCCCCAGTACATTAACGACTCCAAAACGAAGTCAAACGAGTAGAACACCTGCAAGATCATCAACAGAAACACCAACAAGAACATCACTGCGATTATCAACGCGGTCAGCACGATCGAAAAAAATGTAAGATTAGTTTAGCATATCATTAAAGGCCTTATAATTCATCATTTTTTTCATTAAACTAGTAACGAGTTATTCGATTAAACTGAAATATGCAATTTGTACATTTCTTATACTGCATTTCAAATAAAAATAACGGAAAATAATTACATTGGCATCTTGTGAATTTCATCAATAGCATAAATATTTTACACATGATTTATTATTGCATTGCTCTCTTCTTTAGAGACTTATAAGTTATTCTGAAGTCTTATCAACAAGAAGAACCGATGAGCTATAATTCAATTATCTAACTGTAATCATTTCCAGTAAACAGAAGGACGTGCACAGAGATCAATATTATTGTACAGTTGTTTTCATTTTTTTTTTCTTTTAATGAATTAATAAAACAAAATAACAATAGTATGCACACATATCATTGTGTCAGAATGTGACGATTGCTTAAGTAAAATTCATTTAGAGTTCGATAATCTACAAATGTAAAATAATTAAATTCATGCTCCTAGAGTATATTATTATGCTCTTAGCACTGCTATAATTAAATCTGTATTTTTTCATTATTCACAGCGAATTGTTCTTACTTAGAACAAACCATTCGATCCCATAGATTCCATCTTAGAAACCATTTCTTAGTCGTTACAAGGTAACAAAAGAATTACTATTAGAAGACATAGGATATCCAAGTGTCTTCTAAATCATTATAATATTACGTTATTATACAAAAACAAAATCATCTTTTCATCAGTACTAATAGAGAAATAATCGTCTTAATTTCTCTATAAGAATATTCTAAGTAACATAAAATCTTAAAGGAGAGAATTTCGTTATCCTTCAACAAGACTAGACACTGTGACACATCAAATCATCAATCCAATCTGGTTCCACATTTTCGTGGATCGAATGTATATGCAAAAGTGTTATAAACAAAAGAAAAGTGAGGAAGAGAGAAAACATAATAACTCTCAGAGATGCATACAGGGCAGACTAAGGAATTATACTGAAATAAAGTAAAAAAACAAGAAAAGGAAGTTCGAAGGCGAATTAACATGCGTACAGACCTAGACCATCCTCATGATGATGATGATGACGATTTATCCAATCAATGTCTACTCGGCCTGTACAATGTGAAACGTACCTTCGATACGAACACAGCCGAGGCATTATACACCTTAATAAGAAATCATCAAATGCATGCATAAGATGACGATTAAGCAGAATGTCGATGTTTCTTACGCTAAGGTAAGTCACGGCTAGCGCTACGCTTAAACGTCATGGATCGCACTTCCGTTGCTGATTTGGTTGGCTTGGAAGTCATCGAGATTGCGGAAGTACTAGAAGGTGCAGAACTAGGAGTAGGACTTTGTGATAGAGATGCCCTATCGTCATTGGCAGATTTTTCACGTTCTAACCTCTGTTTACTGAACTTTCCCATACCAGGTCGATAGATCTCCATGGCAGGACGATCCTGGAAGGTGTAATTAGTCATGAAATTCCTACTATTGATTTTTCACGGTACAGATAATATCTTTGAAATGATTAGACTCATTTTATTTTACCTTGTTTCTGATCCTACGTTCTAATCTTGGATCCTTCTTATCCTTTTCTTTATCCTCAGCTTCATTTTTCTTCAGGTTACTCTGGTCGGCACCATCTAAGGATTTATGACGTCTCAATGATCCACCATCACCTGCTCCCCCTTCGCCGCCACTTTCCAATGAACTGCGTCTCTTTACCACTTTTCCTGTGTCCTTCCTGCTGTCTAAGTCGGCGCTGTAATTTGTCTCCTGATCAATATGATCGTTCGACCTTGATTTTGCTGACTCCTTGGAATCGTTCTGACACGATAACGGCACTCCTACACTTTCTGAAAATAAGAATATTTTAGGATCATTGAATGTTCTAAAAATCCCATAAAGCTTGGTTAAGACGAAAGTAACGATGGCTTACCTTGAATTTCTGTGATTTGCCTTAAAGACGCCGCATCCAACTTATCATCCTTTACTACTGGCTCCGAAGATTTGCTATCATCAGAGTCTACTTTGACCTTTTGCTTATCAGTATTCTTCTTCGTGTCATCCTTAGACGTTTGACTTTTGTCTGTTTTCCTGGAAGCAGCGGATACGACGATTTCAACTTGTTTGTCCTTCTTTTGACTAGACTCTCGTTCCTCCTTCCTTGGCTTCGCACCAGCTGCAGTTGTTGCTTCCGCACAGGTATCAACATTCTGTCTCTTAGCTTCAGCTAGTCTCTTCTTTTCTTGTCTCATCTTCTCGTAACTCTTTCCTCGCTTCTCTTCCGCCTTACGATCTCTTAATTCCTTCCCGTCGTCCTTAGGCTCGTTCTTCCTGTCCTCCTTCATTTCGCTTCGCCTGTCTTCCTTTGGATTTTCTCTGTCATCTTTTCTGCCATATGGTTTTTTCTCCTCGTGCTTTCTTTGATGCTTTGATGCATCTCTGTCCTTGTTTCTTTCATCTCGTTCCCGGTATCCTTTAGCTAGCGTCTTCGAATCTCGGTCTCGAGACAATTTCTCACGCATTCTCTCATCTCGCTTATTGCGATTCTTCAAATCCTTCAGAGACAGCTTTTCTTTCTCGTCCTTGTTCTCTTTGTTATCCTTGCTCGTTTCTCGCTCAGCATCTGGATTCTTGAGCACCTGCAACAGACGAAGTCTTGTACTTTCATAATGCACTGGGAATTCTATAAGACGACACTGATCTATGTCGACTTACTCAGGCGAGAACTGCTAATCGAATTGAAGTTCAAAGATAAAGAAAACACCTAGAGCTTCTATGAGTAAAAGAAAACATATTCATAAAGAATATAATATTATATAATTATTTCCTCCGTGTTCAGTGATAACGCTTGTGCTGTTATTTATTAAAGAAAATAACAAGCGACAATAAATTTCGTGCACTCGTCTATTACAAATAACGTATAACGTTCTGGAATATAATTTCTTAAGAATCTTTGAAGTATCGTGTGGATATAAAAAGTGACATTGCCGATGATCCCTCAGCAGTGGACTGATTAATTACGGGAAACATGAATTTCTTCATTACTCATCAGCTGTATATGCCGTTCATGAGTTTTTACGAAATCCTGGTAATCCAGTTTTGATGGCTGTTTTAAAAGGACATATCGTGTCGCTAATAGGAACAGCGCTACAACTTTTTGATTTAGTTAAACAGTTTGGATTTTGTGATTCCCATATCTTTCGTAAGTTCATCGAATGACTCTTTGGCAAAGCTGGGAAATATTCATTGTTATCTGCACATCGAATTGCTACATTTTTTTTCTTTCTTTCTGCTACAAGACCGCATTTGGTATGAAACCAATTACGATCATGTGCATTATATTTTCTCCAGTAGAAGTCTTCTCTTCTGAAACCCTTTTCACGGTAATCAAATAATTTTCTAATGTCAGATTGTCTTATATCAGAATTCTCATGTTTCTTAATACGCGTTATTGTCTTCTCCTTTGTGTAAACGTCAACGCCTTCAGAAATTCGATCACGGATGTTACACAAACTGTCATTCACTTTCGAATGATTTGGTTCCTCAGTGCACTTTGCTTCAAAGAATTTACGATGGGATTCTACGGGTTGCTCCAGGGTGTCACCGGGACATTGGGAAATGACTTCTTTTAATACAGAACTTGAGGACAAAACAAGGTATAGGTTTTCGTTCTGGTCTTCATCGCTACAGTGTATGCGCTGCGAAGGGGAAGGTTAATATCAGCGACTAAATGTAGGCAATGTTTCCCAAACACTAGCGCGTTATGTTTTTCGGAAATTTATACTGGAAGGAATCATGCTTATTATTTTTTAAAGAGGAGGATATCTAAAAGTTTGGGAATCACTGAATTGGCCCTTATACGAACGATCAAATGGAACTGAATGTTTTACAAATCTTTGAGTTCAGTAAAATTATTTGTGCAATTAGTTTATAAGGGAAAAATTAGTAGATTATTAAATAAATGTAAAGCTCCTTATAATTAATAGCAATGATTATAATCACCTTAGATATTGTTGGCTCATCTTTTGCTCTCCGCCTCTCGATATCCCGACGACGTCGTTCTTCTCGCTTTTCATCCCTTAGACGTTGTTTCTCTTGCTTACGTTGTTTTAGAAATTCCAAGAGTGGTGTGGTTGTTACTTTCTTTTGTGAGTCTAGAACAAAGTGTTCATGGTTTAATTTTGACACTATATTACGCTGTGTATTTATAGTGATAATATTTCATTGAACAGTTCTGATACTTACTGTCGGATGGCTGATAAGAGTATTCTGTTTTTGGCTGCCCTGTTCCAGACTCGGATTCCAAATTTTTTAAACTTTCCAGGAAACTAATGTAATATGGATCTGCTTCAAGGGTACCACATTTCAAATCCTTCTTCTTCCCTACACGTTTCTTGGGTAACCTTTGGAATGGAGCAAATTCTACTACAGCTGGATACTCTGCACCCTTTGAGTCAACGAAGACATAATTATCAAATTTCTCTCGAAATATAAAAATGTCCTGCTGCTCCAGGAAGTTGATATAAGCACGTGAGAATGCATATTGACCAAGTGACGTATCAGCTTTGACAAAATACAGATAATCGTGCTCAGGAAGTGGAGAGACCTGCTCCATAAATTGCTCCTGTGTCATCGATGGTGGTAGTCGCCTTATTACTACCTATACAAATAATAAACAGTATGACTTAAAATAGATTGTATTATGTAAGATTTCTTATACCAATTATAAATTTATTTTTGAAATCTGTATTTTTATCATTCTAGGTAAAATTGTAGAATACAACTTTTTCTTGAAGAACCACATCTAAAAAACACAACAATTCATAGCTAGCTTCAAAAATAGGTCGTATTCTGCAGTTTGGCCTCCTTCTAAATAATATTACAATATCAAAAACATTAGAACGGCATTGTACTTAACTGAATTAAATCCAAAACAGAATATTTTTTAATGATACATAGACAATTAAAATTATTCCTGCTCTTTTTATAACAACTTATTGGTTAAGAATAAAACTTAATGAACTAATATTGTTTTAATACCCGAAATAATGAAATTATAAACTGTATCCTAACCAAACATTGAAAATACGTTTTTCTAAAATACAATCTACCCAGAGGGTAGCAATTTACATAAAATATTTTAAACGAATTTGTAAACATGTATTTCGTATCAAATTATGATGTACCTTTGTCATAGGTCGGCATTTCTCCTTTTTATTGTCTCTTAACTTGTTAGCATCAGGAGTGCTGGTCTGTGATTCAGTTTGAGCTGATGCCTCAGACTGCTGTGTTTCTTCAGTCATTCTCAGATGAAATCGTCGATTTTTATGAAAGCCAAGAGTATTGCTTTTATCATGCCAATCCCAACTTTTCAATAAATAATGTTCTGAGCGAACAATTTTCAAACAGGTCAACAAAATAAACCTCTGCCGTTTATGAACAGTCCACTGCCATCTTGAGTACTACACGATGTTTCCAATGGAGATTTTTTTGAAACAGTAAAAAACAGAGATTTACAGCACATTTTTTTATTATGTTCATTATATATATATTGCAAAGTTAACATAAATCTACTATTTTTAAATAATACAATACATACTACACGACAGAGTAGACATATTACAAACTATTAATACTGTTGTTTTAAGAGTAATTATATGTGAGCTACAAGTATACAATTTTTCATATACATCTTAAATGTCTATTCTTAATGGAAACTCTCTTAAACGTATATTAAAAAATCTTTTAGACAATTGTTTGGACGATGCTAAATGTTTACTAAATCACGGCCAGCTTGCATTTTGTTTTTATAAAAGTAAAAAGATAAATGCTCTGTAAATGAAAAATTAGGGACTGAAAGATGAAACGTTATATGTACTATAAAATTAAGAGAAACATAATATATAATGAAACTCTTCTACAATCTTCTATAATCATCACGTTGTTGAGGTTGCGAAGTTGATATCAATGTAGAGTATATGAAGGGTAAAATAGAAGACAATGCTAAGCAAAGACCGATGAATGGACGGTACCATACCCAAGCAAAACCAATAACCAGTAAACTGATTGACATTGAAACTGACATAGTAACAGATTCAATTGCAATTATCCCACACAGGAAGGTAGAGTTCAAGATCAGTGTCCTCAATATATTCGCCAAGCATGTTGCTGCTAGAAACATCACTAGCCATCCAAGACCTCTGTATAATAATTATATTTTTATTGATTTTCGAGGTAATTGTTTAGAAAATCATTATGTTACCTATTAGTCCATGTGCGCCAATAATTGTGAACGTGTTCCATATGGAACATTTGATCTACTGACAGCTTGTGTTTACGTTGAAGCAAAACTTCTTCACCACGTGAAGTGATATATGGAACTATTGTTCCATGAATCATCAAGCCAACGATGGAGTAAATGTCGTCAGCTTTTCCTGCATAGGAAAATTGTATTCGAATGTCTCCTACCTGAGCATGAAAATATTATGTTGTAACATGAATGAAATAATTTTTTTGACTGATCGGTACCTGAGGATTCCACAAATCTGCACTATGATAATATAATCCTGAGTGCATTTTAATATCTCTACGCTCTGGTCTCTCATCGCTAGTAATTTCGACAAAATCATTGAACTTTTTCTTTAGTTCTGTACCAAGTGTTATAGCTCCTATTTTAACTTCATCTGCAATTTGTACTTGACTCTTAATAGGTATATTCTTTGGATTATGATGTCCAGTTCTAATATAAAATTGATCAGAATCGATAAGTTTATCTTTCCACTCAGTAGAATAGTAATAATGTTTTTTATCTTCCGTTGCTTCTCCAAAACTGAAAAATGTTAATTATAAGATTGAATTCAATACATTGATTAAAGTTGTACAAAATTCGTATGTTTACAACTTGGATGACTGTGTTATTACAGAATTAAGAAAAGAAGTTACCTTCGCTCTTCTTCAATCTCAATCCACTGATACATCTGAACTCGTCTTTTAAGTTTGACACTAGCCATAACAACTCCATAATCTGGTTCTGTTAAAGGTTCAGAGACCGATATATAGCCAGTAAAATGAACCAAACGCCCTTCGTGTTCAGGTAGTATCTTCATTGGATTTGAGAGCACAGCAACATTACGCAAAGCCTCATCTAAAGAATGAGCTACCTTTGCAGCATGACCCTAGAAATGAGTATTTGTTACTGAAGCTATACTCATTACATTAAGTAAAAAATTTTCATTAAACACACCTCATTCCAAAAAAGAAGACACATGCCAACAGCAAATAAAATTGAACCTATGATCGCTGTGAGCCATGATTCTTTGAATTGCTCCGAAACACTCATTGGTACATGTACAAGACCTAATTGTCGCCCGTTTGAACGATTTCGATGTGCTCGCTCTGTATGCAACCGTTGTGGTTGTCCATTCTGCTATTTTCCATTAATATAATCATGGCAAATAAGGAGAAAGATTAATTACAAAGACCTCGGCACAAATATTGTCAATTTATATGGTTCAATATTGAACATAGTCGCAAATTAGAATATTCGTTGTTACATTAACAACATCGTTATTCATACAATACTTTTATATTATAGCTGTACAATATTGTAGATAGAAAAAATTATTATAGATGAAGTTGAATAATCTATTGTGTAAAGTATAACATTATAGTTATTTCTAAAAAGTATCTTTCTTACATTTGTGCGATACATTATGCAGTATTAAGTATGATGATCATCAAGGTTTAGTTCGTATTCTTTATGAGAAAATTAATTTTTATTTATCGAACTACATTTTGAGGTTACGCGCCTGGTGCAACTCGTTACATGCCCTTTTATTCTTGCATGGCAAATATTCTTTACACGAACTCATTTTACCGCAAGCAAATTACTAATTACACATTAAACAATTTTCAATATTCTGATATCTTTCCATCATGATGTTCAACATTTCATCACTGGATTACATGACATATCTTTCATCCATAGATACACATGTATCCTTCAATATAACTTAAAATGTTTATTGATTTTTCGTACTTCGTTAAAGTAGAACTAATCTTTAAATCTAAAACGTCATTGGCATGATAACATTATTCAGTGTTAACTTTTAACGATTTTAGTTTTCAATGACGTAAGTGGTCTAAATTATTTATATATTGACTCTGCAGCAGTACTTGGGAAAGAAAAATTGTGTAAAATAAAAATCATTTTTCCACTTCAATCACTCTATAAAACGAAACGTATAAAGACATATTTTGAAAATTATATGTATAATAATCGTGAGAGTTTAGTTATGATTACTTTCTTCAATGCTTTTTTTTCCCCCCAATTAATGTGAGCAAGCTCATTTTTACTAAAGTCGGAATGAGATGATATAATGCTATAACAAAAAGTTGTAAGTTGTACAAAAAAACAATACTTTTAAAGATATTAAAGACTCTATGAATTTTTGACATTTAACATCAAAAAAGAGAATCAGACGTCCTTTGAATCTTTTAAAAAATGGACGTTTATTTGATCACGTACAAGATAAATGATGAAAATTAAATAGTCGTTATTTCTAATACCTTAAAAATATATTAAGCTTGTACTCTGCTTTGACATATTACCATAACGTTTTTCAAAAAGATAGTGTGTATTGCGAATGATCGTACCGGTTTCAAGCAGTTTCGGATAGATCATCAAGTCATACGATCGACTAATCATGCATTTAATTCTGTCCCGATGTAATGAATTACATATACATATTCACCTATCAATATTATTTAAGGACGCTGCAAAAGGCACATTATTCCAATTGACTTATTGGAAATCCACATAGAGCATTGACCAAAACACACATTTGTGGAATGGGCAGCTAGTCCGAATCTATGTATGTAGGTGAACAAGTAAATTTCGCTTTTACTTAACTGTATTTTTTTTTAAAGCTATAAAGTTTACAACATATAAATCTTTTCATATGCTCGAAGTTTCTGTCCGAAACTGTGACCTGCGATTAAAAATGTGACGCAATGATAGAGATGCAATTATGGCGTATATAAATTTTTAAAGGAAATGTTTCCTCGAGAGCAAGGTAATGTTAAGTATTTCTGACTGTATTCCCGTTTGGCAATATGAATAGTAGATATTAAATTTCCATTAGTGGATCTCCAATTTCGAATCAAGATATAGAATATATTCGCCTATTCCATCTAGCTCTATTAGTACTCTATATTGCGTGCACTCCTCTCATTTTCTCGTATACTTTCCTCATGAACATAAAAAAAGTATCTAAAAAAAAAAGTACTACAGATCTAAGCATTTCTAAAAATGTTTCTTGGTCACTGTTAAAAAGATACGTATCGTTAAAACTTGCAGTCTCAGGACGCTGCTCTCAATTTTCTTTTCTATAAGCGTGCCAACCTTATAACAAGACTATCGATTCAGTATCATCAGACGAATCTTTTCATAAGCGTAGCTCAAGTTCTTTCCAAGACCACTGCAACAACCGTTTTCCTGAATAGTCTGGAATCGATACGTGCGAAAGTTTTTCTCTTTATCGATGTAAGTCACCGCTGCCATGAGCGGACACATTATGATTTTTGTGTGATCGAGGAAATTGATCTAGAACAAATTTTAAAAAATAAACTTAACAATTAAAGCACATGTTTATTAAAACAAAATATTGTATTTGCTATCCGAAGATATAGATGGTTGTTCAAAATCTATGAGACAGACTCACCTGTATAGATCCGTTGGTCAACTGCATGACAACAGCAGATTGTGTTCTGAACCATTGATGCATGTACGGAATTCTCGACATGGAATCGCTTTGTTTCACTGCAACGGATCCTCCTGCTTTCATTAAGTGTTCGTTCATGTACCGCAGGAAGAAGTCCAACAGTTTCATCTTCTTATCGAGGTGACTAGGAAATTCTTTGGTCGTGTAATACAACTCTTTTCCCTCCCGATTTATGTAATGAATGTTGAAGCCGTTCGCCAACATTATCAGGCGCGTTCCATCATTAAACATCACACCGACACCATCGTCGGAAAGTTGGTAACCGAAACCATACTTATCCGAATAGTCCACCCATTTACTTACCCAGACAAATGGCTGTGCAGCTGGGTCAGTCATTTCATCTGTGAAATTTCATGGATTTAGTATAAAGATTCCTTAGAATGAATAATAATCAAGTTTACATTTATAAAATAATGTTTTCTTCTCTATAACGTTATTACGTACTAATAACTAAATAACGATCTTTGAAAAAACTGGAAATTACCATTTGGTTTATTTTCGAGTAACGTTTAGATTAGAGATTATTAATTACCATAACATGATGAACAAATCTCGGATAGCTAAAGTCATGGAAATGATTGTCATTACTTGTGACGAAACCTTAATTATCTTCTGGTTAAAAGAAACTAAGTAAAATATACTATGAAGCAAACCAATTACAAAAGCATCCTCAGAGCGCAATGTGGTCTTGTTGTTAGGATGGCATCGTTAATATTAAACAATACCAAAAGTTAAAATAATAAACATGCTATTTGCCGATTGAAGAAAGGTACCTGCAGAGTTAGCTGCTTTGCGCGTCGGTTTAGAACTTAAGACTGCAGCCAGCTGGTCTTTTAACGTTTGCAGCATCTTCTTTATGTCATGATTTAACTTCTGCACTTCCGAATTGCCATCCACAGACTTCGACTTGGGCGCTGGACTGTTGGGAATCCCTGGTATATTATCAATCGTCTCCTTGCCCGTATTATGATTCATTTCAGTTAATGGCTTGCGTTGATTGTGCATCTCCAACATATCGGATCGTGGAGCCATTGTGAGGCAGGATAAGGGTAAACTCGTTGGCAAAAACCCTATAGAAATATTACGTTATGAGTCATTTAGGAGTTGATCAAATGGTTTGTCTAATTGAAATAAATTGAAAATAAGTTTACCTGAAGTGAAGAACACGTCCTTCATTAGTTTTCCTACATTGGGACGTTTCGAAGGATTCCCTTGCAACATATTTGATATCATATTCATTGCAGCAGTGCTGAGATGTTGTGGGGTTTTATATTGAACTTGTTTGATTCTTGCGTATGTTTCTTTCAGACTGGAGGTCTCAAATGGAGGTTTCCCAGCAAGCAATGTGTACATAATACAACCGATACTCCATACATCAACCTCATAAGAATGTCCAACTTTGTTAAGAATTTCTGGAGCTATATAATTTGGTGTCCCGCACAGTGTTCTGTATTAGAAGGAGAGCAAAAAGAATAAAAACTTTAAATTTAATATAAGAGAGAGCACTGGTTTAATTTGTATTTTATGGAATTTTCTTTACGTACTTTTTGCGTTCGTCGTCACGCTCCAATTTCGTTGCAAGACCAAAATCACCAATTTTTACTTGTAAATCGTCATTGAGGAATAAATTTCCTAGCTTCAAATCTCTGTGAATAATCTTATTTTGATGTAAGTAAAAAACACCATCCAAAATTTGCTTCATGTAGAATCTCGTTTCACACTCAGTCAATGCTTTTCTACGTTTATGTAGCTCCATCATTGACTAAAATGATATAATTATGAAATTTTCATATTCTGCTCTTAGCAAAAATAGTTTTACGATGCCAAAATGATTTACCCTTTTCCGACAGAGCTCCAGGATGATATATATATTATTTGAATCATCAAAGAATCCATGAAATCCTACAATGTGCCGATGGTTTAAGCTTCTGTGAATAGCTATTTCTTGTGTCATTTTGTCGCGTTGATTACTTTTAGTCATTATCGATTTTGGCACTATCTTTCCAGCAAAGACGTGATGTGACTTTGACTCCTTGATTTCGTAACATTTTGCAAATCCACCCTATTGAGATGAAGAAAAGCTTAAGCAATTTGTATAAATATTTAACAACACAATATAATTTGGATCAATTAAAGAAAACTCTTAAAAGGAAACTTGATAAAATTATGTATTTAGTCAACAATATTAGTGTTAATAAAATGTTGCTACAAAAACAATTTCTCTTATTTATAAAACATTTATATATAATGAATCGTAACATATCGTTTTGCTTAGGATGACTGATATTGAAAAACTGATTTATGAAATTCATCAATATATGTCGAGCACATTAAAATTCATGAAAATGCATATGCATTATTGGAATGTTGGTATCAGATGTCATGTCCAACAAAATTAAACTACGATCCATTACCAAAAGTGTGAACTTTCATAAGTGTTTGTAACCAATAAGTCTTTCATAGTGTATTTACCCTTGTATATAAATATTTTCATAAGCAAGACAAAGATATAAGTATAGAAGTTTACAAGGAATTGATAAATACAGGAAGAGTCAGAAACTTCTGTAAAAAAAATATTATTCCAGTGTACTTGGAATAAAATGCATTAGTTTAAAGTAGGCGTTACAGAAACGATTGACGGGCATCATGTTCATTTTGAAAGTACATGCTCACCTTGCCGAAAAACCGGCCTTTGATGTAACTTTTTCCGGAATTTACGTCGTATATGATGTCCGGAATGGTACACTCCTTTTCCTCTTTCGACATAATGCGTCCTTTCGTGATCCTTATGGCAGAGCAGTCAATGTATAAAACTTCGAAGTCGAGTAAAAAGTTCGTAGTTGACAAGCTCACGCTGAAGCGACAAAACTGGTCTTCTTGGCAACTCGCTTTCAAGTAGCTGTTGCTTCTCGCAGAAAACGAGCAACGGACTTCGATGTTTAAATCGCCAGAATATTTCAAATCAACCAATCACAACGCGAGACTTGAACCGCCTGACCAAATTTAAATAAACCCGCGTCAATAATGCGCACCCTCCCGGCAGTCCTTGAAACTTCATTCGCCGGCCGATAGATCCTTACACTGTTCTCAACTGTCCTTTGAGAATCCAGCATGTATAGTGGCTATTTCCAAAGTACCTTTACATTTATAAATTTATGTCAAAATGGATAACAAAATAATAAAATTGACTGTGCTTAAAGTAAACGTATAAGTGATAAGAGTTCATCAATATAATAATAAGTTTATAGTACTATAATTGCAAAATAGATTACTCAATGGATGATTTCAAAATTTTTAAATATATAAAATCTTGAAATGTATAATCATTCAATTTATTTATTTCGAATATATTAGATATTAACATTATAATGGTGAAATAATATATTAACGCTACTTTTTGTAGGCACTCCTTATTCAAAGTTAAAAAAGACAGTGTCATACGAACTAGTCACTCTGTTGCCAAATATGTTAACTTTTATGTACTTATAATCTGAATGGAAAGAATCTCATCTTTATGGGTTCAGTAATTCTTCATTCTATTTGACATGAAGGTTATGGTTTCGTTTATAATTTGTACTCGTGTAACAGTAGCCAATGAGAGGTAACATCCGGTAAACCAGCGGGCGGCCATCGGTGCTCATTTTCATTAGTATGGTCGATGCTCCTCTTTCCGGCAGCCGGCGTCCATTTTCCCTGGCGGCTTGTCGACCCTGTTGGCGCGTCTTTAGTCTGTGCGTGGATTATTTCTCATTCATCAAATAACTAAGAGAAGAGTAAAGTGCAATTAAGTTATTCCACGGGCGACTCAAGAGACTTAGAGAGTGTAATATTCTGTACACTTTATAGAAATATAGATCAACCGTTTTGTGCAAATCGGCGAAAAATCGCGCGTAAAATTCTTAGCTCGTGATTTTTCTCGATGGCGTCCGTGGTGTAATGTGCTTATATTTTTTAAGATTTGCACCGGTGTTTTGAAAGCGTGCTTGTTATTACAGAAGTTATTGATAATGGAGGGTGCGCCAGGGAGGGGTGTCTTTAGGGGTCGCGGAGGACCTGGTGGACCTCCTATGCGAGGACGCGGTGGATTTGGTGATAGAGGAAGGTTCGTGTTGGATTATGTATTGTTTACATTGTATTTTCTATTTACAATGAATAGACATAACTGATTATATGTAGTCGAAGATTATGCGTTACTCCAAAATAGAATTCGAAAATTGGTATCATATTTTTGGTTTGAATATTTTATACACTAAAAATAAAATTCCTGAAAAGTCTTTAATATAGATCATGGTATTGAATTACATATTATTTCAAAGAATCGTCTTTTATTTTGTAGTGTAAGATATTAAAACCAGTATTTATTATTATATTAAAGTATACGAAACTAACCAATTGTCTTTTAGTAATATTCTGTAAACTTATTCTGTTTTACAGGGGTGGTCCTCCAAGAGGAGGAATGATGAGAGGACGTGGTGGTGGTCCTGGAGGTGGTATGCGTGGTGGGCCACCAGGCATGCGTGGACGAGGAGGTCCACCTCTTCGAGGTGGTCGTGGTGGACACTTTCCACCGGGGTAATTGTGTATACAAATTCTATTACGTACAATATATCTTTGAGTAGTAGTTCTAAGAAAACTGAATTATGGATATTAAAAAGACAAATACTATTTTATATAAATATAAAATAATTTTCAGAGGTCCTCCAGAACCAGGAATGGGTCCAGGCAATGGCCCACCTCCTCCAGGAATGGGCGGACCTCCTAGAGGAGGTAGAGGCGGGATGGGAGGAGGCTTTCGTGGAAGAGGTAGAGGCGACTTTGGTAGAGGAGATTCTCGGGGAGGTGGTGGTCTCTTCCGAGGTCGTGGCGGTATGGGCATGGATCGTGGTGGTACGAGAGGTGGATCTAGGTATGATAGCAAGTTACATTATATTTTGCATTATTTTGAATCTAACTTGAAAGCTACAATCGGAATTCTTATAGGGGTGGTGGAATGCAAAGAGGAGGACCAGGAGGTAGAGGTGGTTACATAGATCGTGGTAGAGGAGGAGGTGGCGGTGGACGTGGTGGACCTATGAAACGTGGAGGAGGACCTCCAGGTGCCAGTGGACCTCCTAAAAGACCCCGATATGATCAACCACCAGTACAATCTGCAAATGGCTATGCCACACAGCCACCTAGGTAAACTGACTTCTGGTGACCTAAAAAATGCTACGGTGCGTGTAAAAATTGTAATAATTTATCTTAACAATTGTTTCATTGATTTCATAGCCAAGGTTATGGAGGAGGCGCGGGTAATGGCTACGGCGGAGGACAGCAACAACCTCCTCAGCAACAACAGCAAGTAGGAGGTTACGGTGGTGGAAATGGTGGTGGTGGAAGTACCGGCGGAGGAGGATACGGAGGTCCACAGCAAAGTGGTGGTTATACACAATCATCCTATCAAGGATACGAAAGTTATCAACCTCCGGATTACGTACCACCAGCGGTAAATGTTTCTCTTTGCATGACAATGAACTATTAAAATGCTAAATAAAAATACATCTAAATATTCTCTATCCAGGGTTACGGAGCAACAGTACCACCTGATAGCAGGTACGGAGGAGCTCCTGCTGTTCCTGCTGCTGGGGCATACAACACAGGCGATCCCTACGGTTACAACAAAGCTCCTTCCGGTGAGTATCTGGTTTCTGGTGTAAGTTTCCTCTTCCTATGTACCTTCGAGGCAGCATTATCTGCTCATTCAATGATAATAGGTGTAACGCGTGACAGGAAGTTTAAACGAAGCTTCAATAACTTTGTATAATAGAATTGCGAGTAATTTCATTAAAATTGCATCTTCGTTTGAACAACCAGCGCATTAAGAGTGCAGCATAATAACAGTCCATGATGCATGCACAGCCAGTTACCAGCAGGGGGCAGTAGGAGCTGCAGTGGCTGCAGGCAGTGGGGCATATGCCCCTAGCAATCATTACGATGACCGATCCTCTAATGCCACCAACGTCACCAACGAGGGTGGCTACTCCACACAAACCTATGGTTAGTTATTTCGACTGATCATTCCTCAGTCTATTTTTCCTTGTTCCGTAGAGTCTACGGGTTTGCTTCTATCCTTTGTTCGCTCGCGCTTTTCATCACTTCACGCCTCATTTACGCTTCGGATGTGATGTGATTCAGACGAGAAATGGCTGATCAGGAAGACGTTATAGAAGAGATGCCCATTTTTTAAGTACAAATATATTTAGCAATTGTTGCGGCACTTTCTCGATAGTAGGAGGGCTTTTATATATACGTTATCTAGATTTTGTATTGCTTCGTTTAGTACCCGTCTGAAATTCTAATTCAGAAGAACCTGACGGACGATGGTAATTCTTATAGTTCTTTTTCATTTATTTTGATAACCAGCGCTGCAGCACACTACCTCCCTGCCTTCTCATGCTATTTGGCTCATTGAATAATAGCATGCGAAATCTATAGTAGTGTTAAAATAGTAAAGAAATTTTTTTTATGACTTGTATTCCTAAGAGACGGGCAATCGAGAATTTGTAAGATGTTTCGAACGTTGTAGATCTTTCTCGTCTGAGTCAGACTAATGCTTTCTTTAAATGGATTTCTTTTCTTTTTTTTTTTTTCTAATAGTATCCCTACTAACACTCTGTCTCTCTGGTATTGTTACAGATTATTCAAATCAAGATGGCTCATACGGGAAGCAGGATTACGGTGAGTACCAATCTCACAATCGAAAAACATATTGAGATCTTAGGAAATCGTTAGGTTAGGCGACACAGAGTCTTTTCTATATTTATTACTGATACTTTAAACGGCTGCCGTTCGTTAGATCAAAATCATATATGTATGTAGAGTACGTATGCATATATGTATATATAAAAATGAGATACTTCGAGCACGACTGGTATTTGATAGAAAAATATTTGTCAATAGGTTTATTTATGAGAAGGTATTAAGGTACAACAGTCTCGTTCGGAAAAAGCTAGACGTGGTGAAAGGCCCAGGAGTTATTTGATCCGTAAGAATACAATCAGCAACAAGATCATAAAAGACTACACGCGGACCCGAAGTAAATTTAAGATAAAGAAAATTCAAATCAAGTTAGGTATTTTGTAAATTAAAAGTTCCACGCTTAAGATGGAAATAATTATATTTCGATTGTTTTACAAGCAAAAACGGATAACAGAAAGTAAAGTCGATTCTTCGTATGTGCAATTGGAATAAAGTTGACTTCGCAGGAGCGACAGAGCAATGAGATGATTAGGTTTTGGAAAATGGTGTAGGCTGAAATAATAATAGGAAAAAAAAAATAGTTTCTCCACTCAAGCTTAATTTAGTACTTATTTGCCTGCTTGACGAAGGTAACGATAGGCTGGGACCAAAGAGGAGATATAACGACAAGGCTTGGAATTTTAAATGAAAAAGTCACATCGTGAACTTCTGTCTTAGGTTAATCATTATAGTATAACGATAGTCATGAGCAAGAATCAGCTAAGAATGAAGCATAGAAGGCTGTTTAGGTAGAAGTGAAAAAGAGAATGTCAAGTATAAACAGGTAAAATTCAGATAGAAAAATCTCTGAAGAGAAACATTCAATCAGTCAGGTTTATACCAATGAGTTGATAGGTATCTGAGAGTAATTAATATGATCTATGCAATATCAAAATAATAAGTATCATATAAAGAAAAACAGTTATCGAATGAAAAATTCCAAGTTACTGAACGGAGGAGCTATGGTTGTTCGCAGGTGGCAGTGCTGGTTACCAAAACGCCCAGTCTCAGCGACGCTATTAAATATTTAAAAATTCGACTATTTAATTTTAATTATCAAAACATCACTATCTTTTCCAAATTAATTTAAACTCGTAATTCCCACCGCGTGATAAACGCGGACTCGCGTATTACAATGAGCACGATAAATTGCTGGAATGCTTTTCAAGTATTTCTAAACAAACAAAAAAAATGCTAACGACTTTAGGTAATATAGTTACATTCGATTGCCGGCACGTACAAAACGATTGCGTGATCTCATAATACCAGAGTTTATCGCGTGGCTGGGAAGATTGCACACAACGTGGATTAGCGCGAACATAAGAAACGAAAAAGGAAAAAAAAAACAAATCCGATCAAAGGAGGTTCCCAATGAGATCGAATATGATAAAACGACAAGATCGTTTTTTCTATTTTACCTGACTAACAGTAAAAGTATCTACGTCGTGAATTGGTTAATTAAATTTGTAAATTTAAGTAAAAATATTTTTTTTTCCGACGGAGCACCGATTATTTTACGCCAGTCTAGTATCAAGATCGATGAATAATATCGATTTATCGATTGTCGCGACGATACGGATCGATTCTCGTCGTTGCGAGGTCGTTATCAACGGGCGAGCAGGTTTGATTTAATTATAATAACGCAAAGGTGAGATTGACAGTTATGAAATAAAGAACAAAGAGAAACATTAAATGAACATGTAAAAGATTATTGGATGAAAATCCACTCGTTTGTAAGTATACGAAGAGTTTTTTTTTGCTTTCTCACGCTCGTATCGCTATATGAGATTCACTCATCCATTGTATTTTATGCACGGCCAAACCGACATGAAAACGCAACTTCTTTCAACCAGCCGTTTTATTTTCCCCGTTTCTGTTAATATATATATATATTTAACATATATATGTATATATATACATATAAAGAGAGAGAGAGAGAGAGAGAGAGAGAGAGAGAGAGAGAGAGAGAATGTGTGCGTGTGCGCGCGTGTGTGTATGTGTGTGTTAGTTCGACGTATCGATATAATCTATTAAAAAGTTTTAATTCAGCTTAGCCCAATCCTTAAAGGAATTTTTTTTCAAAATGTCAATGGGACAATCGAGCATCTATACTGCGCTGCTCAAAAGCAGACAATTATATATACGTACGTGTTAATTAATTCGAATATGCGTAGAGTCGTTTAACGTTCGTTTAATTAATTGATTATTATCACGCAAAGACTTATGATCTATTTTTACTTTACTTTCTCTTCATTTTTTTTTTTTTTTCATCACGCACGTCATATTTCTCCGGCATCCATCTTGTGTATCGTGACGTATGTCGCATGGGATTTGGGACCGAGAAATCTTTTGACGGAAAGTTTTATAAAATTTGAATTCAAACATTGATCTTTTTTCACGTATTCTTGACAGAATGACAATCAGTCAGTGAAACACGTTTTAAAGTACAAGTCTCGTATTGAAAGGAGGCGTAATTTCTCATGACTTGCTGTGACTCTCATGACTTTTCTCATGAATACGAAGAAGAAGGAGAAGAAGAAAAATTCATTATTCTTTCGTGACAGTACACACACTCCTAACCTAATATTGGTTCGTCCAATATTCTGTTTTAATATAAAAAGTTATTATTAATTAACCAATAGCTAATTTATTATACAAAACTCATTGTCGTAATGTCATCCTAATAGACGTAGTGTCGAACATCTAATATTGTAAGCAATAGAACGAACGTCGAAGTGCAAGGAAGATTGAAAAAAAAATTATCACAACAAAAAGCAATATCTCTTACGTTTATTATTACCTCACCTTGTTCTGCGAAGGATGCGTTTCACGAGAAGATATTGCTTCGAGTATCTGGGAAACCAGCAACTGCCCTAGGGAAAGAGCGATAAGATAAAGCAGAAAGAAAGAAAACAAAAAAGAAAATCGACGTTACACATTATCAATGCGTTATCGGCTCTAAACGAATGTAATATAGCAGGTAAATTTTAATTGAAGTCAAATCTTAGGTATAGAGTATAAAGGTGTAAGACACGCAGGTAAAAGACACTTTATTGACTCTTTTTTTCTTTTTAAGTCAAACACGTTGTAGAGAACAAGGATTTAGGTTTTTTTTTTATTTTTAAAAAAATAATCCCTTACGTCATTCGTACGTATCGTCTTATCGTCGTTGTATTTATAACTCGCGTTTAATTGTCTTTTTTTAATAAATATTTTGTCATCGCACGTGTACACGTAACACAACGAAATTGCGAATGAAAATTTAATGAACGTATGAAAATATTTCTGCGAGGGAGTTTGACGCAATTGAAGTTTATTCCACAGGCGTAGCGACCACCTGAGAAACTCAGAAATCAGAAAGAACGAAAGAGAGAATATCCTTCCTGAGTTACCAGCATACCAGAGATACCGATACTGAAAGTATATGCAAATAATAATACAAATATCGTATTGATAAAAGTGTAGCATTAATTTGAGAGCGACGGTATATATATATTTATATATTTATATGATAAAGTACTTTTAAAATCTCAATATACGGTTTGCTCTATGATTAACGATGAAGTTTGTTGGTTGAAAAGAAAAAAGAGAAAAATTCAAGAGAAATATACAAAACAATAATATAGTGACACTGTGTGTAAAATATTTCATGAAACCGTATATAGTAGTTTTCTTTATTATTGGATCAATATTAAATAACTTGTTGTTTGAGTGAAAAAGATGAAATATCGATAACTCATTATTAAACGATATGCCATTCATTGCTCTCGTTATTATTAGTATCTGTTACATCATTTAATTAATATTTGATAGAAGTTCTTTCATCCTCCGAGCTATTACGACTAATTTATCACACTGATGTGTGTAATGAGGTTACATGGATTCTTGCATACGTAATATACGTAATGTACTCAATACAATGTACGATGGAAAAAGAAAGACACGTTGCGCGAGAGACATCCTTAAGTGGTTTTCAATTATACTGAATGCAAGTCGAGACAATGTCGTTAACAAAATGAAATGAAAGAAAGAAACGTGAAAGCAATGAATAAGAAAAGAAAATATATGACGTACAGTAAATCTGCGCTATACCTTTAAAAAAAAACCTTAAAATATCAAATGCTCGTGTAGACCTCAGCCCAAGCTCAGGTGAGTAAAAACAAACTCAGTATCTATTCGTTCTTTCTTTGTAAACAAAAAATCTGAGTACGTCGTATCGCTCACAAGAGGTTTTAATAGAGAAAAAAAAAAAAGAAACGGCAATCTAATTTATCTACCATGGATCAGTATAAAGTGGAGCTCCGTACGACCTGATAATCTTTTTTTTTTAATTAAGAAAGGAATACGATGAAATAATTTTTGTAAGCTTGAACAAAGAAATTTGAAAATATTAATTGAATTGGTATGGTTAACTTGAAAGTAAATTAAATCTTTTAATTTACAGCTTCCAGGTCCACGTACCTTCCACTTTATACGTAGGATAATATTGCTGATTAGTGATAGACTAATTTCTGCAAGTATTGAAAAAGCGTTAGGTAGTGATTGGACACGTGATAGAAATTAAAAGAAGCACGAGATACGAAATGATGATTAGTTACGATAGTGAAAGACATTGGTGAGATAATATGATGAAAAAGAACTAAAGTATTAACGAGATATAGAAGGAAAGAATAAAATAAGCTACGACTGATAAGATTAAGTGGGACGTTTCAGTACATGTAAGTCTACATTGACTCCCAAAAAAGACGAAAAGCCTATCTTATAATGCGAAGGATTATCAAAACGAATAACCAGCGATCAGAGAAAGTATTTAAAGTTCGTCAGGCAGTAGGCCCAGGATTATTGATAATCGTAATTACAATACTTTCCAAGTCATTGAATACTACATCACATTTTTCTCTCTAGGATGACAACTCTTGACTCCTGCACTTTTGGCCATGACGAACGGAATCATCTTGAATTGTATCTGCCACATGACTGGCTCCAGTGCTTAATGCAACATCATCAAGGAATTGGACCTAGGCTTGATGTCCTTTGACGGCCAGCATCATCAGAATATGTGGAAAGTTTATTGAGCCATCCATTCTCAAGTAGTATCACTGATGTTTTCTAGTACAGTATCAATTTATATATTTTACAAATAAACCAATATTACTGAAGTGTCAAAAGAGTCACGTTACCTTTATATTGGTATTTAATGTTTCGATAATATCTTTAATCTTCAATTGTGCTTTATTTACATTTTGTTTTTCTTCTCCCTTATTCTATTGCAATCTTTGTCTGTTGATAGTGTTTTTCTTTAAGTTATTACTACGGACCGCAAAATAACACAAGTTTCAATGTAAGATTTGAACAATCCAGTGTCAACTTTTGAACTGGTACAGTTCACTCACGATTTAGTTCTTGCCATAGTAAATAGTTTTCAGTAATATGAATAATACCTGTTACCATGGTAACGGAAATAATAACTCAGTATACGACTATGGTAATCGATACAAAGTAGCCAGTAGCTAATGTCGTCCCTCTAGATAATAGATTGTTGCGACATGAGTCATTTAACTTTGACAAAATTTGGAATAAATATAAAAGTTCCATGTTTGTTACTGGAATATAAAGCGGATAAGAAATTGAAACAGTTGGTAATGCCGATAAGAGATTTCAATGGAGAGAGTAATGTCGAATCAGTTGCAAGAGACTTGAAAAGGAAAGAGGCCATATTACAGATTCCTGTAGAATTGATAGAGAAGATGTTGAAAATTTTACAAGGAACTTTGAAAGGTTTGTCGCTGAACGAAGCAATCGACAAAGTAAACGTTAATGACAATGGGAATTTGCAAATTAATGACGGATGTGACAGTCCTGCAGAGGGAGACACGTCCGAAAATTCTAAAGATTTTTGGTAACTCCTTAGGATAAACGGATTAGAAGGATGTTGCTTAACGAATTTTTGTGTTAATTAACAAATTTAAAAAATTGAAAGCACGAGAAACTTTTACAAAATGGTCCTTTATTTCTTACAATAGGTAAATACAACAAAAGCACCAGAGGAAATAAAATAAAATGGCACTGTATATTCTTAAAGTCACGAAGTTTAACGCTGATTCGTTCATATAAAAACGTAGTGCTTTGTCACAATTGACTAATATAAACTGTAATAAAAATATATAAAAAATATGACGTCGTAATGAAGCAGCTATAAAAAATAACTATCACTTAATATATTATACATATGACAGCGCGTTAATTATCACCATGATTTAATCTGTACAAGGTGGATAAAGTCAATGAAATTATTTCTCCACAAGAAGTATATGCTTTTTAAAGATGGCATGTACATTTCTTTTTATATCAAGATAAAAGTATGAATACGTTTACCAAAAATGAACACTAAGATTAACTACCATTTATCTCTTTGTATCATTTCTCATTTCCTGATTATTTTATAATGAACGTTATACCGATAACAATAAATACTTTATCCACCTCACACAGGTTTTTTTTATGTTATTATATATTCTAACTGTTTGAGCTTATACGTCTTCAGTAACCCTATTCTATAAATGCTCTAAATTATTCGGCTCATCAATGTATTCGTGAAGCGGTAATAAACGCTAAAATATTCTCGACACGTACAGCAGACGTTAATTAACATTGCACGTCTAAAATTCACTTGATTTTATGTACAAATTGGCAATTAGCCTTAAGACGTAAACAAAATTAAGTATACAACAAACAGTACATACTTTGCCGTACACAATAGTTAAGCAGTATAGTTAGGAAGCATTGCTCACTATAGAAAAGTTTTAAGTATTTGGTATTATTCGATAGTATGCCCAAAAGCTATGGCAGTGTTTTTAAACAATGATGTATTGAAAAAGTGAGAATTGACTGATTTTAAAAATATCGTATCTCTGACTACCTCAATTTTGCATCAAGGCATTTATAGATGATTTGAATTTTATGCCTATAGGGCACATAGTTCGAATTATCACGTTATTCAAATTCGTTGGATAACATGTTGGTAACCATACAAATTCTTGTTGTTTGATAGTGACTATTAATTAAAGACAAAAAACATTATCACGGTCACAATTAAAGACTAATTGTGTATTAAACATAAATTTTCTCTCGCAAGCTATACCGGTCTATGCTCTAAGGCATAGTAACAATCAATTGAAAACGTAAAGATTGTTGTATCGATACTGCTAAGATAGACTGCATAAAAATTAACAACAGTCAAGATTGGTGTTATCAGCATACGGTTATAAGTCGTTCTCTTTATTCTATTGCCAAATGTTATATTTGGCAATGAGATCTTTCCGGAGTTTAACTTAAGGGAATTATTGAACCAGAATATCTTATTCTTGTTTCACCAAGGGTGTCTTCTCTGAGCATCACTGGATAATAATACCAGCTGAATGTAACTGTGACCAGCACGTAAATTAATTAACCTAAGAAGGAAATAATTTTATAGTTATTAAACATTTTATACAATATATTGATTTGTCTATTAATTATCTTACCTGTCGCGTTCTTGCTGTTGTAAGCGTAATCTGTCACCTCTACGCAATGGCATCACCACACCTGTATAACATGATATTTCTGTAGCTGGAATAGTAGAGTCCGTAGCGCATTTAGCAATTTTTTTGGTTGTAGAAGAACCCTCCGAACTTAACAGAATCCAATAGGAGTAATGCGTATGTTCACCAAAGTAGAAAATCTATAAATAGGATTAAATCGAATGAAATGGTATACATAGAATTTTCCAATACGATACTGACAAAGGATTTTCAGATAAGAACTATTTTATATCACTCACTTGAGTGGTAATCATGTAAAGGCCACTGGTGGTCACTTCGATAGATCTCTTGTCCTCTACCAAATGAAATTTATTAAGATTGTACTGTGACTCATTCTTAGTACTTTTTACCCATGGTCCAATGTAAACTGTAACGAGATATGAAAACATTAGCAATCCTAATACCAGAGTAAGCTAGACTTTCAAATCTGGATTACTGTGACAACTGATGACATATACTAACTACCTGTATCCGTTACTTGCTGTTCTGGCACAGCTCCTATAAACGTTGCTACCAACGGACCTACAAAATCATGAAATGATTCATTCATTTATCAACATTAACATACTGTGCGGCATGCGGACGTAATCATTGAGATATCTAAGAGACCTACTTTTGCTTTAAGAATTAAGAGTAAGCATATTTCTCAAGCATAACAATTACTCAAACGTTATATAAAGACCCTTGGTCTTTCTCAAGTATGAAATATTCAATAAATTTATTAAAGATGTACAACAAAATATCGTCCGTGCCGCGTATAAATTTTATAGAGATTTCATAGTATAGAGACTGTATACAAATATCGTCTAAGTATACCCAATCGCCTGCGACTGCGCTTGGGCCGCCTTTGGCTCTTTCTCCGTTTTTTACCTCTTCCATCATCCCTTCGCGATCTGCTTCTGCGAGATTCGGTCCACGAAGTCTGATCGTCATCAGTATCGTAGCTTTTAAAACGCGATCGCTCATCCGATATGGAACTCTGTTCGTCGTTAGTTAAGTTTGCTCTCTCGACTCGTACAACTATTTCTTTCTCGTCATAGTCCCCAATCTCAGTGTCATTCAAATGATGGGAATTAAAATTGTGCTTAGTCATTGCACTTGTTTTGCTATTTGAATTTGTTGATGAACCATTTCTGTTCGCCATTATTGTTACTGTATTTGGAAATTGTGTCCCAGTCTTCTGCAAATTGCTGGTAGCGTTCGTCGGGTCGGAGCTGTGTTGTGTTTCAATGCTTTTTAATTCATCATCCGATATGGAAGTCTCGAAGAAATTATCCGGAAGTTCCTGTACATCTAAGTTATATGGAGACCGTTGCGACTTGTCTTTCAAATGTTGAAACCATGCACGATTGAAATTCCTGTGTAGTTTGTCGTATTTGAACATTAGAATTACCAGATTTGTGTTCATACAATGCACCTGAGGCCAAAAATTAAAATAGTTTATTAGTTTCATTGATTTACGTCATTTGTTACTGTATTATACTGAGATTAAGTATTATTATTCATGATGATGGATTATATACAGATTAGAACTATTACTATTGCTTCGTTAATATTAATTTTTTGTCATTTCGACAATCACACAGAAATAACATTCAACTCCTGATGACAAAATCATACGTGAGTCAAATGTGTACACATCCTGCGTTTTGGAATAATCTTATCACGAACGTGTCCGTTGTCCATATATAAAAAAAACATATAGTGCAATGTGTTTTTAATAAGAATGATAAAAGAAGATATGTAGATGTAAAAAATATATAATCAGCTATATACTTTAACAATGTGAAGAAATACAATATATAGATTCAGTTATCTTTTACTTTGCAATAAAGAGTTACTGATATGGTATTTTTCAGAAAGACTAGAATTGTAAAGATTATACTGATAATCAAATTAATTTCATAACTATAAATGGTTACACTTAATATGTATCCAATGACCATTATTAAACATCGACCTTACTTGAAATTAAAAATTACCTGCACTTGTAAAGCATGCACTTCTTTCTTGACATTGGATAATAAAATGGCAAATGCAATAGCTAATATGAAAACTAGCGAATCTCTTATTCTTCGGAAAATTTTCTCCCTTTTTGAATTTGGCAATGTCAGTTTCATATTGACATTCCAATCAACTATATTGGTATCGTTTGGCTGCTGTGCATTATCAATCTCTAAGATGCTTTGTGTACGATCTCCTCTAACTTCCATATTGAACTTTAAAACCTTGATGTCTTTGAGGTTTTAAAATTTGAAAATGATGGGTAGTTCTGTTGCTGGCCACACTATTTGACTAATGGCCTGTGCACCGCATGTTCTCTGCAACATACACAAATTATATTAATTGACAAACAAAATAAAAATAAATACTTTCTATGTTCATTAAATATAAATTAAATAAAACACAAACATTGTAAAGGTATTTGTGATATATAAAATTAAATATACGCTAAATATAAAAAAGGATAGTAAAATTATATTCTAACTTTGTATTATCATCCAGAAAGCACATCAAGATGATATCCAGTAAACTAATCAATTTTCAAAAAATTAAATAAAATAGCGCAACAAAATGATACGCGATGCGCTTAACTGAGATCACAAAACATCTCATGATAAACTTCCAAAGTTGATTGAAAATTATCCAATATGTACACTGAATCACCTAAAACGGTATATCTTCTTTTACAGTTATCACACTTTCGCGTCAAAAATAGATTCACTCTAAAGTCTCTAACGGCAATCATGTCCCGTCGAAAGCCGCAAGAAAACTGACAGCGTCTTGGCATAAGTGAATAAAATAATGTATGTATCTTACACAACAACAAAAAAATCACGTGTAGGAGTCTCGAGTTTCATTTTTCGAATCTAGCGCAGTGATTCAAATTGGTATTCGTGTAGAGATCGCAAAGTGGCGGCGGCACCTGTTGCATTCTCGGAAGACGCATTGGCGCCTTTTGTTTATAGGCTTCCACGAGAGCGATAATAACAAGAGAGTGGGAGATAATAAGAATCTACAAAAACGCTCAAATATCTCTCTTATCATTACTATCACTTACCCCTTACGCATTGCGGAATATTCGCACAAATACCACAGCCATTCACGGGATCCTATTCACGAGTCCATTGGAGTAAAAGTAATGCGGGACTCACAGTCCTACCTTTGTTTACTATCCCTCAACTACTTCGGGGCCTGACGGTACTGAACGGGGCCCCTCAGTTGCTCCTTCTACCATTCGACCGGGTTGACTCTTCGTTATCAAAATCGTACCAACATTCCCTTCTAAACTCCCTAGAGCAACAGCAGCAGCGCTCAAACGCATCTGCATTCGTCTGTTGAACCCTTTATTTGTGTAACATTATTTTTTTAACAAAAATACATCAGGCGATTGATTCAGCGATATTTCCGAAGAGTGTTAAAAAATTAGATAAAGGTTAAAAAATCATGAATACGACCTAACCTGTCTCGAATTTCTTAGAAACAGCTATTTTTTTACCATAGAGTGACAAAAGATGTAATTGTAGATGCATTTAGATGGGTCATTGTGGGAAATGCGTACCTCTGCATTTTTTATTATGCCTCTTTGAATCGAATCAGAGTTCGTGAGACACATCATGTCGATGGTATTCGCAAATGCGTTCATTCGGCAAATGTAAATGTATCCGGTACCATTTATTTCCGCGAACACCTGACTAGCCATCGATTCATTTTACAGTACCATAATTAGAATCGTTTATACGAGATCACGTACGTCGTATCCATAATCGTGACGATTTCATCGTATTTATGTTTCCTCGATTTTATACATTTGTACTTTTGAATTGCTGAATATCTGTATGCGTTAATGCTCTTTGCTTTCTTTTGAATTTTGCCAAATTTTACAGTCATCCTTAGCATTCGAAAGCTGGCCAAAAATGCCGGAACACTTTTATCTCTCTTTCCTTTCTTTTTTCGGCTTCCTCTCAAGGCAAGAACTGGTTCCTTACTCGAGTTCCTTGCTACGAATTCCATATTTACCGTGTCCCATCCTACAATCGGTAAATTTCTCATGGCTTTTTCCAGAATACGTTCATCCACGTCATTATTGTAATTATGTAATTCACATACGGGATTTCTTGCAGATTCATTATTATATCTGAAATAAATGTAAGCTTCCAGTGTTTATCATACGATATATATCTATATATACTCGCACTATAAAACTTGCTTACAATAAGCACCAATAACGCTATACGCATTTGCTAATAATAGTAAGAAATTAACTGATCGCGCGAATTATTCATTCATGTTTATCACGAATGAAATTCAACGAAGTTTCGAAACACTCGTTACTTCTTGTCAATACAATCCGATTGTTAACTAAAAGGAATGTTTGTCAACTAATATACATCTGCTTATTCAAATTTACTTATACAATATCTATTATAATAATAGTACAAATTCATCACACATCACAGATTTATTACACTATCCCAGATTACGTACTTTGACCAGTTAATCGAAATTCCTCATGCATAAAAGGATATAAAAAAAAACACAAATACTTAATTATAGTATATCTTGCAGCAAATCCCATTGATAATATTATAAATACCTAATCACTAATTGAAATACAATATAATCAAAAAATATAAACTTATAATATATGAAGTCTTCAAGAGTGGTCGGTATTGCAGAACATGGTTATACTTTAAATTAGCTATGCTGCTTCTTTTCGCTCAATACAGAGTGCGCTGTTGCATTAAAATGCAGTATAAATATTTCTTCTTTGCAATGAAATGATAAAACTATAATTCTGTGAAGAAATACAGAGCTTAAATGAAGAACATTTTTTTTAAATAACCAAACTGTTCTACCTCAGTCAAATACGTGTCTTCTTATTGCATACGAAAGTATGAATTCTCGATATTCGCGGTTCACTAATACAACGTGATCTAATTTTTCAATGCAATAAGCACAAGACTCTCTTTATATATTTAATGGCAATATTTTTTATTTGATTGCGATCAACCATCAGTTCCTGGAACAGCCCACTTGACTCCATGACGAAGGTCAATCTTCAAAGTGTCGATTGGAATCTCTATAAGCGAGTCGCAGCTTCCTGCAATAACTATTAGAAACGACAACCATCCAATCTGTGATCGTAAGACTTGAGGCTATTAGGAATCCCAACTACTCGTTTCAAGTTTCTATTCGTATATATATATTTGAATACATAAGTTTTATTACACATCGCGACTCTGGTTTTACTCCCTGGTATCATTTATTGACTGTAATGTTAATCCATCAGCGTTAGACCAGATACGTTATTTCGTTTAATATTTACGCAGTTGGCAGTATATCCATTGTAATTAATTCAAAACTTGCCAATGAAATTATTACATTCATTACGAAATTGTATAACTGTCATTACATAATTTTTTTATTTCTCATTACACGTATCTTTTATTTCTGTCTACACAATATAATATATTTAATAAGAATTTAATTGAATGTCTGACGACGAGTAACGGACTTTTTCTTTAGTGCTAATATTTTTTGTTTTATAATCTATAGTGAAATGCTATTGCAATACTAAATCTGACCTTTAATGCCATTTACTTTCGTTTAATGATGTTTTTGATTCCAGTGCTGTCTAATTGAATTATGCTAGTTGCGACGCAAAAACAAAAAAGTAGCAATCGCACGCCCTATTTTTCATAATCGGTATGGTTTACCTTCACTTCGAATTTCTGACCCCCTGGGTTGAAAAGACCCGGATCAACCTATATTTAGATAATCGTCATAGTTCATCGTCTCTAGGACCAACATATCAATATGCACGATTAGTCTGCCAGAAGATACGTCACTAGGATTTGAGAAACCTATATTCAACTTTTTGAAATTACTTTCTAGAAATACGAACGAGAGTTAGAGATGTTATTTAAAAACGGAGAACGTGTTTTTAAACTAGAACTAGCAATATCATATTTGACTAAGTAGGTATAACGGTCATTTTTCAAACAGCCGGAACTTACGAAAATCTATTATTACTCGTGAGAATTCATTATCTCATAACTATAATTATTAATGGCTTAAAAATCTTAGAAAATGTATACTTATACATATACTTATCTGATTAAAATAACTGAAATCAACAATTATATCTCAAAATAAAACATGGAAGTCATGCTACAGTTAAGCTACTCATATTATCTATTTTTTCTTTATTTTCTCATGATGTTCCTGAACACAAGCTGTTACAATTTATAACTGACAACGTTCCGGATACTACCAGGTAGAATACTTGGAAACAACCAGACAACAGGTAAGAAACCCAAAGGCCTTCCTATTTCCCAATCTGACATAGATCCACGTTACTGCGTACAAGGTAATTTTGTGTCTGAACATTTCCAGAATACGAGACAACATGGAATGGAAATAAAATCTAAGAAGAAATCAGTTCGATTTTCACTTTCAAGAAAACAGCACTAACATCCTGGATGTGATATATTAACCAACAAGTGGACCTCCGTCGAGAGAGAATTTAGGTCGACCTGGCGCCTCGTTCAGCGAGGTCAATGCCGTTGGTTCTGCCGAGGAGAAAAAAACAATGAAAATAAATCCTACCTTGCCAACCTACCTGGACCTATGCTAAGGAATTGCGAAATCTCATTGCGTTACGGTTACGATACTGTATCTGACTGTTCACCTGTACGTATGTCTATTGATGTGCCTATTGCTTATTCAGCTATGGCCCATATCGTACGTTCACGTATCCTTATTTTCTTCTATATTCATAATTAACTTATTAAGCCTAGAGGAGACGGGTATCGGTTGAAGCACAAACGAATTATATCTAAATTAATATCATGAATGACTCTTACAAAATTTTCTTGTGAAATGTTGCTCACTTTTTTTAAAAGCAACATTACAGCTGATCAGGCAATTATAATTTATTCAATGCCAATAGATGATAAATTAAACGGTTTTATTTTATTCGATACCGTGTTTAAACTGACACCGGTCTCCCCTACCTCAGGATATAGTACATAGTTAAATTCAATTTAGTTAAACGCAATAAGTAACATTTACTTTACCTTTACGTTCTACACTATGTAGAATACATACGTTGAAGGTCCAAATTATGATAGTTATTTACAACATAGCGCAAGAGGGCAAATGCCTTTCTTATCTAAAATCTTGTTTGTAACCAAGTATCATTGTATGTACTAACCTTGGAGTATGTCCCAGAAATGTTAGAGGTCAGTGCATAACAAGAGGAATAAGGTTCTTTCATAGAAAGTCTTAGCAAAGTGCTTTTATTATAATCAGAGTTGCATAATGATTACTAGACAGTGATAATAATTATAATTATTATATAAGTAATCTGTATTATTTGTAATATTAATTATAACGTTATTCTAATTTTAATATTCTCACTGCCGGATACACGCTGGTAGATAATTTAAATATATTTAATCATTGGTCGATGCAGATTAGAAATTAATTCAGAATTGGGTATTAGGATGCTACGTGAGGTGTTTTATTAATTGTATTAGTCTCACGTGGAATTATATTGAAACCTGTTATGAGGATTAACGAAATGATAAAAAGGAAGAAAAACTAAGAATGAATTCAGAATGAGGTAATTGTCAGTGTTTAACTAGTGTTCTGTCCAATCATACGTAAATTGATTCTAATAACGACGAAGTTTTTCTTCGTCTCGTCCTACATGGTTTGGTTAACGTCTGCAAAACTCATTAGTTAATCATTATATAGGAGCGCAATAGTTGTATACAAGTTTTATTTTATAATACAAATTATTGAGGAAATTCAGTGCAAGTAGATATCCTGTTTGATTTTTGAATTGTAATATTTATAAAAAAATATTTTAAATATCAAGTTTACCTATTGGCAATGACAAACGTCAACTTATGCCAGGAACTGTCCTCTCTTCTGGATTATAATTAAACGGACAATGACTTTTGGTCGTTTTATACCGCCCACGTGGAGAAACACGACGTTTTACACTAGTGTTAGCGTCGAGAGCTATAAAGTTTAAGCGACGATGATCATTTGGAAACACGCGAGGATTATAAATAATAATTGAAAAAAATACAGTCGTCGATTTATGAAATATTTTATGAGATGTAATTGTTGACATTTTTTTATGCGTATACAATGCATCTTTCAAGTACCTAAGTAGCTGCAGTAGATCTTTTTATTTTAATATTTATTTTCATTATAGATATAATTAAAAAGTTGAATTGGCGATTATAATGTTGGTGCCATAGAGATCACTGTCGTTTATATAATATTAAGTAACAGAGGTATTTATAATTTATGCTCCGTTAACGTATCACGGTTCTGATTTAAAATCGATTGCTATTTCGATAGTAGTTAATCAATCGTTGATCAAAATCCTTGTAATATAGGTCGACGAAAGTTATCACGAGAGTGAATTTCACGTGTGGCTTTTTATCATTATATAGCGTCAAAACAACCAAGGAGTTTGCAGGCAAACAGACTCGAGAGCGAGATAGCAAAAAGTATTTTCAACGATAAGGCATTCCCGGCATTCCTGAATAATAAGAGATTAATGCGTTCCCCAGATTCTTCGGCATTCTCTTATCTCGTCAACTACTAAATCAGTCTCTGAAGACTTCTCATTAGCCATCGTCAAAAACAGTGCGTTCTAAAATATTTCACAAAACGATTTGCCATGATTCCTACTATTCGTGCATACGTATGTTTGAATACATAACTATGAATTGTTGTTCATAGAAAACATGGATTAGTTGAGAGGGTTGAGAGCTTTATATTATCAAGACAATTGAACGATGTGCGTGCGTGCGATCTAGAATATTTGCGCCAATGACCATTATTGAACAAACCGCCATTTGTCTCGATCGTTCGAAGGCCAATTAACATCTCAGCAAGAGATCACGAAGAATTTGCTTAAGAGATATTGATACGATTTTTCCCTTAGTTCGTCGGATTTATTCCAGCTAGAAGTAATTTGTGCTTCGTTTATATGTCTAATGACACGTGCTGCAGTCTTTTCCAATCGTGGCGTCGAAGAATAAAAGTAACTCATGACGGGAACGCTAAAGTGACTAAAGTGACGTCCGCGTGAGAAAAGGTTAATCCACGTCAAGACACAGTCGATTCGTCTTAGCGTGCTGTTAATTCCTTCTCTTTTTTTCCGTACGCGTGTGTCCAGTCTTTGCCGAGGAATTCCCATCTGCAGACGTTCCTCTCCTTTGTGTAATAGACGCCGGGAAGTCGAGAGAAAAAGGAAAGATGGCGCTGCTAGAGGAAGAAAGAAATAGAGGAATAAAAAACTTCGGAAGCTACCCAAACACCGAGTGACATCACGTTAGAGTTATTTAACCAGTTGCCTATAGGTAATAGTCAGCAATAACTGGCATAACATAAATAAGCACGTTACTTCCAGGAAGGGAACCGTCACTGCGAAATATTATCAAAGTGATGTCATCATCCATACGCCCTAGATTGTCATTCCTGAATCAATCTTTGGAATTGATAAGTAAATTATATTATTGAATCATGAGATTTATCTGGCACGAATACCACCATGCAAGGATTACGAAGAAATTGTTATCAGGTACAATTGCCGTTACATTGCTCTCGTAAGTTAACCTCAAATTCACAGAGAGTGATGAGCTGTAAGGAAGGTACAAAAGATGAACGTAGACGGTGTATATTGGTATACATATGTGTCAAGATGTTGATCGTTACCAGAATCACAGGGTGGCACATCAGTGCTCAGATACATCAGGATACACAGATGAAAGATATCGAATGAGAGGAATTGGTTGAGGAAAGACATGAGGAATAGTCGTGGAGGGACTGGGCACGTGAGAGGAACTCATAGGAGTACATGTATGTGTAGAGACGAGTGGTGGCTACGCCATTGGCAATGCTGTAGGCGCCGTTGTGATAAACACGGAGCCACCGAGCTCTTCCTAGCCAGTCTGCCAAAAGCTCTCGAGGGCAGTACGCCGGTTATTACTTAGCCATACGCAATACAAGTATCGTCTTTTAAAACATTATACTCCCTTTACTTTCTATACGACAATTGTACTTTAGTTCCCTGCTGATACCTTCTCTCTTATTTCTGACACATTGCACATCCTTGTCACAGACTCTACGAGTTAACGTATTTACTGTCATCTTGACGGTATTTTAATACCTGCGCCGAAGATGAGGATCACTGAGTGCTCGGTGTCACCGGAGTAGAAACCGTGGGAGCGCGTGAAACATCGCTTTCAAGAGAAAAAGACTTGATAAAGAAGAGGAGGAAGAAGACGAAGGAGAAGAAGAATATAAGGGATACCGAGAGGAAGTGACGGTTTATGAGGAGGACGTAGAACCGAGTGGACGTGTCAGTCCTGATCTTCTTGAAGTCAGAAGGGGAAAAGAAGTTACCCGACAGGTTTTAAAGGGGGTCGTGCTCTTGTAGCTGCCCGCTGGACATTTAACGTCTCGGTTCATCGTAAATCTTTTAGGTTCGCCTACGCGAGACAAGGCGGCCTGCTGTTATTGAGAGAAAAATTCGACAAAGTTTCATGAACCCAGACAAAAGCTTGTTTAGATTTTCACGTAGATCCTAGAAAATTAAATCATTCAGAAGTCTGACGAGTAACAGTCAAACGATCTTTTATTCAATCAATATTGGAAATCTTCGAATCACGTAGTGGCGGGATATCTTCTAGACAGTCATTAACATCTCTTGGACATATACGGAGCTGGATCAAAAATATAAATTATTTACATTAAATACTAACTGGAACATCGCTCACCTTGGCATTAAAGTCTCTCGTATGGATTCCCGCTTATGCAGGTGAATAACAATGCCGCATTACCTCGCCAAAGAAATTCTATTATTCCTCAGGTTGAATTTTTCATTATCCTAATTATTACTATGTCTTATTAATGCTTTTAAGCAGTACGAGTCTATTCGACAAGTATCTCGTTGAAGGGAGGCAGAGAGGAGAAAAAAGTACTACGAGTTTATTGAAACATAAGAAACAAATAATATTAACCTGACGGCAAGACGCAATCAAAGAGGAAGTTACACGTGACAAAAACGAGTTCAAGAATGACCACTGCTCAATGATAGATTTCGACATCGTCATTCAAGGAATTAGGAAATTCTCAAGGAACAAGGTATCTCAAGAGAATTAAATAATTGCCAGAGGGCAAGTAGATTCCCCAGAAGGAAACAGGATTAGATTGGAGTCATTTATTTTAAAGGGAAGAGAGTAATCTTATGCAGACATGACTTCTATGCTGCCTGAAGAAGATGGCAATGCTGCCCGCGTTAAACAAAAGTCTCAAGATCAAAAGATACTTAACGATACTGCAACTAGGGACGAGTCGCGCTCGTTTTTAAGCTTCTCACGTGAAAACTTGAGCATATCCCATTCGGATATTGAGCAAGGTTTTAATAAACCGCGATTCCGACCTCGACGACATACGATATTGGGGGTCACGGCGATTCTTATTGCTCTCGTGTGTCTTGGTCTTGAGATCTGGAAGGTGCGACGTGTACTGGAAAGTGCACGGGACGTGGAGATTCTGAAACGGGACGTTGAAAGTCTGAAGCATCGACTCCTGGAGGAAGATCTTCTCAACGAGTTGAAGGCGTTTGAAGAAGAGGTGAGAGATTTTATAATTTTTTTTTTTTTAAATAATTTTCATCTTTCCACCTGTACACAAAAATGATTGAATATTCTTATAAGGGTATTTAAATCTAGTCTTGTTCTTAGGATAAATTCCACTGATCCAAGCCAATCAATCTCCTTGAGGTTAATAATTGCTTTTTTTTTTTTAATCACGAGAATTCTTACCAAGTATCAATAATCTTGACTTTGTCGAAGAATTGAAAAACCTTCGACGTCAAATTATCTCGTGACTATTACTATGCCATTCTTACAAGACAATTTGTACATGCTTGTCTCACGCGTCTATAATTATGAGATACTCCATTTCTTTTCACTATCGGTCGTACGCAACATTATGTTCAGTCATTTAATCATGCAATAATCGTACGACCAAATAACGCCATGACAAAACGTACAAAACTGACAATAACGTTATCATTATAATTATTGCAATGAAACACGATCATGCCATTAACTTTTGAACCCAGAGATTAATCTGACAAAATTATCTTACGTAATTGTATTTAGAAGCGATTAATCCTAACTCCTCTTATATATATATATGTATATCTTATAAGAAATTAAAGGTTAGTTTTCATAAAATACACTTTAATGCACTTGTGACACTCGTACTTTGAATTGTCATTAACAGTCTCCACCCCAGACTCCTTCAAATCTATATATTTTTATTCCGATAGTACTCTTGCGTAACACAGGCTGTCAAAGGAATGGGATTTTCATTTCTAATATTGCCCTTAATTACGCAACTATATGCACGAACAGAATTAGGTCAATCGATGTCAGTCGTTACATTATTGTTATTGGAGCAATTGTCGGCAGTTCAAATGGTAACTGACGATATTAATGGCCTGGATGCAGTAACCATTTCTCGTGTTGATGACTGAAGTACCTGGCGTTAATTATATATATATATTAGCTACATTACGTCAATATAGGTATACAGCTGATAGGTATCACACTGAGCGCAACCACCTGAAGTTAGCCCGCCCATTTGATCTCCATGGTAGAACCAACGTTGGTACTTTTATCGGGAACCGTGTATTTTATATTTATAGATTTTAATTGTAATTTATTATAAGAAAAATCATGTTTGTTTAGTTCCATTAATATGTGTAGGTGTCGCACTCACTCTGGAAAATTAATCCATCTTTTATATAACAGAGGAATTATAAATTCAAATGAGTCGCGTGGGTTTTAGGAAATCGCGAAGTGACTTCTGCTGCTGGCTTTGTTAGTAACAGTCTCGCATGATTAACGAAATTCTTGACTAAGTTAGATGGCAAAGCGTCACTTTGATTTAAAATTTCTAACCTTTTAATCTCATCTTATCAGTCCGCCGTCTATTGACACTCGGATATAGTAATGAATTTACTTTAGGATTTTACTTATTGATTAATTATGTGTCAATGGTTGAAAGCATATTCGTGTATCTACTGATACCATAATATTGACTGACAAGCATATAATACTGTTACAAAATCAATAGGCTAATTTGACATGTAGTGTTTGTATTTAAATGGGTGATTTTACTTGATACAGTAATAGTTGTTATATCGTATATTTAAAATTATTGTAAATCCGTAGTAGTAAATGTTTCGGGAAAATCATGTATCTTTGTCAGTAACGATTAAAAAAGATAAGCATTTTGCTTTTATGTCTCATGCAAAACACATTATCCGGAAACGTTTATCGCTATGATAAGCATATATTGTGGAACTTGTATGCTCTTGTAATTTACAAGGCACATGTGCCGTGAACATATAAGGGGGTTAAATATCGCAAATTGATTCAAATGGGTCGTACGTTCAATCAAGTAAAACATGAATTGCGATTGAGTTTTTACAGCTGCTAGATCGGCTGACTATATACAAATTTTATTTGAAAGGTCATACATACCTAGAAGTTGCATTTCTATATATGAATTTATTCGAATTATACGAGGAACATGTATCACCCACGCTCACCAAGCTGACTCAAAAGGGCAGAGTCTGGATTCTAATTTGTGTTGGCGCCATTCGGACGGCCATCTTGTCTCGTAGTTTTTGCAAAATGGACAAACGCCGGTAGTAAGAAGAACGATATGTGTTTCACCTTTCGATAACGTTTCCACGAGATCCTGTAATTCCAAAGTTTCCAGAAAAAAATTCTCGACAGGTTAGCAAAAGAATATAACGATTGCGCTTTGCAGCACGAGCAAAATGTCAGAACCAAAAATTGAAGGTTATGTTGCTGTTTGATTAAAGGGACTTTCGAATGCTAAAATTTCTATGATAGGCATAAAATAAGATGAACGCATAAAGTTGCACTTGGTAGAAATTACTTGTTAATTCTTTACAAGGAAGTCGAGACGAAATGAAGTGTCGGATGCTGTTGGGAGAACTACGTGCTAGAAATATTCGTAATTGAAACTATTTTACAACGTTAATAGCGTAACGAGATCAGCTATTTTTTCTAATTGGTCTAATCGTATTTAATCGTGCCTGTAATTGCCTCACCTATGCCCATAACACAATGACTGGATACTTTCACCGAGTTGTATCTTGCGTTAAATGATAAATTAACGAACGACAATCGTCATTAAGTACAATCGAGTGTGACAAGATAATTTTTACATTTAATTCTACACAGTTTTTAAGTTTCTTGGTAAGAGCATTCAAACTTCTTTTTGTTTTTCTTTACAAGATTTATTGACCAATTTAGTTTTTAGTCAATATATCAGTATTGAAAAGAACATTAGAGAGACTTTGACAGTGGTATACATAACGGTTAAAGGGATAAAAGTTAAATAAATGAATCACGCATCCTGTATGTCGTAAAGCGTTATTCATATCGACATTATTATGTCAAGTAGCACAGTGCTGTTATTCGAAAAGGATCTTGCGGTTGCGTTTACTACAACAAATCATGAAGACATCCACGTTTGTGATAAGCCTTAAAGAGCTAAGAAAATGTTTCCTAAACCCAACAATGAATTTATGTAAATACTAGCGTAACAAATAAAAAAAATATTTTTACCAAAAATGAACAGTAAACTGATAAAAAATACTTATGCTGTACATACATCATCTAATGCCATAGTCTTATGAAAGGCTCTGTAAATACATTAGCCCGGAAATAGGGGCGTGAAGTGTCTAAGACACCCCAACTCAATGTTTTTCAAATGGAGAACAAAATCACGCAACCATTCCTGGGTTAATTGATGTATTATGTATGACTTAATCTTCACGTGTCTTCAGACTACCATACAAATTCGGGGATGCTCAAATCGAAGCCTCATTTTTTTCATGAATGTACTTTCGTGCTGTCACCGGTTGGTTCTAAAATAAAATAAAATGATTATTTAACAACTAAGTAACAGCTACTTAATCTCTACTATGTCACTAATTGCATAGCGGATTAGCCTATTGACGTTATCAATGACTCTGACTGTGTACTGACCTTAAGCAAGAAGCCCTTAGGCTATCATATCCTCAGGGATGTATTTCGAAAATGGGACAAGTCATCTACGAGCCAAGTCGATAGGTCGAGGACTTCTGTTGGTTCGTACGAAAAATGAGGATCTGGAATTGTTTACTATTTCAGTGACTGACAATTCATAAAGGAACGTAATGATTCATTTACCATAAAAGAACAGCGATAAAATTCTCTACTGGGGATCCTTGCTAATCTCCAGTAATTGTGTATACGGGTACACACGTGGCTACTTCTCTGTACACCACGTGACTGAGAGTCTTGAAAGGTCGATAAAAGGAGGAATGCCTTGTCGCTCACATAGGAATCCTGTCAAAGAGTTTCATTAAAATACCTGCAGAAGTATTCAGCTTCGAACAAAGTGTTCATGTAAAATTAAGTACCATCCAGTTGAGGTCAATGGCTTGACGTATGGAGTATCATGTATACATTATGTATATACATATATTGGTACACATAATCCAGTAGGGACTCACTTGAGTCCCCCGAGTCGTATTTCCAACGTGGAAAGTCGCCATACGCGAAGTAGCAAGTTTCAATTTACACGGGTACCATAAAATCCAATGGTTCTCAACCTGTGTTTAATAACAATTATTAAATATATTGATAAAACATTTTTTAAATTTCCTTTCATTATTTACGACGATTTACGGATATAAGATAAAGCCTAGCAGTAAATTTATCATACCAACAAGAATTGACAGTAGATTTTAAATTAAAATTAAATGAAAATACATGTTGACATTGTTACCTCTAGTAGACAGGATGATTCAACGGTAAAGATTAATATATGTCATATTTGTTCATTAATGAACGTCCCAATACAGCGGCCAAAGGCAATTCAATGGCGTCGAACGAAAAATATATTTGACTTGTCACATAGGAATATTGAGCTGAAAGAAAAGAAAATATATTCAATTAATGTTTGCTGTGCTGTCTTAATGATCAATAGATTGCATCATTAACAATACTGAAAATAGAAACAGATTAAAAAATTATATTGAAAAATATATAACCATTAAATTATACTGTCACAACCTCATCCATATCCCTTTGGACATGGATGCTGTCCCAGGGGTGTTTCTATATGTCGATAAGTTACAATATATAGCCCCAACATTTAAAAAACTTTAGGTTAGATCCGTCTTCAGGAAGCTATTTTCAGCAAAATATATAAAGAGTACCAAATTTAGATAAAAAATTTATCTCTTGGTACTCCAAGGATTATTATAGCACTCAAATAATTTTCAAATACTAACAAATATGATATCACCTTTCTCTGTATAGTCAATACACGATATAGTTCGACTTTGATGAGTCATCTATTTACGAAACGACTGTGATAAAAAAAATTACAGATCTTTTTTGCTCCCACCCTTCGCCAGCATCCTCGACTATTCAACGTCAAAAATTTTGCCCAACTGATCATCGACAAGGGAAAGTACATAAAACCATCGTCAACTGAGTCTTGTCATCGTGAAGAATCTTTATCCAAAAGTTTTTTCTTTTTTCATTATCCTCCACAACCCTCGATCGATTTATCGTATGAAAATCTATAAATTCCATAATATTATTACACCCTAAAAAGTTCTCATGACACGACCACCTGTTATCACTGTCTCATAATGAAATTGATTATCGCGTGTCTACGCACGTGCTCGTCCAAGGCGTATATTGACTATATGCGCATACATGTTAATACACACGGCAGAGCCCCACCAGGACACTTAACACGTGCCACCTTAAATGCCGCAGGAGGACAAAAACCTGTCTCTTATCACTAGCTAAATTCATCCAACGATAAGGTTAGTCCCCCTCGTAAACAAAGCCGTCGATGGAATTCCTTGAGTGTAGCTGATTCATCGAGTACGCATATATGTATACAGTACATGTAATATAGGTAAATAACGTATACAAATATACTGTACAGTCATTGATTCAGCACCAAAGAAATCTCGAGTTCATACCGATCTGCATATATGGTCGGGATCTGTAAGATTGGCAATCTATATTTAGTATAGCTGGTGCATAAGTAGTAGCCCATGGTGAATTTAGCATAGAACTATACTCACGTGAATGTCTATATACACATATATAATATATACACTATGTAGTATATGTATAACGTATATGCAGTATACCGTGTAGTCTAGTACCTAACCTAACTTCCTATGCCGAGCGTAATTGTTATTTTCGTTCGTGCGTATCCAACGGGATAATATCGTGGTACTGGGTTAGGGATTATTCGCTACCATATAATAATAGAATGAATTTCATTTATATTTTTATAGATAAACGCCGAGGAAGGTAACGAAGAGGATGATGATTCCGGGGAAGCTGATATAGACAATGCTGATTATGATTCAAGTTACGACGATGAATTTCCTGGCTCACATGATTATTCTAGTGACTATCATGCCTCGGGATACAGTACACGTTCGTCAGAGTTTTCTCAGGCTACCAAAGCGGATAAGGATACGGCTGGATCCGACAAGGATTTGAAAGAGATGCTGGAGGCTCTTCATAAAGTCGAAGCGAAGAGGGGACCTGAATTTGAAAAGAATGTTCGTGAGAATAATAAGAATATCGAGCGGGAACGTTTATTGGAAGAAGAAAGGGAGCACAAAAGAAGAAATAATGAGAAGCCCGACGATAGTCATACAAAGCATAAGCGTTCTATACCATCGGAACCGCCTGTTGGATTTTCTAATAGTGGGGTACCTATATATTCTTCTGGATATTTTTCGAGTATTCGAAATTCTTCTCGTGACACGGTTGCTCCAAGACTTATGCTCTATGATACATTGATGCATCATACGACGGAGAAGAGTAGGAATCGAGCTTTGATTCACCATGAGTACGATTTTTTATTAATAATTAGTATATGATCAGATTGATAAACCCTTTCTTTTATGGATACATAGACATATGCAATTGTATTTATTTATCACCTCATTGAGCATCATTTTTATTATGTTGCAGAATGCTTACTGCCTCTAATAGACATCCTCCTAAGAAGTACTATGCTCAAAGAAGACGAGCGACGGCACACGTATCCCCTCCATCGAGACGTGGTAGTAGTAGTCAAAATGAAAATGAAAGAATGACAGATATCAGTGATGGCTCTGATAGAGGGGTTGATAATGGTAGAACATCAAGACGGAGGGATGAGGCACCACAGTCCCTTATGGTTCAGGAACAAAAAGCTTCGAGGGTAGGGATAATATTTTTATTAGTTTAATTCTGATTGGAGATTTTTTTAATTTTTTTTTTATTTGAACATTTCTTTAGGCATTCACCCCAACAGCTGTTAAACCTGCACGACATGGATTGACTAGACGTCATCTTCGAGCACCCAGACCTGTGTATGCTGCTCACTATGGTGCGGATAGTACCCTTTTTTCTAGTGAGGATGAACATACCGGAAACGGAAGGGTTCGACATGGCAGCGGTGTTTTTAAAGCATGGCAATCTAGTAATTGGGTAAATGATCTTGGGATGACAAAACACTTTTCGCTTGGTTCTGATGGATATCTTACTGTTCACGAAGCTGGACTTTATTTGGTCTATGGTCAAATTCATTATCTTGACGAACATGATGAAAATGGTTTTCATATGCTAGTAAATGGAGTACCAGTTTTACAATGTATGGTAAGTTATTTTATATAGGTATTGATTTAAGTACTCTTTGAGGATTGATTATAGAAAGTTTTATAGTATAAGGAATTTTGGTAAAATATCTTTTTTTTTTCAACAGGTATATAGTCCAGGTGTTGGACACAAAAGTCGATCATGTTTCTCGGCACAAGTGACATATTTACAAGCTAATGATCGTTTAGTTATAAAGGAGGTTGGACCAGCACGATATACACTTTTTCAACGTGATAAAAGCTTCTTTGGTCTTGTAAAGCTTGGCGAAATGAGACCACAGCAGAAACAGCAGCAACAACAATAAATAGGGATTAGGATCACTCGCGTGGACCGTGTTGTGTTTATCGATTCTATGAGAAAACCTAAAGGAGACGATGGAGAATTAACGGGTGATTAATCAACAGCTTCGAGCAGTGAATGACAATAATCCGAGAGCTGAATTTTCTGAGACGATCCATCCAAATCCTCACAATTATTTAACATCGGCTTAACATCGAAATAACGTTATTTATACGTAATTCATATATTAACGAGCTTTTAGGCGCCATTTTCCTATTTGTTGCTAAACTGTCAATAATCGTATGCTGACGTACGTATTCAGATCCTTTATTTAACTTCAAATATCTTCTAAGGCAATAGTAAATAATATTAATAGTACTAAATAATTATTCAAGCTAACTATAACTTAACGTACTCAGATCTGAATACGAACTTGAGTTTCTTTTAGCGATCTCAGATGTAACGAAACGAATGTAAATAACATTTTGTATTTTATTATTGTAATAAATTGTCTCTAAGATCAAAGTAAAGATGAGTCAATATCATTTTCTCTATCTTCCGTTATCGATACATGATTCAATCAATATAAAACATATCCTAACAATACATAAATTATAAATAATAATAAATAGTTTTCTAAGAAATATAATTCATTTCAAAACTCAGTGTATACATTATCTCCAAAAAAAAACTATTTTCAATATCAAAAATACATGCATAAAAAGGAAAATCATGCAATAATCTCATCACAATACTTTTTAGCTTGCAAACTCCCAATAGGTAGAAGATCTCCAGGATTATAAATGAGATCAACAATAAAATTTGGTCGAAGTAATTTTGTAGGGAATATAGGCTGTTTATGGCCATTAAATACGCTATTACGATTTCTATTTGTTACTAAATTTCGATTATCATACGGCAAATTTCTTTCTGAATTTATACTCAAAGACATCAATTGTTTACTTGTATTGGTGCGTTTATTTTCACTGTCACTCATTAGAGCATTCACACTGCTTGGCGTTTTTAGATACTGCTTATTTAACAATTCAATCTAAAATTTTTCAAAAATTCAATTATAATATCTCTACCGGTAGTCAGTCAAAGAATTTCGCAAATGTATAAGAAAAAATTCCTATTCTTTTATACCTTTGGGATTGCAATTTCAACCCAAGCCTTGCCATACTGTCCGCGTACCAGAGCGGTGGGTAAACAGATTTTATCTGCCATTACTTTAAATAGCAAAGCTCTTTCAAGAAAGGAACCAACACGCACTTGTCCAAGTGGAATTACGCTGGTCTCGATGTCCAGTTTAATTTCACTGATATGTATGTCGAATTGATGATTACGGCATTGACAATCAGGATCAGGACCAGACATTTGTCGAGCTACGAATTTACCTAATAATCTTGCTCTAGATTCGATAAAACTCATATTTGCAAGTCCTGGCAATGTAGTTGATGACCTAGTAAATGAATATGGATTGATTTAACCACAGTCACATTGATGAATTACATATATGAGTTATATGATAATTAATTATATTGTATTTACGTTTCTGCTATCTCATTCGCTATGAGCTTGCATTTGAATAATTCCAAGTATTCGTAGAGATACGGGTCTGGTTGCAATTTTCCGAATTTCCATTCCATAGCACTATTAATAACTTCTATACTCGCAAAACTTTTTCTAGAAATACTTGTTCTCGTAGACGTTCTTCTGGTTCCAAGAACTGCATATCAGAGAATAATATTCCTTTATATTATCCAACTATATATTGATATATTCTCTATTGACTATACTTTGACTTTTTTCCTTTTCATATTGTAAGTTTAATGTATCTTGATAGTCAGAAGGTGGCTGAGAAAAATTTATTACATAAATAGGATCCAACGGACATATCTTTAGACGAAATAGGTCGTCTAATATAGGAAACCTGACAATGTAAACAAAATCCACGTGAAAAAAAGTTCCCCATGATTTTTCCACATTCAATAAAGTCTGTGCAATCTTACGGACAAAATGTGCGACGCATAACATAAAAACCATCTTGCGTTACGTCGTGCAGAGATAATCGTCCCGTAAATGCAAATTTGGCTGGTAAATATGCAGCTAGAAGAGTTTCCTTGCAAGTTTTCCAAGAGGATATGATATTAAAATCTGTTTGTTCATTCGTCATACTGTTTCAATAAAGTTTATATTATATTATGTAACAAATAACATTTTAAAATATGTATATCTACTCACTATGTAAAACATCCAGCTTTTATGAGTAAAGCAGCGAGAGACGAATCCGCAGATAATTCCTGTATAAGCTGAACTGCAGCGTTTTTGACGGGTAGAGATTCCGAAGATTTAAGTAAATTATAGAGTCTGACTGGTCCATTAACGCGAATAAATAAATCTCTTCCATGTTTATCGATACAAATTTTCCCAATGGCTTGACAGGAACTTATTGGAAGTTCATCACTCTGATGATATTTTGACTGTGAAATATTTTGAAAGTGGCTATATTGTTTTAGGTAATCGTATCTTTTTTTTTTATATTAAGTATACAAACTTACTTCAAAAGAGGAACACATCGCGTCAACAAGATCAGCATTTAATAAAGTACTATTAAATTCAGCATACTCTACTACAGTGGATAAAGCTTCAATCGCTATTATTTGAGTCTCTGCAGATATTTTTCCTATTGGTTGTTTGAGTAGCCACAATAAGAGAGTCTGGAAAATGCATTTATTTGAAAATATAATTTGCTAAAATTATAATATTGCAATTGTTAAATATTGCTTACCTGGCCTTTTACATCAAGAAAGTTTTTACAGTTCTTTCGATCAGCTTTAAGTAATTCTTTTAATGCAAAACTTGCTGCTTGCCTTATGAACCATTTTAGATTTTCATTTTTCAAAATATCTATGATAATAATAGGCTCACTCTCCATGGGACAGTTTAAATAATATATCCAAATATTATGTATAAGAGTGATAATTATAGAAAAACCTCACCTAATAATTTTTTTATAGGATTTTTTAAAGCTAATTCCTGAGCAGCTGATTTATCCAAAGTCATTTTCGCAATGCCATAGCAAGAAACTTCATAAAAATCAAATGTCACAGCTTCAGCTACAGTTTCAAGCAAATAGTCGATAATCCCATAATTATATAGAGCCTTTAAGAACAATTACGTAATAGTACAGTTTCTTTTCAAAGGTATGACTGATTAAGAATCCATTCACGAAAAGAATATTAGATCAAAGAACCTTCCTGCCAGTAGAAGAATTTGCAAGACGAACAATAATACTAAAAGCTTCATGACGGAGTTTAGAATTCATAGCATTCTCCATGTATTTAAACAATCTCAAAATTCCACCAATGTTATTTAAAAGCTCCACCGTTTTTATATTATCACTTGCGAGTGCAAGGACATTCAATGTTTTACTATGCACATCAATCCATTCGTCATTCTATAATAAAATAGCAGTACCATATATTAATAATAAATTTTAATATAACGATTTAAGTCTTACGTCAAGTATGTTCAGCAATGCTTGCAAACCTCCTGTACTTTGAAAATTTTCTTGAAGCTGATCATCTTTATTCCTTGAAACTAGATTTTCGAGAACATCCAAAGCAATTTTTTGAATAACTGGATATGGTTCCGCAAGAAGTTTATATATCAAAGGAAAACTAAAAGTCTGTATTGCAAAAGAATTAGCATTAGCTTGACATTTTTTATTACTTGGATTCAAAGATGAAATAGTTGCAATATAGGATAAAAAGGACCTTTGTTCCAAGAATATTTGCAAATCCTACAGGATCTTCAAGTAAGTTGTATATGATTTCAATACTGTTCTTTTTAACATCAGGATCAGATGACTGGATCCTTTCAAAAAGAAAATCCATTCGAGGACACTGATTTAGTATTTGTGCTACCCCATACATATCCTTCGAAAGGTGAGCTAGTATCAAGGATGAAAATTCTTGTGCAAAAACGTCAGTATCATTTTGCAAAACTTTTGTAAAGTGTGGTACATAATCTTCGCATTCAAGTAAAACATTTCTTACCAATGGAATGGCAGCCATTTCTGCCAATAATTTACTTGCAAATCTGTCTTGTACAAATATGAAGATTAAAAGAAGACAATTATTTTGACATTAATAAACAGACCGTCGTGTAAATGTGTCCTCATGATTCATTAAAGGTACAATCTTTTCTAGTATCCCACATTCGAATAAAATTTCTAAATTTTCCTGAGCTTTTGATGCAAATTTTGATAATGCTGCAACTGCAGCAATTAGCACAGAATTTTCTTGGCATTGTAAAAGAAGTACAGCTGTTCCAGGATTCTTTACGTCTATGCTGAGTAAATCAAGTTTACTTTTTAACTGAACTGTACGATCCTGACGTTCTTTTCCGGTTGATAAGCATTTCTATTATTTTGTAAAACTGATATTAAATGAAAGAACATCTTTGTCAACATAAAAAGTTAAACCATTAAAATATCTCACGCCAGGATCCTTTTGAATCATTTTCTCCGATATTAGTTACTGAAGTATTAATAGATAAATATCCTGTTGAAATTACTAATTGAATCCTTTCCTCCTCTTCCAAAAAAATTGTCCATGTTACATTACATTTTTTCGAATTGCGATTGTAAGATTGTTTCTTTATTCGGAATGTGATTGGCTATCGGCAGTATTGCCAGATGATGGGATTTTTCCCACATCCTACTATCGATAGCATATAGATATAGATAATAATATATTTTAAATTCACAATGATATTAATATATGTGTAGAAGATTTTATTATATATATTCAATAGCACTAAACAGCAATAAAAATAATTAGATCACATAAAGTTCTTTTATTCCGTATTCCAAGATAAATATTGAGGGACATCAAGCGCCTATAACAGTGCTACTCCAAAACTGATAATTACAGAATCAATCAACTCCATTTGAAATAATATCAATAAATGGAAGATAAATAAAAGGTGTAATAGGGTATCGACAGAAGAACAATAATACTACAATGGCACAAGCAGTATTGATAGGGAGTACAGGTACCATCATTATTATATAATAGTCTACCAAGCAGGTACTAATGCATTATGAAAATATGTTATGGTGCTTTATAGTTGATTGCTATGAGAAATTTGGCATGGCAACTCAGCTAACTCATATTGAGTAATGCTGTAAATATATGCCTTGCGTACATATATGAGTATTTTTTTTCTACAAAATGGGCACGTAGTGTTTAGTCTAATCACTTGTTATTCAATAACTGTGTACGTTAACAGTATTCCTGGCATCAACGATACAATCGAATCTTTTTTTAATAAAAAATAGTCCAATAATCCCTTGCAAGAAATAAGCTTGCCTTTTTGAGAGAATATGTTTCAATATAATTTTGCATAAGAGATTCCAAATTGAAATTTCAATCGTTTTTGTACTGTGTAACACGCAGTATAATGGTACTACATAACTGTGTAAAGATCATATGTATATGTACGACGTTCTACAATTATTATTCGTATATATTCATCGTATATTGTACCTTAACCAAGACAGCAAAATGGTATTCTGCTTTTTCGATTTCTTCTTGTTTGTGGATTCAATTCACAATTCATATCATTTGCATCCACTCCCAAGATTGTATTGTTGGAAGCGGAATTTTCTGAAGAAGCATCTATTTCAATGCTATTAATATTTTTTATGAGACTCTCCGTTAGTTCTCCTTTGGACTTTTTTCTTCTAGTTTTTTTTGATTTTATCGTAGCACTATGTTCATTGATGGAATTAAGATTTTCATGTGAAATTTCAAAGTGTTCCGGTGTAAAATAATTTTCTTGTATCTCCAGTACGGAATTGAATTCTACACTCTCAAAATTCTCGATGCTTACGATGAACGCATCATCTAGAATTTTGAGAACGTCGTCGGTAGGATTTTTTAAAAAATCACTATGCTCTGATATATCAAATTCATTCGCTAGGATGATTTCAGACATATTTATGTCATCGAGCGATGGAAAAACTAGTGGAATAGAAGAGCTGGCAGGAGGATAAAGAGAAAAATCAGTAATCTCATTAAAATCGACATTTGGCGTCAGAGGTGTTGTAGGCGTCTCGACACCGTCGACGTTATTCGTTTTAAATTCCACTTGCGCGCACGACAAAATTTCATTCTCTAGAAAAATTCGAAACTTCAGTTTGCTCAGTTCGACATTCTTCAAATTTGTTCTCTGTGTTTTCTTTTTTAACGCAATACAATCCTGTATATTTAATTTTAATTTTGGCAATTTTTCATGCCGATAGAAGTGACTCGCTGCGTCGCACTCATTATGCAACTGACGATATGGCGAGAGAGTTTCATGAACCTCAAAACGCACATTTTTATCCCTATTTTTTAAAGCAATTCGTGATCTCTTGGGGGACGAGTATTTTTTATCCCAAGTATCATCACTTGGACTATTCAGACATTTTAATGAATCTTTCATCGGCGACTGTCACTTGCATGATAATAAACTTTGCTCGTTCTGCCGACGGTGTTGATAAGTGAGAGGTGCTACCAAACGACTGTCTTTGCTCTTGTAATATTCATTAAAGTCCAGTCGAACACTTAATAATTGCAGCGACACGTCTTCTGCGGATGCTAACATCAGTAGGAATTTTTTCACTCGATCCTGAAACATGAAATCATTTTATTACCGATCATTACATAAGTCATAACTGACTATCGATTTAATTTATCAATTTTATGTACTAATATTAATAACTTAGTTTCTATAAAACTTACTATAGACGAGATGAATGAGATTAACTCACCTGATAAGTTCTGGATAATAATCTTAATTGGATGGAGAGAGTATTTAAATATTTCATGAAGGCACTTTTCCGCTCGGAGTTTTCAATATCTCCTGCTTTGGTTTTGCCCCATTTTTTAGTTTTTTCACTTGTCACACCAATGAACTCTTCTTCGTTCAATCTAGCTTCGTATTCCTGAGTTGCTCGAGCAAGAAAATTTTCCTCGAGATTTTGGAGATCAAGTATTGGTCCATATACAGAACGTAAATGGTCCATCAGTTCCTAAAGAAAGGATGCTTATGATCGCATGGTATTTAGAAATATATTATATTTGAATAATATATACGAAGACTTACCTGTGATTGTTCATCGAGCAATGTTCCTCGCCTTACTGATTCAACAAAATTATTGTGCGCCAATATAATATCATCTAGGGAATCAGCTTGTCCCAATTGTTTTGCGAATATATCCCAAGAACACTCAATCACCTATGATTAAAAATTATTCTTTGAATCTTCTAGTAACAAGAATCTAAATTCTATATAATTGCAAATCAAGTATAGTAAGTCTACCTCGAATAAAAAGTAGTATTGCATCTGATGCACAAGATGAACCATACTGCTTGTGATGAGATGAATATGATTTTGAATTGGCAAAACTTCTCGCATTTTCCGAAACATTTTTGCTGATGTCGTTTGCTGTTTCCAAATTGCAGATAAAATCGTTTCCATGCGTTTCGCGCGCCAGAGAGAAAAGAACACAGTTTGGTACGTCTGTCTATTAGGTTCAAGAATCTAAAATAATGAACAAAAAGAGTTGATATTATTTTATGAGAGTATAATAATAAATTCTATAAATATCTTATTTACCGTTCCTATGGGTCCGTCAACGTTGTAATCTAAAATAAATACGTCCCACCCGGTTTCACTTTCGGACGGTGCTAGTAATCTGACATCCAAACGTCTTTGTACATCTAAATCATCGAATTTTGAACTTGTTGCTCTAATTGCTGTTTCGAGTATCGAGGATATATTATGCGGATACAAAGAATTTGCTGGTTTTGCTAATTCAGGTCTGGAATGGAGTAGAAAACATTCTGATAATAAGAAATACTGTAAATCTTTATAAAACTAATTCGTATAAAAAATTAATGAGATTTTAACAATGCAAAAAATTTTCATGAAAATATATCGTCAATACATACTCCAGCAAATGCATGAGATGCTGTATAAAGTGTCCTTGACCAAGTAACAAATATCCTTTTATCCCTTGCAAATGGTCCATAAGTTGATACTGTTTCGTAAGTATTTCAACAACTCTGATTGAAGTTTCTTTGTAAGCTGCATCCATCATGGTTTGTAGATGCCCATCTGGGTCCATATCGAAGAAAGCTTCAACTGTAAACAGAAAAAAGTAAATTACTTTTGTCTGCAAAATAATGGTCTGATTATCAAAATGTAGATTCCTTAATTATTTATGTAAAAGAATCACCATTAGAATCCTGAGAATTGTTCTTGAATATTCCTGTATCTCGACCTTGAAGTGGTGCAAAGTCTTTACAAACTTCCCTTAGAAAATTTATACTCTTCCCAGTTCCCAAGATTTTTTTAGCTTGGCATTTACTAATAAAAGATGGAACCATGGAATCTCTCACTTGATACTTTTCGTGCCACATTCTATCATCCGCAACATCAGCACAAGCTTCTATGAAAAATTCTTTGTACGGATCATCCAATTCACCATCTGTTATCCATCTCATTAACATGTTATAAAGAGGATCGCAAACGCTTTGCAAAATTCTTTTCACAAGCCTCTTTACTACTGCATCACCATGATGACTGAATGCATAGACAGCTGAAGCTAATGCACCACCCTTTTGCCCACGACAAGCTCTTACAATACTTGCCATCCATTTCAAAGTTTCCAGAGGGTCGTAAGCCCAGAGATGCAGATGAGAAAGTGTTACCCCATCCAAACCCAATGGACCTTGCGCTCTATTAAATGAGAAAAATTGTTTATATTTTTTGATTTTCTGAAATGAATTACTAACGAATTACTAAATCTCGTACCTATTGACTTCTTCCTGCATGATAGCAATAAACCTGTAGTACTCAGATAACTCCTGGTGCAAAGCAGCTACAAAGCTATCAGCTACTATACCTGCACCTGCCACAGACATTCTATCTAGGCCTTTACGCACTACATTATGCAAGTATCCCAATTCACTTAATCGTAATACAGCTTGTCTATGAGATCTGTTGACATTTACTGTGGAATCGATTTGAAATCCGTAATTGGAGTCTAATTTAAGAATTTTTCCTTCAATGCCTTGGAAGGAATATATCAGATCTCGAACGAGAACATCTTCAGAGACACAGTCCTCATTGAAAATTCTGCTTGGATTAGCGGGAAATCTGCGTATGCTTGATCCGGTAGAACTTGCTGGGACTATTTGAGCATGAGCACATGATGTCTGGGATGATTGACCTGATTATAAAAATAAGATGAAATGTTGAACATTTGATTGTGTGTTGCATATACATTTCTATGTAAGGCTCTCTTCTCTTGAATCTTTTATATAAGAATTAAACAAAATTGTTATTCACCACTTGATGAAGCCATCGGTGAATGTAATCCTAACCGTGTATCTGGAAATGTGAAATATTTCTCCTTGACTTGTTCCGCTGATTGTCCCATGTTGAGGAGAAATATCAAGATACCTAATCTATTTTTTAATGGCTGTAAAAGAAATTGTTATAAGAATGAATACATAATAATACTTCTATGTATTTTTAATAAATGTTAAAGTTGTTACCTTATCTTTAAGATCATTATGCAACCTGTCAAACTGTATAGCATCATGTGCTGACAATTTGCTCTTTATATGACTTGCCACAGATAACTCATCTTCCCGAAATGTTTCTATTCCTTGGGTTGATGACAAGAGACCCAGTGCAAATCGCATAAATCTTCTAAGAACATCTATGTCATAAACAATATTTTTTTATTGAAAAAAAGAAAAACGTTATTACACTCCATAATATAAATTATATAAATAAAAGTAAACTATATTAAATATTAATTATATATACAATGAAGTTACTATGTTAACTTTATGTCGATAAATAAATATTGACATAGGTTGTGACAGGAGTGGCATAAGTATGTAATAGCTAGAATATATTGTAATCATTCAGCTATGTAAACAATTAGGTATAATTAGACTAAGAATCATAGTATATCATTCTTCAGAAGATGAAGTAGGCTGAAATAAAATCTAACCTGGTTTCTGTTCTCCACAAATGGAGATAACCATTTTCTGCAGAAGATCGCTCACAGTCTCAGATTCTAATTCAGTCATCGTAATACCTTAAGGCGCACAAACCCTAATTGTAAATTAACAAGTCTTATTTTAATTATTCCCTCATTTACGCATTTCAAAACTAACTGACACTTGTTCACTGTTTACAAGCACGAAGTATGTAGGAAATTGAAATCTGACGTTGCAGTAGTGATAAATTTTATGCATAACTATGTACTGGAGCAGTGTCATGAATTGCAATTTTTTAATATATATATTGTATTTGTACAATAATTAAATAACTAACCAATTTCAATTTTAAAAAAATAAGAGATTTATTGATACTTTGAATTATTTTTTACAGCAGTTGGTAAATAGCTTCCTACATAATGGCTGAAAAATGCTGCAGTTTTCATCTGTCGGCCTTTCTACATATTTGGAGTATATTATCTTACGGCGCCACATGTATTTTTTTTCGATGATTTCAAATTTACAGCCGGCTTTCGGTTCCCGGTTAGTTTCACGAATACAACCTTAACCTAAACTTATTTATTTAATAATCAGTTTGAGTAGAATTGGATATAAGAACCTGTAGAAACTGGTAGAAACCTTAAATAGAAATCTTTTCAAGTGTCATATTGTGAGTGGAAGAAAAATGGATCGTAGTGCCATTGGAAATTCTTTGGGTAAATCCCTAAATTCGCCAAGAAAACGGTTGTCAATGGTACAATCTTTAAAGAAAAGCAGCTCGTAAGTAACGTTTTTTACATAATTTATAGTTTATAACAAAATTAAAAGAGATATTGTACATAAGTAAAAAGAAGAATATATTGTCTTCAACTGCATACTGTTAATGTATATGCAAGCTTCAAATATTATGTAAATATGGTTTTACTGTATGTTTTAGTATTCCGAGTGTGTCTGGTCGTTCGAATCAGTCTGTTCAAGTAATTTATAGAAGTGCGAATCATGCAGTAGAAAGTTTTGGATCGTCATTACCTGTACTCGTAACTGAAGCTTTAACATTTGTTGACCGTAATGCTACAGTCAGTGTCAATGTATCACTGGATGGTTGGGCATGGTTAGTGTGTGCTCGAAGATTACTGGTATGGCAGTGCAAAACTACCATCCACGATCCCAAACAACGACGAACATTTAACAGTCAATGCCGTGAATTACTTTTACCTCAAAGTGATCTTGCGCACAAAGCTGAATGCATTGCAGTATGGTTACCACCAGGTCAACAGGTAAAACATAATGTTATATCTGATTCCTCTCTCATAGTGTTACATCTTCACTGATTGCTTTGTTATCTCTCACTCAATAACAATGTACTTCAATTATTGGATATCTAAAATTATTTTACATATAGTATTTTGGATTGTATACTGATAACAAAATTATACTGCTTCAAGTATAAATTATTGATCTGTCTCGACTCGTTAGGTACCAAGCTGCATGGCAGTATCACCAGAAGGAATTGTTCGTTATTGGGCAAGCGTGGCTCACGAAGGCTCTTCAGTAGAAACAAGTGCAGAACTTGCAGGCCAGGAAGTCGACTGCCTTACTTATATTCCAGGTCATGGATGTATTTTAGCCACGACAACATGTACCGTTGCACTCTTACAACCGCAATTTGTAAACGGACGGAATACTATTTCGTGTAGAGTCCTTCGAACCAGTCAAGGATGGCTAGGTGGAATAGGTCGCAGAATGTCGTCCCTCATTTTTGGTGCAATGCCTCAGTCGCCCGTTATGGAAACGGTACTATTTTTATAATTAAAAACAGCCTTAAGGATTTTACAAATAATGATTTATATATTTTGCATTTTATACTGAGAAACATTGCGATTATCATTGTATGATCTGCATAACATTACAGAATAAACGTTCTTATTTTCATTTATTAACAGAAATTGGTTAAAGTAACTTGTACGCCAATGGGTGATAGAGGGTCGCGAGTTCTGATACTCGCAGGATCCTCTTTACAATATTGGTCTTTTCCACATAATGAACAAGAAAAAATGGAATTTGATGAAGATATTGGTCATATTGTTTCTCAAGCATTTCAAAGAAGTTTCTGGGTGAGTTTTCGTTATGTAGCAACTATAAAAAACTATTTTACTTGATTGATTGCTATTATTGATTAATACAAAATTATAATTCGTGTCTACTTTAATGTTACTAGGAATCGACTGCAAGTAATCCACAAAAAGTAAACACTTGGTTAATTGACATGCAGCCATGTGAAGAAGGAATAGTTCTTCTAATGGCAGGACGTCGTGGAGATATACTTGAACGTTTATATTTCGCATTAGGTGAATACGCAAGCAAACAGATTTATGTTAAGAAATATTAATATTAAAATTTAATTATTCACCGTGTCATTTTTATTTACACAGTGATTCTTATTTTCCAGGATTAATACCGTTATCAGGTACAATGTTGTCAAACATGTTTAAATGGTTTATACCTATACAAATTGGTTATTACTACATGATTCATGATAATACTGAGCCAATTTCACAGCCTTATCGTTTCATTCTAAGTGGATGGGAAGCAATTATATATGATCGAAACAGCGTAATCGTAGTTAACAGTAAGCATATTGTTTAACGAAGTTTCGTATTGTCGATAATTTATTTTAATCAATGCTAATCATATCAATTTATCTTTCGATTTAGCGACCTCCGAACATGAACAGGACAATATCGATTTAGTAAAAGGTGGCGAGGATAGTATTTTAGGAGGAGCTTTATGTTCAGGAACTCCAGTATTGTTCACAAAAAACAATGGTCTCATTACTATCATACCTACGGACTTTAACACACAAGATTTTAATACGTATGCTATATTGTCTAAGTTTTTATCAGCAGTACAAATGCTTTAGTATCTTTACGTATTTCACTCTTTTCATTGTTCTTATTGTAGAAGTTACATGGATTCAAATGTGAGCATCGATTATGGTGCAGGCAATAATAGTTTAACCGCTGAAAACTTTTCAACTTTCACGAATAATGACGATGCTCAGATTTTCTGTAGTTCGGACGGTGCAGCGCAATTGCGTGCAGCATTTCTGTATAGCCTTCGACGGAATAAGGTAGCTATTTATTTTATGTAAATTACAAAAATATTGTTCCTTTATGTTGAATACCTAAAACAGTGTATATGTTGACTACTATTATATCATATAATGAAATATTCGTTTTGATCGTTTATAAATATTATAAATTTATATTTTATCAGGCTCAATCTGAAGAAATACTTAATGAACTTTTCCCGCTTCAAGAAGAACCCGTGATGGACATTGATGCTGTTCTAGATACACTTGTCTTAAAAGTTGCAAAAGATTTAATTGACGACTATCCAGCTAATGATCCACGATGGGAGCAGCACAGAGATCAATGTTAGTATTGTATTTTATTTAATACTTTTTTTCTTACTATTTTTATTAACATTTAATTATTAATCTCTTTTGTAGCTATGACTTTGACTAACGTTACGTCAATGCAAATACCGCATCAGTTAGAAGGCAAGCAAAAAGCCTTAGATTTTTACATACGTTTCCTCAAAGAATTCAACTTGTGGAACAGGGTGCGTATTAACCAAAGTTCTTGTGTATTTTCATCAGATAAACAATATTTTATCAATACGGTACTTATGAAACTTTCTAATTATCTTATAATTATTTGTAGTTTTGCGCAGTGTCTTACAGAGGAATAACGATGGCTACATCACACGTTCTCGGCGAATATGCTGAGAAAGTCGTAGCTGCGATAACCATTTATAATCTGCAAAGCAGGTACAAGTTTAATATTTACTGTTTTGAATATTATGCAAATATTTATTAATCATTGTTATTCGACGACAAAAAGAAATTCTGAGATCCTGGATACGATAATGGAACAGACCTTACCACCGGAAGCCTATGTCTCAAAGGATTTGGCAACGCGCGACATTTTTTATCGTGAAGTTAGTAAAGTTCATTTACTTTTACCCACCTTAGTAAATAGCGCTTCCGAAATAACCCAAACGGAAAGATCGCCGCAACAAGTATCCCAGTACATAATGCAAGTCAATTCGATTTTATTGGTAAGTGATAATTAAAAATATTTTTGAATACCGATTTGACAGATCTGTCAAAATTAAGTCGTTATATTATTTGTTATATGATTTTCTATTTGTACGATTGGAAGGGTGTTCTACATGAGGTAGTAAAATACAGACAATATAATGCTGAAAATTTTGTACCATCGAGAGGTTCAAATGCAATAACAGAATATCTTCCGTGGACTGCAGCCACTGGTAAACATGGGTTACATCAGTGCCTTCATACAATGGTTTGTATTTTATCAAAGTATGCATTTTTATCAAACACGTGATCTTAACGCGGATCTGATTTTTGTTCTTATTTTAGCAAACTATAACTTTGAAATATGGTGTTACTGGCACAAATGATTCAACAATACGAAATGAACTATACGAACAATTAGTTGGACTTATAGATTTAATATTGGATGGAAGAAAATGCCATTTGGAAAGTATACGTGGAACAGAAAAATTTGATAACCTCTTAAAACAGTATGAAGCTGAGAGGACCAATCTGATTCAACCACTCAGTATGTAATTAAATTTATTAAGTGGTTTGACAAATATTGTAATATAGAAATTATCATTGTTATATTCGTATTTATTTAATAGTAAAAGATGAGCAGTATGAGAATGCTGCAATGCTTGCTGAAAAGTATTCAGACTTTGCATCTCTTATACAAATATGTGAACTGACAAATAATAAGAATCGACTTGATTCTTATATGGAGAGATTTGCATCACAGGACTTTGCAGGATTTCTATTCTCTTGGTAACTCATGCATGATTATTAACCCTGATACCTTATTTTGTGATACATTACATAAAATATAGACCTGCATAATTAATGCATAATCAATTTGTTAGGTATGTCAAGGATGGACGACAAGGACAATTGATCGAACGGTGTAGACGAGGTGGTGCTGTTGAATTAACAGAAAGATTATCAGAGCATCCATCTCTTTCCTGGGTACAGGCTGCACTTACTGGTGAAATACGTCTTGCCTCAAACACACTTCATGCCTTGGCATTTGAAGAAAGTGAATTGGTCACTCGTAAGAAGGTAGAATAACAGTTTATCATTGTATCATATTTAATGTTTGTTTATAAAAGAAACTGCAATTCTAGAGTCACTATAAACCACTGGTATTCTTAATAGAAAAATATATTAATATTTTATTTCATAAATAGACGATGCTCTCTCTATCGAAATTAGCACTACTAGCGTCAGATGGTCCTCTAGAGGAGACAGAGGACTGCCTCAAAAGTGTAGACCGGGAATTGGCGTTAATTGCACATCAAGAGGACTTACCAGAACAAGTACTAGCAGCATACGGTTACGATATTGATAAAATGAGAGTACTTAGTCCTACGGAGCTTATCATGGTACATTTCTGAGTCTCTGTATTTCTGGTTATATATCCTTGTCGAATAACTTTCTAAGCTATCTACTCCATTTCAGTTGTATACGTCTGATGAGAATGTTATTGCGAATGAGTATGACTTTAAGAAAGCACTTGATTTGCTTGAATACGTTGAAGAAGAGGAGGATAGATCAGCATTGAAATTAAAAATTTGGGCGCGCGCTGCTCGACGCAATAAATGGGACAACGTTGGCAACAATCGTGAACAAGAGGTCCAGGAGACACTGTTTTTCAAATTGATGGACCTTACACATTTGATGGGTAAGTAATATTTTAATATGTGCACAAACTTATAACATTGTTTGAATTAGTTGACACATGAATTTTCTATCTTTGCATCGATAAGACACGTACAGTATAAAATTTCTTTTGCGAATTTTGCGAACAAAGTATAATTATTTAACGCAATGAAATTAATAGGAAATGGAACAAATCTTAACCACCTTTTCGTATTACTATAGGTGGAGAACATTACGAGTTCCTACCGCCTGTTAAAGAAATCCTAAAAGAACCAGAACTGGGAAGTCTGGCAGCCTCCAGTAACTTCAAGTTTCTCATTGAAATTGTTTACGAATACGCTGATCATAATTATTGAATCACTTGAAGCTAAGATTTGCATTTAATCGATGAATAGAGTAGGCTATTTGTATATTTAATACTTTGTAAATGTAATAAACGATGTTTAATACTTTTCAAATACAATGTCTTGTATTAATCAATTTCCATTGTAAAATGGCACACCATCAAGTATTAATAATTTCATGATTTTTTTTCATTGGTCTATGTTTATACGATTAACTAATTATGACATGTGCAGCGAACAAATAATAAATTATAAAATTATTGTAGGCGCATTGCGAGTAGTAAATTTTTGTACTTTGATGTTACTATTTACAAAATCAGTGACGTAAACGTAAAAACTATTATAATTGGTAACAGAAACACAGTGGATGTTGATCCTGAGCAGAATTGATTCTCGGCGCGAATAATATATCTTACGTGCTCTGGTGTTTCGCAATCTATTTCTAAAATATAAAATATTTTGATGATTAAAATAAATAACATACCAAAAGTATTTCCATTAGAATATAATTGATAACTAAGCATACCTGTACATTTCATTAATGATGAAACACTCTGTATCCTATAATATGTATCAGGACAGGATTTGCCCTTTGTACAGATAGAATAATCAGTTAAAGTAATTTCTTTGTGACCAGACAATTCTTTGCAATAGAATCCTTTCCTTTCAACGTTATTATTCCATTTGTTCCATGAACACACTTTTATTGTACCATAGCCAACACCGTGTACCTATTCAATTAACAATATTGCCTTTGATTAAAGTGAATAGTAATTCAAACTCAATTGTTCATTACTTTTATCATATTTTTGTTTAATATTTAATATGAATAATCAAGGGATAATTAAATTTACCGTTACTATTATTCTCATCGTATTGTTTCTCCAAGCTGGATGCAATCGGTATGTCATATCTTGTGCTGAACTAATATAAGCTTCAAATTGATTTTTCGCTCCTACTGTACTATTTGCATTACACGGAATTGGTCGTATTGTCATTGGCACTAAATGATGTGCAAATGTATGAATAATTCGTACAATGCAGTATAGTAGTTATCAGAATTTAGAAGATATAAACAAAAATAATTAAACGTACCCATTGAGAGGTGTCTTGTAATGTCGTCTATTTGTAAGCTCCTTATCAAATGATCTTCCTGAGTTAGTAGAAACTTTCGGTAAATTTGAGCATTGTATTCAGATGTGTAATACAAGAAATGTACATCTGCAATTTGAATATTGCACTGATACTCATCGTAGTCTATTACATTTATTTCTGAGCGTTGAATAATACAGAAATAATTATGATTACCTGGATGTTTAGATTTAATTTGTCGTAATTTTACCATAGCCGATGCTTGTTCCGTTTCGTCCAGTGAATTAAGAGGAACAAGTAATACTACTGCCTGTCCAAGATTTCCAATGGTACGAACTGTGCTTTTCTGTTCCCATACATTATCCAGATATACAGATATTGTTTCTAATACTCTAGTATAATTCAGTTGCGAAGGCCCTAGGTATTCGTATCATTAGAGCAACGAATATACTTAAAGATAAATGTTAGCAATAATACTTACAAGTCATATTTGTCATGTCTGATATAAAATGGTGAATGACAGCAGGACTGTTTGTAACATTTAATAACAACTCGCCGGTCGTTCCATGAATTATACCCATTTTGGAACCAAACATAGAAACATCAGTATCTTCCAACAATACGCTGAAACATTAATTAAGTTGATGATACAATAAAAAATAAAGATTTAAATAGTCAGTAAAAATCTGTGATGTATGAATACTTGCGCAAGAAAGTCTTGAGTATATTCTTTAGACCATGCTCCATCAAATGCTATTAACATCTCAACGTGAGGCTTTTCCTTCTCATTGTAACAGTGTAATTCTGTAAATAAGTATTTGTCTGCATAATTAAAAAATGCATTACTCGCATAACCGGCCATTCTCTCTAACGCTTCATCAGTCATGTATGCGATGCTATTGCGATATGCAAGTACACGTGTCATTGTGTATGTCTGATAGGAAAAAAATAATAATAAATACCATTAAAAAATTAATGTTAGTATAATTTGTGTAACAACGTACTTGCTCATCCAATATCGTTTTTGGAGCTACGTGTAAGAAAGCTCTAGCTCTCTCGCAAGCTTTAATATTTTTATCAAAAGATACTCCTCTATTGCTGTAATACATATCCAGTACCTGACTCAATCGAAGACTATGAATCTGATCAATCCATCCTTGTAAATTTCCTGCAATCACTAGTCCTGAAATTATGCAGAATTAATTTTTGTTATCTGACATATTATTTATCTTGAATTTCTCTTGCTCACCATCAACTCCTCCTACAACTTCAGCTCTGGTAGCATCTAAACTTCCATGTTTATCTGTAAGATAGAATATGCTAGGACGCATAGTGCTATTCCAGAATCCTGTTGCACCAATTGCCATTTCTGAACCAACGATAGGACCCTGATAGACAGCCATTTCTGCTAAGTCACCTGAAATGAAAATCAGTCAAGGTTTAATCGTTAGTTAATTTACAGAGAATTGCTAATGAGTCTTTCACCTGACAAGGTAGCTGCCCATACATTGTCGAGCTTAGCAGAGGAAGCAACAAGTGTTTGAAACCACATTGATCTCCGTAGAAGAATTTCATGCTTTGGTACAATAAGATCAACTTCATCTTCGCTATAATTTATACTCTGTAAGTCACTATCTTGAAAACCATCTAAAATATTCAGTGATTAATGCATATGTCTAAAGGAAATTAAATCTGAACTGAATAAAGATTGTGGATACCTGAATATTTAACAGTAATTGCTGGCAGTAGCATTTTAATGTTTACACTCTGTGGCTGAAGGGATGCAGCAATTGCACTTATTACTACACCAGTTGCAACAGTACCAAATGGTGTTATAATTACTCCATACTCTATGGGACATTTTTTCTTGTCACCAGTCATTGATCTGCCTGCAGTTAATTTCAGATAATTATATCCGAAGCCATTGCATGTTAAATTTTAACTTTATACAATTACCTTACCAGATATCTTCTCTATATTCCCAAAAGTACACAGTTTATCATCCGATGCTGATTGATGATTCCATATCGTATTTGAAATAGCACGATGCAACGCGCATCGTTCCTCTAAGGTAAGAACATCCCAATGGAAACTATCTGCGTTTCCAGGAATCAATTCCTCAATGATTCTATGCTTTGCTCTTTGCGATCCTGTACCACTGAATGGAAATATACCATCAATCAATGACAGATTATCATGAAATTCAACGCCGTCGAATTTGAATCTGAAATTCAATAAATATCTTGTATATCCCGCCATCTTTAAGTATCATGCCGAACAATATAAAGACTATATAATATGCAACAATGATCGAAAGTTTGTTTGATTTGAAAAACGTGGTGCTTATAAACATTAATTTTATTTAACAACTTTTACATATAAAATGTCATTCTCATCATTGCTCACCTATGTAACAATGATGTAGCCATTGCTCTCATATTCATTGAACTATATGAATATCTTTCTGCCTTTCTCACGATGTCTACTATGACTCGTAAATTCATCGGTAACTGAGTACCTTCCATAATTCCATTTGTATAGCATTCTCGAAGTTTCTCAGGTATACTGGTTTGCGAATTTACCAGGCATAATACTGTGGATATAAAAGTATGACATATGACATATCGTTATACTATTGTTATATTGTAATGCATTGATCAATGGAGCAAGTTATAAATATCCTCGATTGTTCATCAATGGCATTCTTGAATATTTTGTTATCGAATGAACATCTACACAATCATCACTATGTGGTGTCAGAAGAAGAATCACATAAGTACTGATTTTCACGTTGAATCTTTATCGAGGATCTTTGTGAATTTTGTTTCGAAATTTTGACAGCGTCCGTACCATAACACATTAAGAACACCAAACGCTGAACTCTCATGTTGGTCGTCTTTATCGCATTATTGAAAATTGTCATACGCACACTACGTTCTACTTGTATATCCTAGTCACTGACTCACAGAGATATGGAGATGGTTTGTGATATCATTACTCTACCTCTGATAAGATAAGGACAAATATTCTTAAAAATGTGCCCTAATTCTTTGTCTCTTTAAACCTTGCATCTAAGAGTTTTGGTGGTCATATTTTGAAATACATCAGCAAATCTGAGAAGGATGGAATTAACTTTGAAGAAAATAGAAAGTATTTAACAAACTTTAATTCCGTGTTTCATTGTTCGTTATGTATTTTTATTATAATACCAAAGAATGTACAGATATGTTTATTAAAATCTTATTTTAAAATGTATGATAATGAGTTACTTTTTAAAAGTTTCAACATTCTTACGGCCGGTATTAAAATAAAACTAATAATAAGTAATATGTGAGGCTTCGCGTTTCAAATAATTCAATCTTCTTAATTTCTGATAAATACAATACTAGTTAAATAAATGACTAAAATTTTTACTGTGAAATCGATATTGGATCTACGTTAATCGTCTTCTGATGAAAATGATATCCAACATGGGGTTGCGTGACTCGCTCACGCATTCCTTCGTAATTGAATAATTCGAAATTTTCAAACACACACTTTCTGCTATTAGTCTTTCCGTAATATCATATCTGTCCATCTTTCCACAGAGAAGGGAACAGGTTACTCATAGGATATCGTATCTTATCATCAGATAGTGATAGTAGCTTTTTTGTATGTCGTTTCAAAGGTGTGGTACAGCTTCTCCAGTGAAACGAATCGATAAAGACACTAAGTTTTTCACGAAGAACAATACCTTAATTTATTACCATACAACGTGTACTTTATGTAAAAGAGAAAAAGGTGAAAGGATTTGTATAGCTGTGATAAAAGTTTAAAATTTAAAATTTACTTCGTGGCTGACGATGTGGCTTGTAACCGTGTGGCAGCTGCATTGAAGAAAATTACAGTTTCTGAGTTTACGTTCAATCCTGTAATTTAAAAGATGCAATCGTTTTTATACATCGTCGTGATCGGCGTATTGGGTAAGGAATTTCAAATTGATTTGTAATTTTCACGTTAGACTATTTTATTAAAAGTTCAGACGATACTGCACTTCGGCCGACTTTTAGCTTATCAGTATTAATGATGATTTTCACATTCCAGCCGTTAACGCGCAAGAAAATGCTCAACGAAATGTTCCGTCATCTCTTCTCGAGTGTTATAATAATACCTACCTTTTGGAGAAGGACAGCAGACTTCCACACAATATTAATACATTAATTGCAATCCTACGTAAGATTGAAAATACTGCAGGTTTAAATATGGATCTGCGTGGTCTTTCAGTAGCTCTTTTGCACAGGTAAATATTAATGAATAATTTTAATTACCAAAAAATTACTTAATGCCATTCATAATACTCAATAGCTGATTGAATGATTTGATGATTAATATTGATTTTAAATACGATGCATGATGCGTACTAAGTATGTATAATAAATACTTTTTTTCATTTTAATTCTTTATTTTATTTTAGATTTCGGCAAGATGGTATCGAACGAAATCATAGAGTTCAGGCACAAAATGGTATCACGCCGTATGCACCAAATGGATTACAATTTTATCGGGGTGCTGCGACACTTCGATTAATTCCAGGCAATGCAGTTACGTTTCCGAATAATAGTCTCAGTGATGTTGAAAGGGTAAGAAACAAATGTCGTATTCACATTGACAATTTAATTGGCTTTTTAATTATTAATTAATTATACGTAATTACATTTACTTTTCTACATTAGGATAAGTTATTTATCATTATTTCAGTGTACTCTTCACTTTATGCTGTCAAGCAGTATTGAAATAATTGAGAGAGGAGACGAAGCGACTACTTGTCGAGTAACAAATAATCTGTATAGAAATGAGAGAAGTGTCAATGAAGAATCAGAAAGTAATACAGAGAATATAATTATTGATGACGTCGAGACCCTGTCTCCAGAGCAATTGTAAGAAAGTTCAATATATATAATATTAAAAATAAAAGATCATTACATAAATTAGAAATAACGCAAATTGCTTAAGCTTAATTCATCTTAGTGTAAATAAAACCTGCTTAAAATGTGTCTTTCACTATAGAGAAATAATGAAGAGCAACAATGGAGAACGTAAGATGAATACTGTTGATCCAAATTGGTTGTATCCGGAATTACCACCGAATCATCCTGATAGCGCAAAAGTCATGGCAATAATTACCCCAAGTAGATGTCCCGTCGAGAATGGAGTCATTAAAACCCCGTAAGTGATAGGGCATAGGATTATTAAAAAATTACAATACTAATTTTATATTACTATTAATCCCAATTCATCTTACAGTTGGGGTGCCGTAGCAGGTGGTCCACTTCTTGCAGGTATAGCAGCTGCACTTCAGCCACAAACTGTAAGCCTAAGTAGCTTATTAAGAGAAGAACTAATAGAGAAGGGTTACGATTCGGCTGCAACACTAGATAACAAGTGGATTGCAACTTTTGCTGGTAATAATTGGCAGTAAAATTAAAATTGAAAAAGGATTATCAATAAATTACAATGGGAATGGTATAACGATCGCTATTTTTTCTTTTATTATTTACAGGGGACTTAGCTGAGGTTGCACTAGTTCAGGGTCCAGATAAACCAGATAAAATTTTGAGTGTCGGTGTTAATGGCAATTGGAATTCTACGGCTTTGCCAAAATGGTATTTTCTCAGTACTAACGAAAATCTTGAGTTTACTACAGCTGAAATAAGGGGTGACTTGGACGGTTTAATTCTTGCAAATTATGTAGCGAGCTGGTACTCCCGCACTTCCACTATTCGACTCTCACAGATTTTAGATATGTATTACAGTCCTCGTGGCGTTTTTAATTCCACCATACGAGCTTGTAATCGTAGAACGTTATTAACAAGTGTTGCACCTAATGCAACTATAGCTGCACAGGTAAACTTAATTGTTATATTACTACTCTTGTAGATATTTCATTTTATAAGGTTTATGTGCTTAATTAAACTTTTTAGGCTTACATTGCATCGTTGCTTCTAAGCGAAGATGTTGCTACGGCGACAATTGATCCAGCTAGAATTGAAACTTTCGTCACTTATTCCACAAATCAATTATTGAATTATATACGTGAGTAAAATATTTTATTAAATTTTAAGTGAATTAATTATTTGTGATTCTGGTAAATCTTTTAGCGACATCAATGAACAGTGATTTGACTTGTACTATTACGGACGCATATAACGATATCAATCGTGCTTCTGTTGATTTAACTATCATCCTTGATACCAATTGGCCATTTTCTTCTATACAACCAATTCTGGGGCAAGTACTTCTGGGGTACTTATTTAAAGAACTTTTTTTATTTATTGCAACCTTTCTTTTTATTTTAGCAACTTGCTGGAGAGTATAGAAGTTGGCATGTTTAACAGTAACTTCACTCTGATAAACGCCTTCAATGGAAGTATCATGATCGATTCTTCTAATAGCATTTTGAATTTTTACAACTTTAATTCCTCTAATTATCAAAATCGTAGGTTTACTAATAAAAAATATTGCCACATAACATAGGACGAATTAAAACTAAAATAGTAATATATCTTTAGTCGATTATTATTTTAGATACCACTGGTTTTGATCTTGCAAAAACTTTCGAAACTCTTCGATTGTTGCAAACTGACAAATTAAACTCTGAACAGAGATTGGGTATTGGTGGAAGAAGTTCCGACATTGTATTAATTATTCCATACACTTCCACGGTTTCTGAGACTGACAAACAATACTGTTTGGAACAGTTGCGAACTATGCGGGAAGAAGTTCCAGGTATACGAAAACAAATTATTAATGTTAAGCAGCGCGCACGAAAATAGATTATTACGTCATTTTACGATATTAAAAATTTCCCATTATCATAATTGTATATCTAAAGCATTAATCTGTTCCCACAGATGCTACGATTCTCTTTCTGACTTATGGATCAAAGGACAGATGGTCTGATTTGGTGTTTAACCCCTCAACAGATATCTTTGCCATCACATCAGGGGATACGACAAGTTCCTTAGAACCAATTGGTAACTTGGTAGCCAGGATAAAACGAAGTACGTTAATAATACTAAAGAAAACATAGGATGGGATTAGAATTTCGTATAAAAAATCATTTTTGTCAAAGAGCCTAATCTATAAATATAATTGCAGATCAAAAACGATTGATAAACTCGCAATGCGGTGCAAACTTTGTATCATCAGGATCATCAAATTCATTTATCGATTACGTGGAACCGTCAGGTGTCAACTTTTACAGACTCCATCCCAATTATTTCTTTACTGCCGAATCGTCAAACCTTCCCACAGTAAAGGTACTGCAACGAATATCAAAAATTATTTTTCAAAATAAGCAAATCTATTTAAGACTCAACATTTTTTATTATTTACAGGTTCAGGGGGCGGGCTGGGGCACTCTCACTGTATGCACTTCGCGCAATGTTCTCCATGTAAATACAACTGAAGCACTTGCAGCTGCATCTTGCACATCTGTGACAAGCAACACATATAGTTTTACTGTCTCTTGTCCAGATGCAAGTGTAATTCATCAGTGTCAACCATTGTACGTAGCAGTATTTGGCAATGTATCCAGCAGTTCTTCATACCAGTGTACAGGTGAGTTTATAAAGTATTAGTATAAAATATCAATAGAAAGTAATAAACTCTGAAATTTATACACAATACAAATATATAGCATAATCAGACATGGATAGTTATATTACTTGTTAAATGAATACTGTAATATATTGTTTTATTCTAGATGCAAGCGTCTGCCGATTCCCAGATATGTTAAAGTACACATTTTCATATGAAAATCTTCTGTGTAGAAGTGGTGCAAGTTCATTTGCAAAACCAGTAATTCTAATTTTATCAATCATCTGTTTTTATTTTTATTAACTAATAGCTTCTGGCATTAGGGACAAACATATCTCATACAGCGATGAAGAATTATTTTTTATCTTTTCAACCAGGATAATATAAATCGTATTTTAGTTTCACCATATCATGTGTTAGTAGTGTTTGAAGTTTCAAATGAAATTGCATATAGTCTGTCCACGAGTAAAATGTAATTTGGAGGGACCATCTTCTTATAATTTTTCACATAAAAGAATCCCCTGAATACAGTTTTGTACTTGTTAATTAACTGTATTTTCATGAGAATATCAAAAAGTTCGATTTTGACTTATATATAGTTATAATTCATTTCTTGTACCTGGAACATACCTCGTCTGATATACAGACCTGGTGTCACCCATACAACTACATAAAAATTTTAGACAAGTAAATTTCTACTATGTAATTCATTATTTCATGATGTACTATAAAGAAGACTTATCTTCATTTAGCAAAATATATATTTTTTGTTTAGCAAAGAAAATGGCTATTGAAAAATGTATTCAGGAATTATGGTTGTCGTTATGATAGATGAAGTAATATTAGCAATTATTTTAGACAAATCAGACTTAGCAGGATGAAAACTACTATCATTTGTATATTTTATAAAAGAGTAAACATGGACATCAAATAAAAAGTACAATTTTAAATTAAAGTATGGAATTGACTGTTGTGTACTGTGTGTACATTATAAATAAGTTCATGTCAATAAAATTACATAGTAATTAGTAAGTCTCACAGCCTTAATGATAATCCTTTAAACAAAAGTAAATTGATCTGCCTTGATTGCATTGATCATGATAGTTTATTTTAAAATTCAGAAAATATGTAATTCGACTAAGTGGAGAGTAAGAATTAAGTCTCAATAAAATAAACGCAATAAATAAGTAAAATAAGTCTTATATTGATGGTCTATAAAGAAAATGATATACCTCTAAACAAAAGGTTTACAGATTGCTATAGTGTGATCTACTCCACAACCCACTTTCTGAACTTGAGCTCCAACAGCCACCTGGTAAAGGAAACATATTCAAGTCATCATAAGTTTTGAAAATATCATATACAGTTTTGTATTACAAAAAGAAAGTAGCATCTATACCTTTAATGGGAAGAATTGGTTATTTTCATGCCCTAATCCTAAACATCCAAATTTATTATTTCCCCATGTATAAAGATCACCGGTCCTTGTCACTGCTGATAGATGGCTTATCCCACAGTATATTTTTGATACTTGGGAATTGGTTTCGTAAGCATTTAAACCAAAGAGGGTTGATGGTATAAGAGTAGGTTTTAAAACCCTTTGAACTTGGGGTCCAAGGCCAAGAATTCCATAGCCCCATACATAAACATTTCCTGTATCTGGTTGAGTCAATAATAGATGAAATATATTTCCAAATTATAATGTTTATCGGTTAAATAGAGCTCAGTGCTCTTCCTTACTATTTAAGATCATGCAAAAACTTCCACCAGTCGCAATATCTACGATGTGACCCAAGTCTTGGCATTCGTGAATTTCAGTCGCTATATTTATTTGATGAGTATCGCCCTGAACCGGTAATTGTCCATACTCCGAATTGCCCCATCCAAAAACTTTACCTTTATCTGTTGAATGCGTTACAGGATAGTGTTAGAAATTAATAACTGTTAAGTGACAATTTACTTTTGCAAATGTAACTTGACTTACCACTAAGTGCAAGGACACAATCTGCTACACAGGCAACTTTAATTATATTTTGACCAGCCAGGTCTCCTTTGACTAGACTGGGTTTAAATTCATTGCGATAATGTGCAAGACCAGTTTGTCCATCTGCACCCCAACCAAATGCGTATACTTCCCCCTTTTCAGTTAGCAATATACTGATAAAAAGCAATATATTTTTGATTTATAAGTTTGATTGATTTACAAATTTGCAGAAAAGTTATACTTGTACATGAAGTAAATACTCACTAACCTGTGATCTTGCCCTGCTGAAACAGCTGTGATCCGATCACCTTTAATATTTGGTATATGATGCACTACCTTACTTTTCGTATAGTTTTCATTATTTATAATCGGTCTTCCACATTGTCCGTAACCATTGTTACCTAATGTAAAAACTCCTTCATCAGTAAGTATCAGTAAATGTGCTCTACCAGCAGCTAAACCAACGACCCTTGTTGATGATTCCTTCAAGGGCAAGGTTACTGGCCTTGGGTCTATTATTATCCCACTCTTGTTCTTTTCATCTGATACATGGTATCCTATTAAAGATATATTTAATGATTCTCATTGTATAATACAAGTTGTAATAATATATATCTAAGATTTGAACTTTTTTTACCTAGCTGAGAATCTGTATTGATTCCACAACCATATACAATATTAGTGTCATTTGAATGAACTCCAAATGCTGTAAAGCCATAACCGCAAGCAAGGTCTACTACTTTATGGCGTTCTCCAAATGATAATCGCCGTGGATTATGAGTATATGCAATATTATTTTTTCCCTTGGTAGAAATGGCTAAGCCCAAAGCTCCATGTTCAGCAAGTCCCCATACATATAATCTGCGATCACTTGCTTCACTTACGGGATATTGAAATTCTAAAAAAAAGTTATTATCAAGCATATAATCATATTAAGTAAACATATTGTAGTTAAAATGTATTTTTAAATATTTCTATATTTATACAAATGTTATATTATATACAGCACTAAAAATAACTAATTATTTAATGTAAATCTCCAAAAAGTCAAAATATCCCAAAATTTATTAGTACCATTGCAGGTAATAGATAAGAAAAATATTCATATTAAAACGCAACGTCGACATTATTATTGAAAACAGAAACATCGTAATATAACAAATTAACAAGTGACTTATAAGGTTATACTTAAGTTAGCACATGTTAAATAATATCATACGCTAGTACTACTATAATACAAAGTTTGTATAGAAATATAAATTATTAAAAATCTAAGAACAATGTATACAGATAATGTCATTATTTATTTTAGCAATAATATTAATTCTTGATCCTTACCCGGCAAGGTTTTTAATTTCTGTTTCGGTCCCTTAGGCTTTTTCACAGATGCGCCTTTCTTACTCCGTTTTATAAGTGCACTAGAACAAGATCTGATTAACCCGATCATTATAATTCATTTGTGATACGTATTGTATCTCAATATTTCAAAAAGTATAAGTTTATGTCATTAACTTCGCCATAACCTCAAAGTGATTTATACAAACAACATCACATAATGTATCTGAAGTTATCTATCCACGCTACACGTGCGTGCGGAAAGAATTTCAAACCACAACAATAAAATTGTCTGTAATACCCACCAATCAAAAAGCTTCTAAGTCACGTGACATGATAATTCAATCCCAATAATTCAAACGCTACTATTATATTCTTTCTCACCATTGTTACAAAACTGAACGTTTTAAACTCATTTAATCAAAAACTTAAGTTCGTTTTAAGTTTCATTTAAGTCAAAGAGCCAAGAACCTATCAAATTCAAAAATGAATGTCGTGCATATAGACGCAAACGTAAATCACTCATCAAAAGCAAAGAAGCGGCCAAAAATAGATGAGAAACATAGATATCTTGGAAAAGATGCATTCCCTAATATTCTGCCAAAATATCGTAAGCTTCTTTATTCATTCCATGACTATCCAACTATAATACTACGCGATAGAAACGAAAGAAATAATTATATTGTAGAATTTGATTCTGGGTATCGACGTCCACTTGTTCAATTGACGACAACTGCCACTTCATCTTCTATGAAAACTCCAATAAGGAAGTATAGAGGAAGAAGCACCACTTCCTCATCAGCCCAAAAATATTACTCTCGAATACGAAGTTCTACGTAAGATCGTTTAATATATAAGTTCATTATAATTTGTTACTCAAATTAATGTTAGGTAATACTTTGGTTAGTTAATATTAGCTACTAATACTAATAAAAGTATATCTAGCTCAGCTAATGCTCCGATGATAACTCCTGGAACATCAAGCAGCATAACTTCACTTGTTATTCTTGGTACTTAGGCAATTTGGTTGTGTTTTTTAAATATGGAATTGTAAATACAATGATATAATATAATAAATAATTTATGTAGCAATAACAGCAGGACGTGGTGATGCAAAATGTGAAGTAGGTATGGCCGCAGTGGATCTACAACAACCTCACATGATATTATGTCAGATTAGTGACTGTCAAACATACATAAATACCCTGACAAAAATTCACTACTTTCAACCTGTCGAGGTAACTCTCATAGTTTAAGAAAGTTATCATAAAATTAAAACAATATCTAATTACTATAGATTCTAATGCCAGATACAATGTGTGAGCGACCAACCAGTTTAAGCAGGTTGTACCAGTTTATCAAAGAAAAATTTAAAGATGTGAATGTCACAGGAATTGGACGATGGCATTTTAATGATACCATAGGAATGGATCGCATAAGAACCCACTGTGCTAATGAATATTCAAGTGTAGAACTCTTTGTTAAACAAAAGCATGTTAATTATACTTTCTAAAATGAATATTTACGATTAATATAAATGTGTAACATAATTATTCATTTATAATTATTATAGATTTTATGCTTTGGCAGCTGCTGCAGCCTTGTTAAAATATGTCGAGTACATACAACACATTCTGTATGCACCAAAGTCAATGAGAATTGAGTTTCAGGGATCTCAAAATTCTACTACCATAGGTATATTGTTAATAGATTTTTATGTCTAGAGATATTGTTAAAATGACTTATTTATTTACCTACAGATTTAGAGAGCGCCCTAAGCCTAGAACTGGTATCGGCCCAAGCTGGTCGTGCAAATATCAGTCTGTTTGGTACTTTAGACCGGTGCTCAACTCCTATGGGAAGAAAATTATTAAGAGCTTCAATTCTTCAGCCTCCATGCGTCACAAATGATATTTTGGAACGACAAAAATGTGTTGCTGAATTAGTAAACAATAAATCATTACTGATGGTCATCCAAGCGACTGTACGTCGATTTTCTGGTGTTGATCATCTTCACAATTTATCAATGCAGACTCTACACGATGACAATGTATTGAGTGCTGAACGAAATTTAAATTCTGTGCTCTTATTGAAGCATACGATTGACGCAGTTCCTGTGCTTCACGCTGTATTAGAAACTGCGAAATCATCATTCTTTATTAAAACCAGAAAGGTATCTTGATATAAGAAACAATATGACGGTACATCAAAACTATTATGCAATAGAATTCGTTTAATTGATTCTTTCATAGAATTTGCAAGATTCACAATATGGTATTATGAAAGAAAAGATTTTAAAAGTGATTCAACCGGAAGCCAGGTCTGTGGCGGGTTTCACTTCTGCAAATATGCAACGATGCTTTGCCTTAAAAGCTGGTATCAGTGATATGTTGGATGTTGCGCGACAAACATATTGCGAGCTGATTGATGATATGAAAAGTTCGTTTTAATTGAATTTTTTAAATTCTTATCGATAGAAATTATATCATTTTCAATTTACAGGTATGGTTCAGGGACTAAATGAAAAATATAATCTTCCTCTTGCGCTAGGTTGTAGCGCAACAATGGGTTATCATATTCAAATGGAAGTACCACGACGCAGAAATATTAAAGTCACCGATTTACCTAAAGAATTCATTGAGGTTATACAAATCATTATTGGAATAGGTATAATATTATTTTAGAGTTAAATCAGCAGTTATTATGATTTTATTTAATAGATAAAGAAGGTTAGAAGCTGGTTTTATATGACTACGGATATCTTGCTGGTACAAAGTCAACATTGTAAAGATGCTTGTGATGAACTTCATTTGATGAGTAACGTGTACGTTTAATAATTTAAAAATTGCGATGCAACTCCATAACTAATGTTCTGTTTCATTACAGTATTTTAAATGAGACTTTAACAGAAATCAGGGAACACATTGGTTGTCTTTATCAGTTGAGTGCAGACATCGCAGAATTAGATCTTGTCACTTCACACGCACTTATCAGTTCCATACAAGATTACGTAAAACCAATTTTTGGATTAAGATTAAATTTAGTCGATTCAAAACATCCCATAATGGATATTATGGGAACCGATAATCCCACACCCAATGATGTGGTAAATAACAATTACACAATACAAATGACTGTTCCATCAATATATTATTATTTTTTAAGGAAGCATCTGTGCCATACAATTTTCACACAATAATTGGACCGAATATGAGTGGAAAATCTGTTTACTTGAGGCAGATAATATTATTACAAATTATGGCCCAGGTATCAATCAATCGTTTACAATTAATGAACAATAATAATTTATATTACAGTATTATAGTTTCTATTTATTAGATTGGATGTTACGTACCGGCAACAAAGGCTGAATTTCGCATAGCTGATCGAATTTATTGTACACTATGTTTCGGCGACGATATTGAATGTAATGCCTCGTCTTTTGTTCGGGAAGTCAAAGAAGTACAGTATATTTTGCAAACAATCACTCCAAGATCTTTAATAGTTATTGATGAATTATGCAGAGGCACTACAGTTGAGGAAGGTACATCACTCGTTTGGGCAATATGCGAATCTCTTTTATGTACAGCTGCTTTTACGTTCTGCGCAACTCATTTTCTGTACTTGACTCGACTAACTGAACTTTACAACAACGTAATAAAGTGAGTATATATTACTAGATGTTCTTCGGTAAAATATTAATAGGGCATTATTTTTATAACATCATTTTATAGTCACTGTCGTATTGGTATAATTATTTTTTACATTAATATCTGTCTTTTTTTTGTATCTGTGTATAGTCATTACTTCGAAACAAAACCAAGGATTGAGAAGGTATTTGAGAAGACACGCTTAATTTATACCCACAAATTGAAAACAGGAATCGAAACATTTGAGAATTATGGAATATCATTAGCAGAATCATGTAATTTGCCTGATTGTGTGATAAAACATGCACGGGAAAATATTTTAAAGATATCAGACACAATCATGGTAAATTTATTTATTATATTTCTTAATATATGTATGTCAAATAATGATTATCCGTTATTTTAGCCCGGCAAAGATATTATAGAAAATAGTGCCATGTCACAAAATAAGAAATGGTACAAGTATGCAGCTGAAGTATATGATCTTTTGGAAAACGATAACAAATTCACAGAGCAAAATGTTCTTGAGCTTATTACACAGATGCAACAATTTGATATTGAAGATCCTGATGATACGACTAAGATAATGATCGCACAATCAAATCCAGTTGCGCAGCACACTCCAATAAACAAGAACAAATACAAGAAAAGCTGTAGCAATTTGGCGCCAATAATTTCAAAACATGAAAATTTAAGTGCTGTCGAGAAACGAAAAGCGACAGACAGCATAGGCGAATATTCAGATTCAAAATTAATAAAATTTGAATTTTTATCAGAGTCAAAAAAGGTCATGCCTACGCAAATGTCTAAACAAGAGAGTAAATTATCGAAAAAAAAATGTACAGTGGTAAATCTGACTTCTTTGAAAAACCGAACTGTCAAACTAATGGATGAAGAATTTACGTCTTTTAGAGATATTGTTAGAAAAGAGAACAACGAAAATCCAAAACCGGAACTAAATCTACAAGTCGAAAAGTCATATTCAGCAGAAAGAAATATTCAGCTACCGATTCCTAAGTTACCTAATCGTTTAAGTCAACCGATAACGCCCGATTTGAGCGAAGACAAGTCTGTGACATTTTCTCAAACATCCATTTCAACGCTGGCTGCGAAATTATCCGCGCGTAGAAAAGAGGCCGAGATATTCAAAATCATTGAGGGCGATGATTTTCGAGAGTCTCAGTTTTTTAATTCTCTTAGGATAAATGACGACGAAAATGATATTATGATTATCGAAAACAATCTTCGAGGAATTCCGTCAGATCAATATACATTACAATTTAAAAATGATTTTAAAAACGAACCAAGTACAAGTCGTGGTTATAAATAATATATTTGATTCTACCCAATCTCCAAGATTATTGATTAATTTCAATGTACATAATCGAAGTTAAACATTACACATTAAACATTCTTCAAACCATTAATTCGAATAATTCCGAAAAATATTCAAAGGTACCATCCCTTTATTATATTAAATTCGTGTCTACATGTATTGCCTTATCTATTTCAACCCTTACAAGTTGGAAATTAGCTGTTCAGTCTGAAGGACGAAGAGGACAAACCAGAAGGAAGTTAACTGTGTTGAAGCACATGCGCCACAAGGTGGCCTAAATTGGTACTAGAAACTGTGACCAAGAAGTAGAGAATTTCTGTAGTCATCCTAAAGAGAGATTCATCTTCCTATTATTATTTTATATTGTCAATGATACAAGTGTCCACATCAGGCGGTGTAGTGGGAAAATATTTTATACATAAATTTTTAATGAATATAAAATAGTTGGCATATAATAATCTATATATTATATTATTAGATGACGGTGCCGCATAAGTTCGCATTGAAAAAATGTTCACCCTGGCTACTAGTTTCAGTAGATGTGTCTAGGATATTTTATAGGTTAATGACTTTTATTACTTCGAACGCGTCCTTTTAAAGTGTCAAATTGATCAACAACCGGGTCTGATATTTTTTAATAATAAACTCTCCCCAAAGGATTTTTTAATATTCTAAAACTTTGAGATGATATTCTTCAAAGTGAATCTTACTACAATACAGATAAAACAGAAAAAGTACAAATGATTAATTGATAATTTCAAAAATTTTTATGAGAATAACTTATCAAGCGCATATCTATTGTTAAGCTGTGTTAAACATTGTGAAATTTGTTCAAAAGTGTTGTACTGTGACAATGGCAACTGACTGGATGACAGAAAAGATTTCAATGAAGAATGTGCTAAGTCAAGTTTTGAATGCAAGAACTGAGTCAGATTTTATATCTGTCAAACAAGAAATGGAATTATTTGATGAAACTTTATGTCCTAAAACACAAGAGATAGGAATTAATCGCGATCAATGCATTGATAAGCAAAAGACTAATGAAACTGATGCAATGCCATCTTCTTCAAAAGCACAACCAGCTGTAAGATTGACATGCTTATTTTATTACTTTGCATGCTTAGATTTTATAAAAGCCTGAAAGCACAGTATCAAAGTTTACTTATATTATTGATACATTTATAGAGCTTTAAATTTATATATTTTCCAGAGTACTTTGCTGTCACATAATGGAGAATCCAACACAGATATTTTGCCTGCAATTCCTAACGAAAGAACTTTTGTATTAGCAAGTGTCATAAATCAAGACTCATTGTGTAGAGGTCAAATTGATTTAATGGAGATACAAGCTGAAGAAGAACACAATTACAAATATTTGTTCATTTATGAAGATCAGTTTTCTAAATTTATTGTTCTCAAAGCTTTACGAACTAATACTATCAAAGAAGTCACATTGAAACTCTTTGATGTACTGACAATCATTGGAGCACCGCGAATTTTGCAAAGTGGTAATGGTCGCGAATTTACTGAACGTGTGGTGCGCGAATTACGTTCACTTTGGACGAATCTTACAATAGTGCATGGAAATGTGTCAAAATGTGATGAAAGCAGTAAGAGAGATTACCAAAATCTTATAAAATCATGGCTCATAAAAAATCCATCAAAAGTCTGGTATCAAAGTCTTAAATTTATACAGATTCTTGAAAATACAACTTTTCAATCCAAGGATGGTAAAATTCCATATGATTTACTATTTGGCCGTAACGTTCACAACGTATGTGAGAACGGGAGTCTCTCTAAAGAAGTTATGAACAAAATTTGGAGTGAAGAGCAATTGTACGAGGTAAGGAATGTAACAAAAAGAATTAAAACTGCCCAAATGAATATATTATATACTTTTGTAATACGTTGATTAATGTCATCATTTCAGCATCTCAAGGAGAATGGAAGCATCTCTCTTGATATTGAATTTGGAGACAGCCCAGTTAAATCACCAAGAAATAACAGCAGCACAAATGGTTTTAACTTTGTGAATGTGAAAAGTGAAATGTCACTGAGCACAAATCAAATAGAAGATTCACAATCCGACGAAGAAAGTAGCACAGCTGATAGGTTACAGACACAAGACACGGACAAGTATCTGTTTAGGTGCAAAATCTGTCAGAAACAATATATGAAGTTAGGTCATTTAAAGAATCATATAAAAGCACATGTGAAAGCAGGTCGACTTGATTGTACTATTTGCCACAAGACATTCCGGCTTCCGAGTCTATATGATAATCATATGAATGAAGTTCATAGTCAAGAAAAAATCTTCAGTGATAATTCTTTTCATTCTGCAAAGAGAATGGATACGGATGACATTTCACCAGAAAAATCTGAAAATAAAAACGAGAAGTTAGAAACTGGATTGGAAGAGAATCCTTTAGAAATAACCGAACGCACAAGTCCTGAGAAAAAAGATAACATGCTCCTCTGTATCTCCAACAAAAGTCACAAAAAAAACCTCAAACGCACCAACGCCCTAGCCAGAAGAAAAGTTTCCAAAGAGAATCGTCTAACTAAAGTGAATGGGGACCCATTGCTCGAGTGCACATATTGTCAACAAAAGTTTGACTTTCCAAGTGTCTTAAAAAGACACATGCGGTCTCATACAAATGAAAGACCTTACGTTTGTCAAGTCTGCAACAAGAGTTTCAAGCAGTTAGGACATCTGAGTCAGCATTCTTTGACACATACGGACTACAGGTCTTTTCAATGTGCAATTTGCGGAGTAAAATTTGAGTCTCTGGACAGCTTGAAAAATCATTCGCAAAATCATAAAGGAGAATCAGTTGTATATCGACCAAAGGAGATTTATCGCCTCTTCGAATGCGACAACTGCAAAAAGGTGTTCACAACAAAAAGTGTCCTAGAGCGTCACATATTTACTCATACGCATGAGCGTCAATTTGGCTGTAAAGTATGTGGAAAAAGATTCAAACAAGCAGGTCACGTTAAGTCCCATATGTTGATTCACACAGGAGAACGTAAATTCGAATGTACTATATGTTCAAAACGTTTTAGCCTATCAAATTCTCTCAAGAAACATATGTACGTACACAACGGCGAAAAGCCTTATCAGTGTGACGTATGTGGTGCCAGGTTTCTTGAAAAACGATATCTCAATGGACACTTAATGACCCACACAAATGAGCGTCCATTCTCTTGCAAAATATGTGGCAAAAGGTATACCCTTGCTGATACCCTGAGGCGTCATATAAGTGCAGCTCATGAAGATGGCAGAACCTACCAGTGCGAAATCTGTGCAAAAATGTTTAAGCAGCTTGCGCACTTATCAGTTCACAAAAAAGTGCACAACGATGAGCGGCCATTTCAGTGTCACCTTTGTGAGAAGAATTTCAAGCACAAGAATGTCCTGAAGTCGCACCTGGCGATACACGCTAATGTAAGACCGTTCGAGTGTGACGTTTGTAAAGCCACTTTTGTGAGAAAAACTAATTTACAAACTCACATAGCATCGGCTCATATGAATGAACGTCCTTATGCATGTAAGATATGCGATAAGCGCTTCAAGCAAATCAGTCATCTGAACGGTCACGTTGTGGTACATAGTAATTCTATGCCATATCAGTGTGACTTTTGTGACCGTCGGTGTAACAGACTAGATAATCTAAAAAAGCATATGCGTCTGCATACTAAAAATAAAGAGTAAATTGTAGATATGTGTCATTTGAAATATTGCCAAATGGAAGATAGCTTCCAAGCTGCAGTATAAACAAAGCGAATGAAAGATATGTAATAATGTTTAAGGAATTTCACAGGATCAAGAATATAATATTTGTCTTTAGTATGAACAATAAGAATCTATACTGCTTTGTTTATATGAAGTATTTCTCAAGTCATATACATTGAAATTCCTTAATGGTATTCGAATCAAACCAGTAAAACTACTATGCTAAGTATTTTCCTATGAAAATGTTTTTCTTTGTAATAAGAATTGGTATAATGTCAGCATAATCTTTAAAGAACCTCTGCGTGGAACAAAAAGATCTATTCTCTTGTTTTTTTAATTTTCGTTTATTCGAAACTATATTTGTGCCTACAGTGTAGTGCGAATATCATATGTGGTTGGAACATAATTTATTGATTACATTGGATGATTCTGTCTCATTTGAAATTAATATTATTTCAAAAAGGTATGATTTTTTTCTTACCCTATCGAGGCAGAAGATGAATATCTATGAAATTGCTTTCTGTTATTTCTATGTACATCCCAACTTAACGGAGATACATAATAACTTGGAACATTTGTATACTGTCGTATACTCATAAAAATGTTATTTATTTCTTTTTACCTGTATACTCGAAAAATGTTGATGTTTTATAGTACAGAATAAACAATCTTCTACTATCGCCGGTGATACATTTTTTTATTTATTACTACCGTATTTTTTTGTATGTCAATGTCAATACCAAATACATCTATAAATACTAATTTCTATATAAAAAAAATAAGGTAATACTTTTTGAAAACACAATGAAGAACTAATTTCCCTATATCTTTGAAAGTCCCTGAGCACGACCTGTGTGAAATTGGTCAGACAACTTTTATGTTTTAAACTTATTCTTATTCCAATAATTTATTCTTATTAAAAATGAGTCGAGAGCGAAGAGTGCATCGCTGCTTCTTCGTTTATTACATGCATTTGATCGAGACCACAACATGCTCTCAGTGCTCTCAGCTCATTTTCGAACACACACTATAGTGCTTCGGAGCACGTAAAAACGCTTGCACGAACGAACCTATTGTCTAATTCAATGAGGTGAAAAATGATCGAGGAATTGGTCGAGATCCTTCAAGCACATATTTTTTTTCATTTTTTCTAACAAATAGTGGACTATCAAACGCTTCTATTATTTAATTCAAAACTATCAAACGTTTCTATATCGATTGAGCTCCTGATAAATCTGGTTAGAAATAAAAAATGTGCCAACGAATTTCACAACCGATTTTGATTGTCTGAAAAAACTGTTGACTATCAAGCATTTTTACTAGTCTCTGAAACAACTGTCAAACGAATGAAAAAAGAAAATAGTTTAAAAAATAAAAATTGGCCGGAGAACTTCACATAGGTTGGTTACACCTGCGTGAAGTTGGCCGGCACTTTTTTGTTTCTAACCGGATTTTGTTTTTCCGGAGCTCAATCGATGCAAAATCGTTTGATAGTTGCGAATTAATTAATAAAAACGTTTGATAGTCCATCGTTTGTAAGAAAAATGAGAAAAGCCATATGCGAATCAAGGATCCCAATCCATACGATACCATCGATTCCTCGATCGGTGTGTCCGTTGAATTAGACGATATTCCAAACTTTTTCTACTTCCAATATAGTCTTGTAAAAACGTTTGGTAGTCAATAGTTTTTTCAGAAGAGCCAAATCGATGTACGATGTGAAGTTGACTGTCGTTTCCTTACTTCTTATCCATAATCAGCTTTTTCAAAACACGTAATAAGCTAGGTTTTAGGCATTTCTATAATTACATAATAATCGTAAGTCAGCAATTGTTGTCATAAGTTATTTTTACGAGCAACCAGAACTATACTTTCCAATGATTCTTTAGTAGGTAAACAGGAACACAGTCATAATACTGTAAGTTTATATCGGAACATAGGCATGGACGCCTATGTGATGTCAGCTTTCATGGCTTTTCAGAATGGCTCAATAGAAGTCTATAAATAATGCATTGTTGTCACCTTATGGCAAACTCGTGCATGCATCATTACTTGTATAACAGTGCGGTGATTGGTTGAAACGGTATTCAGACACGTTTTAACCAATTAGCGCCTACTGACAGCTATACAACGGTGTATGCGTGGGTTTACACCATTACATAATGATAAACTATTGACTATCAAACGTTTTCACAAGCCTATCAAACACTATCAAACGACTATCAAACGATTGGAATAAAAGAAAGTTTAAAAAATAAACGTTGGCCGGCCAACTTCACGCAGCTCTGGACAGGCCGATAAGGCTCACATTTATTCCATAAGCACTTCTCCGAATTTACTACTGATAAAATAACCGTTATCATTTCAGAAATTGTATACGGGTATGAAATGAATACTATGACTATTTAATAGTTAATAAACTTATATTCTAAAGTTTCAATGCAAAAATTACATAATCGCTTTTTGTATCTGTACTTTTATTTGAAGTCACTAGGCAATGGACGATTTTTCAAATATATTAACCATTAGATTTCATATTGAAAATTGTTTTACTTATCCTTTACTTATTAAACACGTAATTACATTGATTGTTTAGTTTGTAAAAAGATCACTATGTCGGTTTTAAAGAATGAAATATAGATGAGTTTATGATCATATACATTATTACATGTATTATAAGTAATTACTGCGTATAAGACTACAAAAGTTATTGTCAATAGTTATTTTATTAAATTATTTTTCGAAAACAGTTTCTTTAAGCAAAAAGAATCGTAAGAAAAATAAAATCTATTGAAGTATATGTTAGCAACAATAAGAAAATAAAAGGATACACGTCTTCAAACAAAAACAAACAATTACTTATCCACCCAGTAACATATCAAAGTAAAGCTCTTTTTCTGATCTTTTACAATAACTATTGTTTTTTGAACTGCAACATGTGCATGAGCGTCTTATTTATAATAACACGAACTTTATGGATAATATAAGTTGTCAATTCTCGAAAAACCTTTTTGCTACACTTATCATTAATGACTAATAACTCTATCTGTACAGGGTTCACCTTTTTTTCAAATATGCACACAAACTCGATTCTTTCTTTATTCTTTACGTGAATAGTGTCTAACTTCTCAAGCATTGCCGTAGTTGCTAGAATCTCCTTATCCAAAGCACTCAAGCTTGGATCCAAGATTTGCTTGGAGCATATTCTCTGTCGCCAGAGGCACATGTTTCCAGTGCAATGAAAAATAATTTTATCATTATCCTTCGAATGCACATCTGACAAGACTTTAACCTTCTGCTGTTTCAGTTCCCTATCTTGTGATATTAATTCTACTTTGAATTTGAGAATCTTCTCAAAAATATCCTTCAGTAAGTTAAATATAACACTGTACCAATTTTCTCTGATAAATTGTGCCCTGTCCTCAATGTCTGTTCGTGTATTAAAATCTTCTGGCAAACCTATATGCAGGAATGGTCCACAAGGTATTGTTATTCTATATTCACGTTCCTTCTTCACAGTGTAATTAGCCGTAAATAACATTGGTAAGAGATTCTTGCAATCATCCTTTATCGCTGTAGCGCATACGTTAGCTGCAACGGCGCATGTTTTTTGAAAATGTTCAACAATGCGTTGGGGTACATTTCCTGTGACGTTATGAGTTAATTCTATGGGATCTTGCAGACACATAGGTCTATCATTGCGGAATACTGCAGTACCATCGGTTTCATTTAGGAACTTGACGTACAATGACATGGCCTTTGGTATGTTTGTTATATCTGCGAAGATAGTTTTATCGTGCGCTATTCCGTCTAATGGACAGACGACATTTTTTTGAAAATCAAATGCAAGGTAAAAGTTAAAGAATCCGTTGAGAAGTTCAGGTATACTTTTCTTATTGCTCGTCTGCGGCCAAGTATTACTCTTCTCGAAATTCACTTGCCAACCCTCGACTATTTGGGGCTCACATGATTTTTGAAGTTCCGTCACAGTTGGGATTATATTCATGGGTGGTTGCTCCAGGTAGAATATAATTAACATGACCAAACCATAATTACTTATTTTACCCGAGCCGGATATTTCCAGGTGTCTTGCCCAATATTTGATAATTAACATCAATGGTTTCAATCTATCGTCAAGAGATAGATAATGTTTTATAAGATAACTATTGTGTATAGCAAGATCATTCTTAAATGAAATGTCACACGAAATATTCGTTGGTATATGAGAACATTTTATAATAGGTGTCTTCGCCTTGGGTATTGGCACTATGTTTGTAAAAATTACTTTGTTTCTATATAGGAGACTCTTTGCTATTTTGAAAACTGTTTTTTGCGTTAGTTTTGAGTCTTTATTCTCGCTTATGTTTCGGCCTGCAAAATAACATTAAATTTATTATATTATAAGAACATAGGGGTGTAATAAGAATCTAAATCTTACCAATATCAATGAATACATCTAAATCACACTTTTTGAAACCAAGTCCAGTTACAGTTGATCCAAACCTATAAGCTTTGCACTTGTAGAATTGTGTTTTGAACATCTGCTCAAGACTTGCACAAATTGCTCCGTATAAAGTTTCAGCATCAACGTCACTCAATTGAATTTTATTGAGAAATGCAATCAATTGACTGTCAAATGTTGTTTCTATGTCAAATATGCTGCTAATTTTGTGATAAGCCAATTCGTCGATATACTCGTTATCTTCAGCGTCCTTGGGCTTTGGTCCTGTGATATAATATACAAATTAATTATAATTTTATAGTTGTGTATCATAAAGTTTACTAATTAGTTACCATTATCATGTAATATTTTGCGTTGAATATTCAGCTTACACTTGTTCATCCAGATTGGTTTGCTTAATAAGAATTCAACAGGCTCTCTGCAAAGAATATTATACTATTAGCAATTGCAAGATGAATTATGAGAACATTTGAAGGTGTGACGAGACTGACCTGGTAGTAAATTCAATTATCATATGCCACTGTCTAATAATACATTTTCTTATCGTGCCATACTGTTGGAAAAAATTCTGTACTTCTTCTGGTGAGACAGATTGTGGAATATTTGATACGAATATTGATTTCTCTGTTCTATCTTTCATATCCAATTTCAAAACTTGTCTCATGTGTTTTTTTCCCTTGATATGACCTTCATATGTGTTCTTATCAACTAGATTTATACCACAAACTTCACACTGAAAGCTCATGATGTAAATGATAGTAAGTCTCTGATCTAGTGAATTTGTAAAGATTTTGTTAATTTCTTTTGATATGAAAAAATAACTTTTCCGTTTCTGTCTTCAACTCGCAGAAAATACTGAGGTTCTATGATACCATTAGAGTTGCCAGGGCATAATATCACATTATTTTCAGATTCATAAAAATTCAATCCATGCAATTTAGCCCTTTGAAAGTCAATGTAAATAAAAATTTCAGCGTTGTGTCGCAAGCCACAGATAAAGTTTAACCCTTTTGCAAAGTGTATATGATTTCTCTTCATCCGTGATAATCCCTTCGTCCTAATACTTTCCCAATTCTTGAAGTATGTTCCATGTATTATATCAAATTGAGGGTTATCCAGAACTTGCAAGCTTAGAGTTTGAACTTCTTTAATAGAATGACCCTGATTGGCTTTAATTTCTAAAATATCATTATTCTTTCTCAATGTAAATCTGTTCTTTGTGTTATTAGCAACGACACGTTCGATATCACTCAGTGTACATCCATATAATTTTAACAAAACTTCTTCTACATTGACAAAACCATCTGATCGAACGTTTAAATTTTCTTTTACAGCACCATGCCGCAGCAAGTATGACAGTTTCTTACTAAGTCGGGTATCAACGTTTTGCTTATCCTGAAAGTAAATATATATATTACTATTCATGTCACTCCTGTTAAGACCAAAAATTCTAAACAGATGCTAGAACACTTAACATACAATAAGCATATAATATTAATGTCATTAATTCATACTCAAGTAATTTATAAGGATACATTATTATATAAAGTTCTTTGCAAAACTAATTTTATATTAGTTAATAGAAATTAAACATGTAAATATTGAAAGCAAAATTTCTTATTCTAACCCAGAAGCTATATAGATTGAACTCTGTGTTGAATTAATTTGAAAAATATTATTTTCATTACACAACCTTTGGAGACATAAATAATGTAGCATTCGTACTTTCTTCTCAATATGTTCTTGAATGTACACGAAGTGCTTCTCAACGATTTTCTATACAGAGTTAGTCTGTAGAAACTGGTAGAAACGCACCAGCAGAAGTTGGCCGCAAGTGACCGACACGGCAGTGTAGCCTCTTCAAAAAATGACATGTGACTGTGACCCATTCCCATAAGCACAAACTGACAGTTCGCATAGCAATAAGGTTATTGAAATATTTCAATAGTTAGGTTACTGAAATAATTAATTAATATTGTAATGACAAAATGCAATATTATTTAAGATTTATTTTCACACCAGATTGCAATTAAAATAATGTAAAGTTTAAAATATTCACAATTTTGATATTTGCGAGTAATGATCACAACTGCAATTCTGCTTCTGATATTATATTTTGTCATTACAATATTAATTAATTATTTCGGTAACCTAACTATTGAAATATTTGAAAAACCTTATTGCTATGCGAACTGTCAGTTTGCGCTTATGGGAATTGTTCACAGCACGTGTCATTTTTTGATAGGGCCACACTGCTGTGTCGGCCACTTGCGGACAACTTCTGCTGGTGCGTTTCTACTGACTACCCTGTATGTATTAATACTGCACAAGACCCATTTTTATTACGAGTAGCAACATCACGCAGTTCGACATATTTCTCTTAGATCACAGACAATGCCTAAACCATTGGTACATTCCGTCAGAAACGACCAATATAATAAATTTTATACTGACCAGTCCAATTATTAAATTCTAGTTTTGAAAGAAAAACCTCTAATGATCATAACTCTTAAGGTTTTTTAAGTCTGTTACTTACTTAACGCGGATTAATTATAGACCCTAACAGTTTTTGGGAGCCGAAATATTTGCGAAATAAAACACTTGAGTACTGGATCGGTTTACTCAGAACGCGTGATAGACTAAACATATGCATTTGGAACTATCGTCATGTTCCATTATAAATAAGGAATTATTTAAAAATAGTTATAGAATAAGTTATTATAATATTAATAAATATTCATGTATGATATCATAAAACCAATACAGCGACTATAAACACTATGGAACATAACTTGTACTGCTAGTTAAAGCCAGGGTCGAAGATAGACTGACGCTATAGTTACATATTTCTAAACGAGATTAAAGAAACGTGCCTGGATAATGTCTTTTGTGTCGAAGGTAGTGTTAGCATCGTGTTGCATAGCTTCTGTAGGCATTATCGGCTATGTTCATTATAAACAACAATACGATAGGTAAGTAAATATGTAGATTTACTTTTCACATAAGGTTAGCTAAGTAAACGTTTATTGGATTTTTTCAGAGATCAACTTCGTCAGGGTGTCATACGCGATATCGAGAGGCAACAACGTCAGAAAATTCAAAATATTTATGAACTTCGACAGCAAGAGGAATTGACGAAGAAACTTAGAAAACAAGAAATGAATACAGAAACCACATGAAAATGAAGTCGTTTTTTTGCATAAGCAATTTTGTAAATACGTTATATGCATGTAGTGTATGATTTATGTTCGAATAGATATTGGTTTATGGTTTTATAAAAAAGAAGTCAGAGATTGGTGCTATTGAAAAAGTTACAAACATGACTAAAAAATTGATTCATTTGGATAATTACTATTCTCTAAAGGAGACTTTTCATAGCTTGTAGGATGCAGCGGATCTGACAGAATGTATGGTACTCCGGCCCAAGTTTGTTCTTTTATATGACGAACTTATACATATTGATTAGCTTTAGTGGAATAAACCAATGATATCTTGCGGCTGTCTAATCGCAGTTGGATAGAGGAAAAGCTGTGCTGGAAGTACATACGTCGATTTGCGTTTTACAAATAAATGTCCAATATTTATATATTCTCCAATTGGATTTTGATTAATTTGTAGTTCTAGAGGCAATCTCGCATACTTTTACAAATGCAGCTGGTTACTACTTGGAAATTTAGGCTGTACACCGGTTTGGTGAGACGATCGTCGCTCTCATGTAAACAGGATAAATAGCTTCATTTATACGATACACGGTTCTGTCTTTTCCATCCCTTGCCTTTTGACACGAGAATCATGGCGCTTAACCTTACTGTAAAAGTGCATCCTGTTGTTTTATTCCAAATAGTTGATGCATACGAACGGCGAAATGCAGATTCTCACCGTGTTATTGGCACTTTACTGGGTAAGTAATTACAATTATTTTTAATGTACCGGTACATTAGTATTTCGAATAGAGCATTCTCCTTCCTATCACGCTTTTGTACTATACAATCTCATGTCATAAAGCTTTTAAATCGATTTTGAGATATTAGTATCATTATCGGTATTATCGTTGTTACCTGGTTAATACCAGTAGAAACAATCAATATTCATAATAAATTGATTTCTTACAACACAGGAACTGCTGAGAAGGGAGTGGTGGAAGTAACTAACTGTTTTTGTGTACCTCATAAGGAGTATGATGATCAAGTTGAAGCAGAATTGAATTATGCCATGGATTTGTATGATTTGAATCATAGGGTGAATACCCAGGAGAATATTGTTGGTTGGTGGGCCACTGGGAAAGAGGTTTGTTAACTTATCCTCTTTAAAGATTCCAATATTTTAAACACGAAACATTATTCTATATAGAACTTACTTGTAAACAGGTGACTAATCATTCATCTGTCATACACGAATATTATGCACGAGAGTGCAATAACCCAATACATTTGACATTGGATACAACATTAGCAAATACTCCTAGAATGGGAATAAGAGCATATGTTTGTGTTCAATTGGGAGTGCCAAATGGAAAACAAGGATGTATGTTTACACCAGCAAAAGTTCAGGTATGTTTTTTGTATTACTGTATATTATAAGTCTTTGAAAAACAATCTACTGAGTGGTGTAATAAACTGAAATTTATCTATATAGGTTACTTCTTACGAGCCGGAAATTGTAGGTCTCCAACTGTGCTCTAAAACACAGCGGCCTGTATCTGGTTCACTGAAACCTGCTGGCACAGTGGAGCCAATGATGGATCTGGCACAAATCGCTGAAGCTAGTTCAAAACTCTCTTCTATGTTAGAGCAAGTGCTCGCATATGTGGATGATGTTTTAGCAGGCAAACAACTTCCTGATAATCAAGTAAATTGAATTTACACTATTGGTATGGTTTATTTTATTGGGTAGATGTAAAAATTGTACTCATTCTTAGGTTGGACGAGCTCTACTGGACATGGTTCACTCTGTACCAAAAATGTCAAGTGATCAATTTGATGAAATGTTCAACAGCAACGTAAAGGATCTTTTAATGGTAGTGGCCTTATCGCAACTAATCAAGACTCAGCTGCAACTCAACGAGAAATTAACTCTCCTTACCAGCCTATGAGTAAAGTGAATTTACCATTGGAAATCCTGTATATTTTTGGATTTGCTGTGCTAAAATCTTCGCAGCATAATCGTTATTGAAAGTTATCAATACAATGTACATGCAATAATGGATAAATCAATTGCAAATAATAATGATGATCCCGTATTTAGTGCAATACTTTTATTTCCCACGACATTGTCTTTAACTAGCTTTAATTTTGAGACAGCGTGAATTAAAGAAACTGATCAAAGGCGTCAGTTATGCTTTATAAATTAGTATTACAAGACTGCTTATTTTTTAGTATACTGAGAAGTTTCACAATGTAATAAATTAAATATTTCACAGTATCATATTTGCCTATTACCGTGAATATTTTATAGATACTACTTAGTTTTAAAATTAAATTCCACAATTGGAAGTATCATCCTTCTGATTGTCTAGCAGACAAACCCAATCTGGAACTCTATTGCTTTTTAAATAATTCTCTTTCGTAAGACACCTTGCAGGCAAATCTGCAATTCCGAATATAGCACCGCCAAGCCATGCAGTGTAGTTTGGTTTGCTGGGTGCTTTATGAAATTTAAAAGTTTGTATCTTTAATTTGTCCGAATAGAGATCACTCTTAAGTAAAGTATTTAATTCCGATTTAAGACGACTAGCGAAACCTTTTGCCATTGTTGTTCCACCAATCAATAAAATATTCTCTGCCAGCTGTCGTCTAGTGTCTACAGGGCACTGAAAAAAAAGAAAGTGAATTAAAAAAGTACAAAGAATAAGAAAATCAAATATTACCTTGACAATAGCATCTAAGATCATAGTAGATATACTAAGATTATCGTTATCCCGTTCCCACAGGACTTCAAAGGCTCTTTCTCTGACATACCCAGGAATTTCAATAGTTTTTAAACCAGGGTACTTAACAGCAGGTGGTGGAGATGGAGCATCATCTGTCCCTAGTTTTGCTGACCGCTCTAAAGTCGTTACGAAACATGTTCTCACTTTTATATCTTCAACAGTTTTCTCTGGAATACGTAGATTCGGTATAGAGTCAGTTAAATCCTTCTTTATACATCTGCAACAAGTTAATAACAGATTGTTTAACATAATATCAATAACCTGATTTTATTGACTGCATTCCACTTACTCATGTACTGCGCACGCAGCAAGAGGTAAAGCTTGCCATGCTTTAAGAATAGGAACTCCTTCATACACTGGAATCAATGTAGCTTCCTGGTATCCAACATCAAGAACCAGAACAGTGTCAGTACCTAACGTACTAATGGTTGCTAAATGAGTTGGTAAAAGCATCAAAGAACCAACTTCGAAATGACGAAATAGCACTTTGGCTAATGTCTCTCTAAACTGAGTGGGAGTCAACAAAGATTCCAACACAACGATTCTTACATCTTTTGGACTTATGGCAACGTGCCTAAATAAAAAAAAATTATTAGTACTTAGCAGAATGCTTCTTCAACAATTATTACCTGAAAAATAATAAATGTAAAAATTCCACAAGAAGCTGATATAGGTCATCAATATCTATATAATTAAAGATTCTTCTAATCTCCTTGCTTTCTGGACACTTAACCTCGGTTCTTATAATTCCTCGTGGCGTAGCTTCACCTGCATAGCCGAATCTATCATTGAAGAAGATAAAATAATTGATACAGCCAAATTTTAAAAAATTGTGTACGTAGAATATTAATTACTTGGTATAGGCACTGCCAATGTCCAGTACAACCATCTGTTTATCAGAAATATATCTAATTCCTTCATATCGCAACATTTTGCCTATTTTGTATTATACTCCGGTACTTAATTTATAGCTTATTAAAAGATATAAATGTTTAACCTGTACTGTTTGACGTTACTGTCAAACTCTAACAGAGTAACACGGAGTCACATGGTGTCACTATTACTCAAGCCAGCTTTTCATGTTAGCGGGCGCGTAGAATGTAAGAATCCTATTGGATGTTGATCAGTTGGTGCAAATTTGTACACCAATAGCGTGATTGTTCTTACCAATTGATGATTGTGAAAAATTGAGATCTGATATACCATCAGTTTGTGAATTTATAAAATTGATCTACTACTAATTGGCATAAATAAATAAAAATAATTTAACATTAACTATTATTTTTTTAATTTGGTCTTGGAAAAAAATATGGTACTCGAGAATGCTATGGATATAAAGTTTTTTACTCAAACTTACAATAGAATAAAAATACATGGAGTTAGGTGAAGACAGCTGTTGTAAAAAGCTTAAATCACTTTAAACAATCATTTCGAGTTCTCTCGCATAGTCTATCGCGAGAGTAGCTAAATCAGCACTAGGTATGGGTTCTTCAGCTTTCTTTTCGTTAGGTGTGCCAAAATAGAAATAACCGTCCTTAGATAAATTCCAGTTCTTCTTTGCTGCAAATGCCTTTGTATCCTTTTCAGAGCTTAAGTTCAGCATTCGTGAAGCATCTTTTAGTGAGATTTTATCGTACGCGCTTTCCATGCAAGCGCCAATCTCATCACGAATAGTATTCAACAAGATGTCTATGAAAAAGTTATACGAAGCTGCTGGTACATTTCCTTTAGCCAAGAAAATTTTGTTATATGATCCTTCCATAAGATACTGCTCAAGGCTTAGGGGATGCCGGATGTATACATTAGACTGGATCTGATCAGATGGTAGAAGTTCCAGTTCTGTGTGAAATTCAGCTACACGATTTTGAGAGAGTAGAAATAGAAGGTTCAAGCCAAGCAGCTGATATTTATAAGCTGATTCAGGCAATTCTGTCTTGTAATCAAAATAGTAACACTTCAGCTGGGCCATGTACCGCTCAAATGAAGGTATATCTTCTGTGGCAATGCTCCATTGTGCTCCAATTTCAAGTATATCACCTTTAATAGTAAAGTATGTATTATCATCTCTTGATCCATTATTAATATAAATGACTCTTATATAACAATGAAACATATTCACAATACTTACGAGCAATTAATAATTCTTTTTGAGATGCTGTGCTATTTGAGGTAGGTAAGAACATTAGATGGGTGAGACCAACCTATAAAAAAAAAACTTGTAGTACATATTTTCCAATATTACATTTAACGTGATATCTTATTGATATAGTAGCTATAAACCTTTGACTAATATATTAGTGGAACACAATGACAGTTCATTTTTGCACTACAGCAGAATAGGTTACGTTACACAAAGAATGAAAGAAAGCGTGTTAGTTTTTTAAAACAGAAAATTATTGTACCTTTAACTGGCCTAGCAGATCCCCACATTTCTTCAAATTGCACGGACTTTTTGTCCATTCTTGCTTTAAAGTTTGATATAGCAAAACGACTTCTTTGAGAGCCGCCATGTTTAATCGACCACTACGGAAACCAGCATAAACATTCTTCTCAAAGATTAATATAGAGAGGAAACCAAGTAATAATAGGCGAAACATACATTTCCATATGCATTGATTTTAACAAGTAATTCAACAATTATGATTAAACAGTTAAGATTGCACTGAGTCTCTTATAATTAATCAATTTAAGGTACATTCTGAAATCCACTACTAGTAGTTCCAGTATGGTCGTGTTTCACGTTATACAAGCCATGATAATAGAGCTAGTAGTCCTATTCTCGTGGTGTCTGTATTGTGACTGACAATTTGTATTTTGTCGAATAGAAACATTCTCCTTCTTATAGATCTACTAGCGATTGGATAAATTTCAGTTGATATACTAAGAGATTACCGACAACTGTCGCTAAGGGTAGAGATTAGATGTTACCGGGAAGAAATGTTAAAGAAAAACTGTAGTATCGTGTAAACGTTCAAGAGAGCTTTAGGTGTCCACTAATCGGCGAAGAAACGAACTCACTGCAGTTATCCTCGTTTTGAAAGCGCTTGTGCAGCGTGTTCTTTGCCGGCCTTCGACTTCCTCTTCCCGTGGCACGACACAATGGCGTCCGGAGTAAGTGTTTTCCACGCGAGTTTTTCACCCTGAAACATCGGCATAGCCATGCCCGAATCGCCGCATGAGATACCACAGAAATCATGGCTGAATTATCAGACAGCTAATGGCTATTACATTTTTTCCAGACCCTCTACACGTACCCGGAGAATTTCAGGGCTTACAAGGCCTTGATCGCGGCCCAATACTCCGGAGCCCAAGTTAAGGTTGCCGAGGACTTCGTTTTTGGCGAGACCAACAAGAGCGATGCGTTCCTCAAAAAATTCCCTCTTGGAAAGGTCAGTGAAAATCATTTAATTCAACATTTATCGACTTTCCATCAAATTTCGTAGTTCTGACGACAATTGTCAGCATGCTGCAACTGGACGACATTCTTTCGAAATGAATGCATTTTTTTACTTTAATGTTTCGTCGAGATTTTATATAGGGAACTGCGTGAAACTGTTAGTTAATAATATTTTATGATATTGTATTAGCGATATTTGATTTTAATGAGTGTTTTTGTAAAAAGTAGAATCTGTTTTTTTTTGTACTTCAAGATCCAGCTGTGTCAGATTAGTTAGAGACATGTGCTTATATTTAGGATTGAGTCCAGATAAAGAAAATGATCTATTTCTATTGTTTTTTAAATTCTATTATAATATTAATGGACAGTTTGAAATATTATAATTTATATTTTTGTATTTATGCTTTTTTTATTTTCAGGTGCCAGCTTTTGAAACATCTGATGGCAAATATCTCACAGAGAGTAATGCCATTGCTTATTATGGTAATATTATAATTTTTTATTACATTCTTTGCTTTTTTGTAGAATTTTCTTTTATTCTTTTTTAAATTGTAACTTACAGTTGCAAACGAACAGTTGAGGGGTAAGACAGATCTTGAGAAAGCTGAAGTCATCCAATGGTTTGGCTTTGCTGACTCTGAAATTCTTCCTGCAAGCAGTGCTTGGGTATTCCCTCTGCTTGGAATTATGCCATATAATAAGCAGGTTTGTCTTTAATCATTTTCTAAAAGTCACCTCCTGTCAAAGACAGAATTTGGACATTACTATTCTAAATTCTGTAACTCAAGGAGGTAGATTAAAGCATATAATACATCCACACATGTTTATACATAATGTACATGCATGTACTAATTGTATTGTACAGTTTCATTAATACCAATATTTAAAATCTGTATACAAGTAAAACATAGATATGAAAGCAGCTTTCCTTTTTAGACAATCGAACATGCTAAGGAGGATGTTAAAAAAGTACTGACTGTTCTTAATTCCCACCTACTTACACGTACCTTCTTGGTGGGAGAGCGGCTAACCCTCGCAGATATAAGTGTTGCAACGACTTTATTCCACTTGTATCAGTACATTTTGGAACCCAGTCTACGCAAACCATACCAGAATGTGACAAGATGGTTCCAGACTGTCATTAATCAACCACAATCTATTGCTGTCATTGGTGCTTTCAAACTGGCTGATAAGATTCTTGAGTATGATCCCAAGAAGTATGCGGAACCTCAAGGAAAGTCCTCGAAGAAAGAAAAAAAGGAGAAGGAGTCAAAGAAGGAACCAAAAGAACCAAAGGAATCAAAGGCCAAGGAACAAGCTGAAGAATTAGATGCTGCAGATGCTCTTTTAGCTGCTGAGCCTAAATCCTCTAATCCGTTTGACTCTATGCCCAAGGGAAGCTTCGATCTCGAGGACTTTAAACGGTTTTACTCCAACGAAGATGAAGCCAAGTCTATCCCCTACTTCTGGGAGAAGTTTGATCCAGCTCACTACAGTATTTGGCTCGGAGAGTACAAATACAATGATGAACTAACAAAGGTAAGTACATTATAGAATCAGCTGTATATACAACTTTCTTTTGCAAACTAACATGTTTAACATTCATCGTTGTATTTATTTTTTCAGGTATTCATGTCCTGCAATTTAATCAGTGGAATGTTCCAACGTTTGGATAAAATGCGAAAGGGTGCTTTTGCCAGTAGCTGCCTCTTTGGAACAGACAATGACAGCACTATCAGCGGAATCTGGGTATGGCGTGGACAGGATCTCGTCTTCACAGTAGGTTTCACTTGCAGTTTAAATGTTGTATCCTGATTGGTATTAGATAAGATTTCTTTTCATTGCATCATTTTATTTTTTACTTGCAGTTGAGTCCTGACTGGCAAGTTGACTATGAGTCCTACAACTGGACGAAGCTGAATCCTTCAGAGGATAAGACTAAGGAACTCGTCAAACAATATTTTAGTTGGACCGGTACTGACAAAGAGGGACGTAAATTTAATCAGGGAAAAATTTTCAAGTAAAATCCGTCTTACGCTTACAAGAAACAAATTGCAATTCACACGAAATAAAACTTAAAAAGTAATTTCAGACTAAAATTTCGTACACTAAACCCGGAAAAATCCTGTATCCGTGTAAGCGGTTCGTGATCATCTTTCACGATGATGATTGATGTTCCTCAAGTAATCTGCAGTATTCCTCAGCTACACTTATTCTTTTATTAATTTCTTTTCACGCATATTCTATGAAATAATATCATCTGAGAAATATTCTATGTGATAATAACCGGCCGCTGAAGTAATTCTAGCCCTAACTATCTATTACGTCTCTACTCGATAGCTCGGGTAAGAACCGGGTTTCTTAGACCTTCTTACAGAGATCGATTGGTCTAAAAATGATTGTTCAGTGTTGCATATAAGAATCGTTGATACAATTTAATCTATAAACAGTCTTGTAAACGAAGCAATGTTATTTGTTTTTATCACCTTATATCAATATATATGAATTTTTTAAATTAAAGTTTTAACATTATTCCGGATTTCATATTACAACCTACAACTTATTCTTACAAGCTCAGTTATAGTAAGTTATATATAAATTATGTCAAGTATATTATAAGTCATGACTTATACATATAAGTTATGTCAAGATAAGCTTCTGTGGCTCCTGATAACTAAGAAAATTAGCAGTCACGCTTTCTTGATTCTTAACTAGAGTTTTACCCAACTGTAATCTGTCAAGTGTAGAAGAAAAGCATAAATATCTCATTTGAAAATCATTAAATTTATTTTTTAACATATGTTTTATATAATGTATTTTTTATACAATGTTAATTTTTATGATGTGGCTAGTCTTTTTAATGTATTTATTTACATCCCTTTTGCGGTAAGAAACTCTTTCACGCGGGATACGTGGTCACCATGGAAAACTAATGTACATGCAGGCTCATGAACTCGTGCACCCATTTTCTTCCTGACCTTCTGTTCCAAATATTCTTTAAGTTCTGCTTCCAGTGCCCAAATGTTTCCTTGAATTCTACGTATTACTGTGAGTTTTCTCATTCCTCTAAATGATTTATCGAGATATATTGGTTGCATATGATTTTTCGTTCGTTGCACAAAATAAGGATACGTCTTTGGATTCGCTGTCAAACACAAAAGGAATGTTGCATTATATAGCTATTGAAAGTATTATCGACTAGCTTATACAAATCTTTTGTATCAAAAAAGCTATGTACCAGTTTGTGGTACCCATCCTGAAGGAAAATGTGTCTTGTCTTTGGGTGGAAGTGGGACGGTCGGTTTTCTCAATACTTGTTCAACAAATGCCCATTCCTTTGGATCTTTCGATATCTCAAACTTTGCATATTCTTTCGATTCATCATACTTTTCAGAAGATTTGTAGTTACTCCATCTTTTTGTTACCTAAAATACACAGTTTAATTAAATAACTTTTATTATTGAAACCTAAAAGTGAACTACTTAAAAATGATAAGGGAAACACATTATGACAGTAATACTTAGATTAATACAATAAACAGGTAGTAGTAGAAAAATAACAGTTCCTATATAAAGTAAAATATTTTTCAAATATTCCTAATGATACTTTAACTTCATTATTAAGATACATATATGACATCGAAAACAAAAATCATTTGTAGGTTATACGTTAATGATGACATTCCAGAAAATCCGTACGACAAATCGCTACCCATAGAGAAAGGCGTTTGTCAGAATTTTACAAATCATATGGAAGTTTTATGAAGGTATCCCTTAACAAGGACACGAAGCGTTAAAGCAAAGCCCCTTCACTTTATACGAAACATTCGAATTTCTATTACAAATACCTTTTCCTAGCCATTCAAGTAATGTGTTATCTGTTTTTTAACATTGCATTTCATACCGGTTACCATTTCCTAGATAACAATGAAAATTTGCACACCGAGCACATATAAAAAAAAATCCCTGAAAGACACGCAACAAAATGAGGCGAGAAATAGGAGATAAGGGTCCATCGTGAGGCCCTTCGTGCGCTATATAGTAGCCAGATTCTGGTTATGTCAAGCGTGAAAAGTTGGAGCAAATATAAATATGAACGATGTTCAAGCATGACAGACAGACCTCGAGAAGAGCTGGCGAAGTGGCTTTCCGTGTATCGCTAAGGAAAGAACTACGAAGGATCGGCGAGAGTCCGAATCGTGCGAAAATCCGAAGGGCGGCCATTTTGACTTCGGTAAATAAGGGTCGGTGGCCGCCATTGGTGCGCACGGGCGCGTCTTTCTTTTCGTTCTCGTGTTTTTCCGGGTTTTCCGTGCACCAAGCCCGCTTTTCCACGATTTTCCAAGCTGGCAAGTAAGCCAGAGAGGCGACGCATCAAATTTTGCTGAAGATTGCATGGCTAAACGGGCTTAAGGCCATGAAATTCGGCGAATAACGCGTGGACAGTTAGCATGAACGGCGTGTAGCCTTAGGAAAAGTGCCGCGTTGTTCCAAGTTCGTCTGGGATTTTTTCAGCGTGCGAACATATCTCTATATAATTTCGTTGCTTGTTAGTTAAGTTGGTGTTCGTAACGGGACAAGGGTCAAGTGAATTGAGGTTTAATAGTGTGGTAAAAGACGAAATAAATGAAATAACTTCGTGAAATATTATTACGAACAGGCTATGGACCTGGGAGAGGTCGCGTGCTCGAACGGCAGATGTCGGTAGCGTCAAAACAGTAGGACAGCGTATAGACACCCTGCAACGGGATCGTGTTTTTCTGAGGGTTATTTTTCCCGTTTTCCCGGAAAAACAACGTACTTTCCCGAGAATTTTCGGCCTCAGAGGTGAGTACAATTGGTGCCGCACATTTTTGGCCAAGAAATATATATGGCAGAGGCTCACGAGCCCCAAAGTAAGCTTGAGAAGTTCGGAGTCAGCTCCGACCTTTTGTTTATTCCTGACGATTTTTTCGCAAAGATTTGACGCGAGATTTTCGCTATTTCGCGTTGTATATCCGTGCAATTTTGAAGCTGGGTAGTTAGTATATCATGTGGTCTTGCTCGCGAGATGAAAAATTCCGGAGTCTCTCGAAAAATTGTCGAGATATCGGTTAAAATATTTTCGAGCATTTTCCTGACCGCGAAGAGGCGCACGATATATCCGTGTAAATGCAAAGTTTGTCACGTAATTTTTCTGGCCGCCAGGGCCGCATCTGTCAACCCTGCTGCCCGTTCTATCACTCGTGCAACCGTATGCCTAACCAAATATTTATTTTTTTCTTTCCTACGTGCTGCATTTCTCACCTCTTCACCTTTGTACTAGAATAATATAGCGTCTGGTCTTATCCTATTTTACAAATGGAGCCAGTGTGCTTCAGCTAGCCTACAACCATATCGGTTCCTCATGCTGCATGCAGCTACGTAGATGATCACATCATTTTGATATCTCCTGATGCAACATATGTTTAAATTACCATTATACAACTGAAGTATACTGGTTTTCTTTATTAAAAAAATGAATGTAAAAATATTTTTTGCCATTGCTAAACCAATTAGCACATTTCACAGTTATAACACTTCCTTCGACAAAGATCTATCGAATACTATTGAATGGTAGAAAATTGAATAAAGTTTCCTTTGTCAAAGAGAAAATATTAAAGTCGTAAAAATGGATTTCAGGAACTAACAAAATGTAACGTGGAGGCAAATGGTATTTCAGGAGCCCAATGTGGGTGGAAGTGAGATGGCATCCAGGGAGAAGAGACCCTTAGCGCCTTCAAAATCAAAGCACAAGGCGAATAATGACTCTGGCTTGCCATCCACCGATAGCAGAAGTAAAAAGGGCAAGTCACTACCTACCCCAAGGCAGCAGCAACTCGCGCGCGACATTTTAGAAGCAGTGGCAACGGTTAGTCAGCTGCCGCCCAAATTGGAAGCAAGTCTGCCGCGCAAGAAGGTCCTGAAAAACCTGAAACGTAAACAGAAACTCAGAGCTGTAAAAGCAAACCTGATAAAGGTTAAAGTAGCCAAGAAGGTACCTATCAAGTCTCTGAGAAGAATCAATCCCGACGTTAAGAAAGGTGTAAAACCGAAAAAATTACGAAGATCCGAAGACACGGATACGAAAATCAGCGAAGTCAGCACAAAGGCCTTGGAAAGTGACAACGAGGAAAACGCTGAAGGACTCGCTAGGGGCACCAAAAATAATCTCAGAGCCAAGAGAACGAAAACGTTAAAGGGCACTGAAGAAATTGACACAGCAGAACCTGAGGATAAAGAGGTAGAAACCGGAGGTAATATAAAGACCAGTCCAAAATCCGGCAGGAGAGTGAAAACGATAACAAGGAAGTCCACAAATATCGAACCTGATTTCACAGAGGATAACAAATCCGTGGACGCCAAACTAATAAAGTTAACTGGACTCAAAAGAAACACAAGCAAGGATCGCGAAAGCCTGCCGAAAGTTTCAGAAGTCGAAATTAGAAGTCCCAAAGGTAAGAGAAGTCTTAAGGAAGTTGAAATAATTGGAGCTGTAAGAGCCGGAGGTGCTACAGAGACTAGGGCCAGGTCGCTCGTAGATAAAAATTCAGTTGATCTCACCATTGACGAAGTGATAGCATCGATGATCGGCGACCCGGATCTCGAGGATCACCAGAGAGCAGTGGAGAAGATAGAGGGTAAGCTGACGAGGAGCAGGAAGACTTTACTGGGTGAGAAACTTCTGTCCGAGGGTGAGATCAAGAAGGAGCCAGATTTCGACGAGGGTAAGACTGCCTCTGAGGAAGAGTGCGTAGAGGGTGAAGAAGATATTCAGCAGCAGAAGCTAAGAAAGAGATCAAACGTAGGACTAACGTCAAGGAGTCTACGAAACGGTAAACTGCGACAACTATCTGATTCGGGAATACCGGCAGAGTTGGATGTCAAGAAGCGTCGTAGACTTAATTCGGACGACCCCGTTATTTCAGACACTTGCGCCGAGTCCGTATCGGACGACAACATGGACGCCGAGTCGTGCTTCTACGAATCCAGCGCAGGAGAATCGCAGGACGGGGCCGGGAAGAACGAGGTATCGGCTATCAAGGACGACATGCAGAAGAGCTTCGAGGACGCCCTTGAAAATGGAGCAGAGATCGAGAACAACAACAACAGCGAGCGCGGCGATAGACCTGGTGAAGTTGGCCCGACGTTACGTTCGAAAACGAAAGCCAGGAACTCTGAGAACGACACCAAAGTTGAAGACACAAAAGACGACCTTAAAGTATTGTCGAAGAGTTCAGAAGCCCAGGATGACGCAAAGAAGTCGTCAAATGCGGAACAACCTCGCAAGGACGCTGTCCTGGCAAAACTAGCTGACAAACCCAAAAGTCGTAGAAGCAGTCTTAACCTGGAAATGAAGAAGACCGTAAGCTCCTTCTACGGGAATGAAAAGAGCGACGGTAACTCTAAGTCCCAGATTGATCAGATGATTGAGAACATCAAGCTGACCATTGCGAAGTCTATCGAGAGTAAAATATTCGGTCCTGAGAAGAGTCTTTCGTTAAACAAGAACTTCGAGGTGCCTAAAATTGAAGAAATCGTAGCGCCTCTTAGCGCCGAGTCGCAGAAACTTGGTCTCGATGACAATACCGAGGAGGATAAGCCTAATATCTCCAAGAATGAAAGTAAATCAGAGGGATCAGAGAATTCGGTGCCTAAAGTTGCTGACACTGCCAAAGAGATCGAAAAACTAGTCATGGGTGACATGGAATTGGTGGACACGCAGTCCCAGAAGACACAGGAGAGCGAACTCTCGAACGTGGACATAGCCAGAGGATTCAGTGAAGTAGATTCAGCCGACAGAAACTGTGCGAGCTTTTCGAAATCTATGGATAACGATTGTCAGGAGGATAAGAATCAATCCTCGAGCACTAACGTGAACGTTTTAGACTCTAAACCGGAGGATCAGAACGAGGACGAGGAGGATAAAAATCTAGAGAGTGGAAGGAAAGCAGTTAGCACCAGGAAGTCAATGAGGATCATCGACAAGAGCTCTTCTGACTCTAGTATCGATTCTGGTACACGAAAGTCCTCTAGGATTCTCGACAAGAACGCTCAAAAATGTACTGACTCTAAGGAATTGGAAATTGACTCTCAAGGAACTGACTCTCAAGAACTGAACGAAGGTGTACCAACCTATGAGAACTTTAAGCGCGACATCAAATCTAAGGAACTTGCATCAAGTAATGCCAAGTCTACTGATAGCAATGAGAATCTGGCTGAGACTTTATCGTCCACCGCAACTGTTTCTGATAATTTACTAGAGGAACATTCCTTGCCGAATCCTAGTGGATCGGAAACTGACACCTGTTTAAATACGTCACTGAGATCGGATGAGTCTGAAACCCTGGAAAGTATTTCACGCGAGGTCGAGAGACTCGTCGCGGAAAGTTCGGCGAACCAGGAAACCCCGAAGAATTCCATAAACAGTGAGCAATCTCCAAATGTAGATACTACCGAGAAGGAGACAAAGGAAAGTGAGAATATGGAGGAAGTTGAAGAGAAGGATGACGACCCAATAGATTCTGAAACGGATGCGGAAGCCAATAGATATTTGGAAGCCTTGGAGACGTCCTTTGCTGACTCTGACGCTTTAGCCGTGGCCAATGAGATCAGCGAGGTCCTTGACGAGGAGAAGATTCATCAGAATGAGTCTGACGGCTCCATCGAGACTCAAAATGAGAATAAGGATTCTCGCGAAACAAACGGGGCTACTAAAACCCTCAGAAACCATTGTCACTCATCTACCACTAATGGCTGTGATACGAATTCCGAAAACTCTATCAAGAACCTAGCTCAAAATTCATCTTTGCCTTCCAAGGAGAAGGTTACGGATACTGAAAGTACAGAGATTACAGAAGTTGCTGAGGATGCTGATAAATCAGTTGTATCAAATTTAAGCATAAACGCCAACGTCCCCAGCGAACTGAGTCTGGGTAAACAAAAAAATAACCAGGATCTCGTGGTAGAGATGGTGATTGATAATGAGAAGTCTGTCAACGAAAAGAACACGGATGAACAGAAATCGACAAACGAGGAAACCCGACGAGTCTTAAGGACACGAGATAGGCAGAAGAAAATAGAAACTAGACAAAAATCGAGAAGCATCGAACGCAGTGAAGTAAAGGTCAAGATCGAGGAAGATATCGTTCAAATGGATATGGATGACAATCAGGGTTCATCGTCGGAAGAGCGAGCAACTCCAGAGTCAAGGACGAACCCGAGAGCTGACGCAGAAAGTGGTCAAATTACTGTTAAAGTCGATGCGGAGCCACAGATCCGTACGAGACGAAGCAGGGAGGTCAAAAGGCGTAAAGAGGATCAGCAGCAACAACAACAAAGTACAATCAAGTCCAAGCGCAGTAAGCGTGATACGAGAAAATCTGATCAACAAAATAAAGAGGAGACATTATTAGATAATGAAGTAGCAAAGATCAATGAGAATAATCGTTCTCATGTAAGCAAGTACGGCAAGTCTCTAGAAGATAGTGAGAACTTCAGAGGATTCTCTGAAGGTGGCCGGGCACGAGGAAACAAGGTAGAGGACGTAGTGGAGACCATCCGTAGTAAGTCCGAAAACGATCTTGAGAGTGTGCAGAATGAATCTGAAAGTAGCGGAACTCTTTCAAGGACCAGACCAGATAGTCACACACCCAAACAGACTGACAATATAGATGCGACATCGGACAGCGAATGTAAAGTCACAAAAACTCCTGAAACCTCCCAGAAGGACTCTGACGAAGCATCTACTTCCGGCGAGTCCTCCAGTAGCGCCGGTCTCACATCCAAGATCCTGGAGACACCTGAAGACAAAGCCAAGAAGGAGTCTATCCTTCGTCTACTGGGATTAGAGTCCCTTGAGAAAGCTGCTGAACGTATGAATCATCAAAAAGCAAAGAAAGAGCAGTACACGGGTACCCTGAAGACGGTGATCAGGGTCCAGAAGGAAAAGGACAAGGACAAGAAGAGGTCGCGCTCACCCTTGAAAATGGTATTGAAACAAGGTCGTGGAGATGGTGATGGCGATTCGCCAGAATTTTACACCATTCAAAAGGAGGTACGAATTTTTATGTATCTAATCAATTTATATTTACCTGCAATACATTGATAAACGAATAAAACTTTATCCACTTCCTTATTTTGCAGTTTGGAACCAGTGGTTTGGGAGATAGCAGCTCTGGTGCGAACCGCAAGTTCACTACTAACCACAGACACTCTTGCGGTAATCCTGGTTGCGGGCATAACTACAAACTTAATCACACCTTTTTCCTTTACCGCTTTTATCAAGATTCTCATATTACGGTTTGATCCTACAAGCTGTTACAGCCGGAGGATAAGTGCAAGGATCAATTTCATCTGATCTTCAATACAAATGAATGCCAGTTAAGCTTCTCCAACGTGACCAAATTACTGATCTATTTTCACAATCCTCCGGTTAATATTCAGACACTTATCAAGATCTTGTTATGAGAAAATAACAAAGCATGCACATAGTTAGTATAACCAGTGCTTTCTTCTCTGCCAAGACACTGTGCTTTCTAACTTTGGTGCTTCGTCGGTACGTATTAACTGCATACAAGTCGTATAACAACCAAAGTTGGAGGGTAGCCTTGGGAGGGTAGTTCAGCATCCTTATGCAAAGAAAAGCAGATTATTAAACATTTTTTTCATTATGAACAGACGAGGACAACGAGGAGGTGCCATCCAAGGATCGTCAGTCCTTGGTGATACCTGAGAAATCATCATCCTTTTCGATTCATCCTGGTCGACTCTGTGCTGACGTTTGCTGCTATTGCTTTGGCAAATTCGGATCCCTGGATACACCTATGCACCTGGCGCAAATGAGATCTGATGAAAGACGTAAGAAAATCTTAAACGCCGAAAGACATCTCACCAAGGATTCCTGTCTGTGCGATGCTTGTTATCGCCATGTTGACAGAAAAGTATGTCGATTTTATCAAAGTTTCAAAGTTAAATATAATTTAAGAATTAAAGTAAAATTATATTATTGCTATTTCTTCTAATTAAGGCAAACACGAGTCCAACGAATTTGCAAACAAAACCTCAGAGACGGCAACTCATGGTGACAAAGTGTACAGCAAGAGATTGTAGGGAACCAGCGCGGCATCATGTGAAACGTTGGTGGCTTTTTAAGATCAAGGCGGGTCTTCAAAACCAGGTTAGTTATCAGAAGTTAACATCATGCTTGAATTATAATATCTATGTTATCAGTTAAGCTCCTACGGATGAATTTTCTTCTTAGACACACGTGGATATTGATTGGGAATCTACACAACATACATCCCCATCGTTTTGTGTGAATCATTATTCGAAAATCGAAAAGTTCTTGACGTGTGCCCTGTGCAAACGTCGTTTGGTACGCAATCATACCCACCAGTTAGTCACCGCTGAAACTGATGAGCTGAATCAGCGACTAAGACAGCAGGGTATTCCCGTACTTCTTACCACGGACACTTTTGTGTGTAAGCTCTGTCGTTACTTTGCACAGCTACAGCTTAAGTATAAGGATGTGGAAAATATGAATGCCAATCACAGGTCGTTCTGTAAGAGTTATCGAAAAAGGTGGGTGTCTTTTTATTTAATATGGAGTAAAGGATATTTCGTATTGCTATTAATACAAGTAAATGTAATTGCGCAGAATCTTGCATTGTCTTGAAATTGACGTGCTGGAGAACGAGGAGGAAGAGACTGCGCAAGGGCAGTCGACCAAGGAGAAGAGTAAACGTAAAAAGAACAAGTGCTCGCAGCAGAGTAAAAACAGCAGTTTTAAATTGCCTGACGGGACGAACAATTCCACGTCGGAGAAGTCGACGCCAGAACCAAGCAAAAATGAGGGGACCAATTCTGAGACAAGCAGTGAGAATCGTACGAAAGCGAATCCAAGTGAGGAGACGATGCAGACGGATGTTCAGGTTCTGAGTATTGAGAATAACGAGGAGAATCTAAAGAAGCGAAAGTCAATTGATTCTCAAGTTTATCCTGGTAATTTGTCCTTGGCTTCCGATGGCTCGAATGAGGTTGTTGAGATCTTGGCGATGGATAGGGAAGTCACCCTCACCAGGTTGCCCAAGAGACCGAAAACGAACAATGACATAAATCCTGTGGTACAGAGACTTGGTGCAAATCCTTCTATCAGTGTCCGCACTCTTTTCCCCGGGGAGGAGGAGATGAATCTCCACACGAATATCGAATTCAATAACGTTCGCGAGGTCACTCCTCAGGGTTGGGAGAAATGCACGACGATGATACAATATGACCGGGACACAAAGATCCTGTGGCAGGAACTTCAGAGGCCTTACGGCAATCAAAGCTCATTCCTCAGACATTTGATACTCTTGGAGAAGTATTACAGATCCGGAGATCTTGTATTAGCACCGAATGCCTCACGCAATGCAATCAATTACTCCACCTCGGTACAAAATCGGTTAATATCGTACGAAGGTCCTGAAAAAATGGACGAACCGATAATGGAGCCGATATCTGCTGAGTACAGTAATTCGCGCAGACTTAGCGGGGGTTACGTGCTCGAAAGAGACAGGCTTTCCTTACCAAGCACAAGTTCCTTGATATCCGCTGGCTACAATCTGCCAGGTACTTCCCAATCTGCAAAGAGCAGCCCACCACGGGTCCTCAAACTGAATCCCGGTGTATCGATCATCAAGAAACCTCCGCCAAATCTACAACGTCTCAGTTTCCCGTCAACAAGCGCAACAAATGGAGCACTAAGACGCAAAGAGGGTAACAAGGTCTCGGTGACGTCAGGTGGCAAGGTCTTTCAGCTGAGCGAACCGGACTTCAAGCGACTGCAAACTCTGAAAAGGCAGAAGCAGCTGCTCAACGAGAAGCAGTCTCAGAATCCTGGCAGTTCTTCAGGAACTTCAAGTTCACCAACAGGACCAAAACCTCCCACACAATATCAAAAGGCCCAAATCGCAGCACAGACCCAATTTCAAAAGCACCTGCGGATACAGCAGGAGATGTTAAGTCGTCAGAGTAGAAGCGACTTCGAACCTCTGATATGCGACGTACGCAGTGCGTCCAATGAGAACAGTAGCAGCACCCCGACCCAAAATCTACTCAGCAACCTGAACTTGCCCAAGTCCATACAGGTGACGACAAAGCCACCAAACCCTATTCCAATATTGCCAAAAATTCCGAAGTCCCTCACGGTGATACCGCAGACGGTCCCTAGACCCGCTGACAAGTGAACATCTCCTGGCCCAGTACATGGGGCACCAGGAAGTGAAGCTATTATCACACAGGATAAATGATTTAGCCGAAGAGTCAGAAAAAAATCTATCATTAAGATTTCTTAACGCCATATCCCCTCTTCACCTTCCATCGTCGCAGCACGAAGAAGAAGTCACAGCGTAAAACTGCCTTCACGATAATAAGTAGTGCGCAATTCACATAACGCGAACTTACTCGAAACGACATAAATCCACTCTAATCAATTCAATTAACAAAAACTATTCTTGTGAACGTTACTATTTTCGAGATACGTTAAAACAATATAAGATTACGTACACATGGACTCTATACGATTGCATCAGGATTAAGCGAACTAGTAAGAAGAGGTGATTAAACTAGATAATAAAAAAATATATATATACAGACACAAGCGCGTTTTCACAGAACGGTAGGTTCTTCACGTATTTCAACCAAAGCAGAAGAGTTTACACGAGCGTAATAATCTGTTCACCCAAGAAAAGTGCCTAAAAGTGACACGGATGAAATAGAGAGTCGTTAGTTTTTATTCGTCTAATAACTAAATATTACAGAAATGCTGACTTAAGACAGCATAAATGTATACACAGACATACACACACATACACATAAATATACATATAACGAGTTATAGTTGAAAAGTACCATATCAGAATAATACCCGAGTACTTTCCATTTTGCGTTCATTTCATTATTTAATAATTTAGATTCCAACGGGAATGCTCGAGCTTCGTGATTATAACGAGTAATTTACTGAAACTTTTAATGATGGACGAACCCATTGGCAGCGTTCGCGTATTAACGCTGATAATTCTTTATATTTTAACTTTTTCTTTTTTTCGATCTGTATACCGAAACGTTGACACGAAACCAAAAGTGTTTATGCGTAGTAAACGCGAATAATTATTGTCGCTTAGACACTGTCGATGCGCCACTTTTATTTTGAACAGTCTAGAACAGCATCGGCTTCCTTGTCTTTTGGCAAGAAGCTTCCGTTGAGAAAAACGGAAATTAAATGTGATTGGGAGCTTTGACACTCTTTATTTTTTTTATTTTTTTTTTTTTTTTCTACGTGACTGGACATTATTGTTGTACCCACGTATATATATATTTGTATACATATATGCAAGATTATTCAGGACTGTTAAATCACCCGATCGTAGTTCAGAGTTCTGTCCATTTGATTTCTATTAATGCCAGTGGTAGAACCATGTTCAGGTGATTCGGTAGTCCTGAATAAATCTGTATATGTATACAGTATTATTTTTTTCGAATAACGGAAACGAAGCACTTCCCGGTTCGTCCTGAGATTTCTACATATTCGCCTTTTGAGAGACGTCGAGGAGCATAATAATAATTGTTTCTAATTATACAGACGGAATTAGGTTATTATATAAACAATAAATGAACTAGGTATAGGAGTTGAGCTTATTTATTACAGGACTACTTTACTGCAATGTACATAAATTAATAGATAACGATTAGCTGATAAATAATCGAATGATCGAACGACGCTCACGTTTGCGATCGCGAGGCGAGCCTGATTGTTGTGGAAGGGAAAGGAAAAATGGCGCGCGGGACAGATCAGCATTTCCTTTATTATTTTCTCTCTCTCTCTCTCTCTCTCTCTCTCTCTCTCTCTCTCTCTCTCTCTCTTTCTCTCTCCATGTGCTCTAATGGGAAACGATATGCGTTAAAACTATCGTGTCTCTTTCTTTCTTCTGTTGTTCAGAGTCCGCAAACACGTGCTGTAAGCAGCACAAAAGAATGGACGCTCGCGATTCGCAATCGTTTTGCGTCATAACAAGTGATAATTCGACTGTACATAGTTAATAATTAAATTAATCAAGACGAAGAAGAATGGAAGGTGAAATAAGCGCGGGCTCGAACTGTTCGGAAATTTCGAATCGCAGAAGACACAAGGAACAACGTTAACAGTATATATTAAAAACAAAAGGCGTACAATGTATCAAGAAGGAGTCGACGAATGATTATACTTTTACGAAGTTTGAGAATTGAAGACTCGCAAAGTCCAAAAATCGATTATGGCACTTCGCCACGAGGATCTAGATGATTTTACGAATGATCGGCAGAGTCGCCTCTGTACTTTGCGTATCTTGCAATCGTTAAGGATGAATTGACAAGTGACATGAGACTGACAGTTGAGTATTCGGTAGAACTTATTGGACAGTGAAAAAAAAAAAAATACTGTAAACTGTTTTTGAGCGAGCCTGTACATTCAACTGGGAACACGTTTACAAGGCTGGACGGACACACGAATGCGGCAAATAATATAAAATTTTGATTTGAAAAAAAAAAATTCTGAAATGGATACAGTGCTTGGCGATAGCACGCGATAAGCGGATGCACTCGTGAGGCGCGCCTATATACATATATATAAATATATATAGTGAAAATGAAGTATAATTGAAAAGGTACGCGAATGTACGTTATATATATAAAATGCTCTATTTTACTAAGGATATTTTTGATATATCTATATATATAAATATATGTATATCGAACTAAAGTGAATTATTGCAGTCGCTTGATAATCAATTGTTGACATAGACTTTCGCGTCTGGACGGAAAGAGATGAGAGGGAGAATGAGAGAAAAAGAACGATAACGTGTCGTTGTTTACGACTGTGGCAAGGAGTCTTCTTGGGATACTGGCGAGTTTTCGTATCTCGGTAACGTCTGCGCAAAGACATATTATTTTTTGTATATTACATAACCCCGAGCCAGGAAGACGCGTCCGTGCGTTTTGGTTCTGAAAAATCGGCCTTGCGACTGGATGCGTAGAAAGGGTTAAAAGAAAATTGATAATGAATCGATATACCTCGTCAGTATCCGGGCACTCTTTTTCTTTTGGTCTAAAGTGCCCCAGGTAAACAGTGGACCCTTCAACGAGCAGACAAGAGTGAACGGAAGTGCGCGAACTGAGTTTAAGTTTTAAGAATTCTATTTTTCTGGTGGCAGAGAAGGGGATATAAACTATTGTAAACGGAACCGAAGGCGTGGCTGATTATCGTGGACCTGATTTTCTCCTCGTGATTCGACCGAGCAGGGACGAATTAATTAATTAAAAAATCCGACGACCTCGAGGACATCGTCGAGGATGCTTCGTCGAAGCTCGTCGACGAGGAGATTCTGAGTGTCCGTAATTTATAATGTAGGAAAACGATATGTAAAAGGACGGTTAAGCGAGTAGATTGTCAAAGATAGCGTTAGCATGAAAGTACGTGAGAATGAGAGATATTTTACAAGCAATAAAGCGAACAGATTTGTAATCGGGGTGCAACGTGAGCTGCGTTGGGCTTCGACGATGATTCTTTTTTTTTTTTTAAATTAGTTTTTAGATTGACACTCGATTGGTCCTTGTTGCATCGCAACACCCTAAGTGTGCGAGGAAGCACGTGAGGCTCGTTGGGTCCCCGATGTGTGCCTGAGAATAATCTTCGTGTGCGGAACTACCCTTTGAACTCTCGTCGAGGGTTTCTCCGGTCGATACGAAGGATTAGGGGTAGAGTGGGGAGTGACGAGAATCGAGAATTGTGTATGTTAAGTGATAGGGCGGCGTAGATGCGCTGAACGCTCAAAAAGAATGAAGTGAAAAAAAAAAGAAACGAAGGCGATGGTCTTCATCCCCTCGTGGGTAGGAACTTATTAAGGTTCAGCGTGTCCAGGTCTCAGTTATGATTATTATGTTATTTAAATTAATATTAACACACGTTACTACTATTATAACAACCTTTGTTTATTTAGTTATAAAATCTAATAGTTATTTAGTTCTCTATCCTTTGTATATATTCGCAACACTCAATAAAAAATGCAAAAAAAACGATCGGGCCTTGTATCGTTATTTTCTTTTTCAGTGAGGACGGGGATCGGGGTGATTTTGGATAAATTTTTTTTTTTATGACGAAAGAAGAAAAATTCGTTGATCTCTTTTTTTTTTATGATTTATTTGCATTTTTTCGTATAATTGGTAACTGATTTTGGATAACTAGTACTAAAATCTAAACAACGTACGAAACTTTATACATATGTTGCTAATTGTCTTACGGTTACTAACGGGATAGCTATTTACAAGAAATATGGGTCACGATCATTCTTAATCTCCCTTTTTATGCTCCTATATGATTTTCACGATCGGAGTACCTTATTAATTCTTCTATCGGACTTTTCGAGTGCTGCCCTCTGCTTTCCCGTCGGGTGTTTTTACCGTGAATTTAAGAAATCACGTGACCCGGGCACTCTACGGAAGATTGGATTATTTTCTGTGCTCTTTCACACGCTCTCCTCACTTTGGTCATGATTCTCGTCCTCGTTATCATCATCGTCGTCGTTTACGTCTACATCGTCGTCATCGTTACCGTCATCCTAATGATTATCTCCTTGGCCCGATAAAAAGGTATCTCTTTAATCATGATAACGACATTAAAGACGAGTACGAAATTAAGGCTGGAACCGTCGTAACTGAATTGGTCGCCGACCAATCCCAATGGTCTTTAAGTACAGGACGTGTTCTGTGGTGTTAGAAACGCGCGTCTGTTTATAGTTTCAACGGATAGGCGTCGCCACCGTCAACGCTCCGTCGTATCTTCAGATTTGTCAAAGAGGCGCTGCGCTTTTTTTTAAATAGACTAAAGAATAAAAAAAGAGAACTACATACGAGCACACGACGAACGTATCATGGCGACGACGCAATCACGCTTGTAGAAGGAAAAAAAAAAAGAGGGAATCTCCATAAGCGGCCATTCGGGAGACAAGAACGTAATAATTCGAAAAGTTGTAAACGAGTTGGCTTGGCCGTTCGGCGATGGCGTGATTCATGGGAGGAGGGGGCGATCGTGTACGATCTTGGTAAATAAGATACGAGGAAAATAAAATCACGGCGATGCCGTCTGACTAAGAGCTACACGTTAAAAAGTAATGGAACATTATTACGGATAACGAAATCGAAAGAATAAACTAAGGCCTGTGTCGTTACGTTATAATAATAATATTATTACTTAGAAATAATTCCACTTTTACGAAGACTTATATTTATACTCTAATATGTACAAGCATACGTTTCTGGAACCGCCCCATCCCAACTCCCCAATCTCAATTCTACTATGTCATTCTCACTAGCTCTCAAATCTCCATTCTCTCCTTCTTCCATGCATTATGACAATTCAATCCTTTCGTTCCTGCCGCTGCTCTGATCTGTTCACCCGAATCATCGGTGCCAGCGTCATTCACTCGTCAACAGTTACACGCATTTTCTCAATCGTCCCATCCCCTCCGGATAACATGTTTTTAAAAAAGTATCTCTATGTACAAACAATATGTATACTGTATACATATATATTAAGGTGCTGTACGATACCGTGGAAGCTGCATTAAAAGTCTCCATATTTGATACGCGATATGTTTTAAGATACGCGCATCGCGAGATCTGGATCTTCGCGATATTTCCCTTTACTCCTGTCCGGATTTCTGCGAGGCGCGCAGTCATCATTGCCCTCGTAATTTCGAGGATCAATGACGATCCGAAGAGAAGAAAAGAGCCCGGTCCAACGTAAGAATAGTTATCCAGAATCCGGGATATCTAAATATCACAGTTGATTAATATACGCACACCCTGCGATTAATTTAAGATCTCATGGAGCATCGACGGCGTCCTACAGGGACGTACATGCACCTGTACATGCACCTGTACATGCGCAGAAAATGTTAATCATTTTTCTCTCATTCTTTTCAACTCTAATTCCCTATTTCCTTTCAGTAGGAACGTCCCGGCTTAACGCGTAAGGCTTGGACACGCGCTTGGGACGTATCCACGGCTTGTATTTCGGTCTAGGTCTCTAACCCAGGTACGAGGCTGTGAAAGGTCATGATGTCGTGGAAGGCCCGTCCGCAGCTCTGGTTGTTATTGCGCTCGAGTTTCGAGAGATCGAAGTGTAGATCCTCGTACCTCTCCTCCAGGGTCTTGGCAGGATCCGCAAACCTTGAAAACTCGCAGATTCTGTCAGCCTCGCAGGCGACATCGGTCACCTCCATCAACCCCATATCCGTCCCTCTAGAAACGGAGTTCACAGTGAGCTGGGCATCGTTCAGTTCAGACACAAAGAGACCACTACTCGTAGAGGTGGCGCGGTTCTCGTTGGTGGTGAGTCTACTCTCGGGGAAGCCCAGGGCAAGCGGTGTCTCTGATACGTCATCGATATGGGACAGGAGTCTTGGAGTAGGCGGTAGAATGTAAAAGTCGCTGAACACGTCGTCCTGAAGATCAAGATCGTCGTGCCTCTGTCTCTTGGGACTCAGGTTGTCGCTTCTGATCTCCTCGCCCAGCCTGAAATTACATGAAGATTGATTATTTAGAAAAAAAATATCAATCAAGGCCTACATGAACGAACGAGGCCTTGCTCGGAATTCAAACTCACCTCTTTCTCTGGGAAGTATCGCCATCGATCGTGGTGACATTCAGATTGCTTCCCACGTTGTTCTCCTTGGTAGAATCGTCCAGAAACGGAACCAGGGATAGCCCGTAGTTCCTGGTCTTCTCGTCTCGATTCTCACGTTGAAGTCTTCTCACGGCATTGTTAATCAGCACCGATCTGCAAAGACTGGCCTCAGGATCCTCGATGCGCCTCAATTTACCAGCTGATATCTTCAGCAGTCTCCTACGTTCCTCGCGAGCTCTGTACTTGGCTGATATCATCGTGGGTCGACTCCTGCGTATCACGAGGTCCTCCTCCAGTCTCATTTTAGCGTCTGAAAGTAGAAATAGCGAGTGCCAGGTTGTAGAAAATCCTTTAGTAAAAGTGTCGGAGCGTCGTTAATCGATCCCGGTGAAAGCAAGTCCCGATTAAACGCAATCGACATGCTCCGAGTAACAGGGACTCAGGAGGTAGAGCTGTTTCACTCTACGGCTCCTGGTAGCGACATCAGAGACCTGACGAAGATCCGATATACCGTACGTAAGAAATGTGTCGTTCAATTTTCCCCTCGGTTATAAACTTAAATGGAATTTTAGCCATAGACAAATACTGGCAATATTACGTAATACGTCCAATCGGTGGTTAAACGAGGAAGGACACAGATTTTCCTATTGTTCCGTCCAACATTGACCCACATTATATTTCCCCACGTGCTAAGTATATCTATACAAGTAGCTGTGCCTGTTAGATACAGTATATGCTTCTTACTACACTATAGATAAGCGTATCCGTAATACATGATACATGTGTAACTAAGGGCCACATAAGGTACCGATAAAGTGTCAATGATCCTGGTCCGGGTAAGGGCTACGGGACGGTTAAAATACTATTTATAGAGACTTCATTTTTTTTGTTCTCTACTCCCATAGGCGGTTGCAGATCCAGAGTAAACAGAGGCACTTGGAGGTGGTGAGAGAGAGTGAGCTTAAGGAAGGAACTGTAGAGGAAGGGTGTGAGTCGGAAGGCTGACTGGTGAGCGTTAAAATATTTGAAAGGAAAGAGAAAGAGATAAAGAGGGAGGTAGGAAAAGAGTGAGATACGAATATTGGAAGATGGAGGGGGGGGGGGCGAGCGAGAAAAGAAGCTGGAAGAAGGAAAATAGAAGTAGATATACAAATAGAGTAGACTTGGTACGATTGTTCCAGAGTGAGATACATGTCCTCTAAGGGCGGACGTGACGTCACGACGAGTCGGAAGTCACTTCCGCGGAGCCAAATGCGTCTCTGACCCTCGACCAGACGAAAATAGATCATCGCGCGTTCGAGCGCAGCCTCTTAGGCGATGATGGTGAAAGAAAAAAAAAAATATATATATATATGTACAAAAAGAAAAATAGAGTCTTGCAAGCGCAGGAAACTGGCGATTGCTCCTGAAGTATTTACGAACTGACAGTTCGTACTCGGTCCGTTACGAGTAGTAGTTAGTTCGGCGCTCCCAGCGCCAGGTGGCGCTAGGAGCAAGATCTCGACAAGAGAACCAACACAAAATGCTGTGATCGTTCCTGTTCCCCCTTGGGAGATCTTTGTCACGCTTAACGGTATACAAGGCTGGTTTTCAGTTTAACGTAAGTAAAGCCGCTTCCTCCATAGAGAATTACCTTATGGATTTAAGAAACGATATCTCGACATCGGACCAGTGGACATCGTGACCTACGACCGTAGACCGAAACGAAATCACAGACGTTCGTAGATCCCACGAACGTTACCGATAGCGATCGGAATATAAATATCGGCGCGACGTCCTTCGTGTTAGATTCGATCTTTTCGTGGCTCGTACGCTTCCAGGTTGCCCGAAGCTCCTGTGCGTGAAGGCGGAGAGAGAGGTTTAAATAAAAAAAAGGTGTCCAAGGATTAAAATAATAATCTCGACTCGTCTGCCAGGACTCGGCCGAGCCAAGGCTATTTAAATTAAAACTAGAGATCGAGCGGCGATTTTACGCTCGAGGAGCGCCTAGGCTAACTTTCTCTGCGAGCGAAAAAACCGTGATACGTTACCTAACTGCAAAGTCTAGCTCGTGTCGCTGACTCGAGCGTCGGTTGCGACTCCTCGGGGACCCTCCCCGTTCTCTCTCTCTCTCTCTCTTGGGTCCCTGTCTACGGAATCTAACGTTCTCCCTAACCCTGTTCCTCAGCTCGACGAGTACACTCCTCCACGTACATACCCGGAGAATGGCCTCTCCTCGACCCCACGCCATACATATATATATATACACCATACATATCCCAGAATCTAAATAGCCATATAACCGTGGCCCTCGTACTACAGAGCAATAGAAAACGCATATTCTAAACGGCGGTTCAGGGTCTTCTCCACCGAGCCGTCTGATCTATATGCCTTAAAGTATCACTTTGACTCCTAATCCCGTAATTGTAAAAAGTCTCGTCGTACAAATCCGCGCAAAAGCCGATCTCTCGCAGGAACCACAGCCGATCACGGTCGAGCACGCCGGATTGCACCGATCGAAATAGAAAGTAACTCCGGGAACGGATAGAAGGCGGGCGGCGAGTCTCCGTCGATCGAGCCTTCTCGACTTGCTCACGGGGGCCTTGGATGGAATGCGAGGGCAAAAAGAATTACCGAATGGTTTACAGTTATAAATAAATACGGGCCGGCGAACCGAGATTCGAACCGCGGCTGATTCTCCGCCGAGAAAATACAGTTGGTTCTCGTGTCCTCTTGTTACCAGGAGTGCACGCGAAACTGTATATCTACGCGATGTTCCAGCGCGTAACGAGCCTGTCCCGTTGTGACTCCTACTGGCTGGTTAAAACGTCTTCTGCCCAATCCCGGAGAGTATAACGCACCGTGTTCAGCCAACTGATCCCTGACGCCGTACAAACTGCCAAGCGCTTGTCTAATTGTCATAACAATAAAATACCTTCCGAAAACACCCTGTATATATACTGGGTTACTGTATCCATAGTATCCCCCCCGTGAAATTGTCTATGAAGACTTTGGAATGGAATTTCGTGTTCCTCGAGCGACTCGAGGAATTTTACTTTCGGACATTGCTATACGGACTTCTTGAGAATCGAGGGGGAATTGAGAAAGGGGCCTTTTCTCCTTCTTGGTACCTTGGGACCAGCCATCGAAAGAAAAAAAAAAAAAAAAGAAAAAAAAAGGAGCAGGTCAAACGATGGACGGTGTCGACGACTCTGGCCATTAGCCTCGGGCCACCAATACTAGTCGTATTACTCCTGCTACGTGGCTACCACTACCACAAGTCCCAACAACTGCTAGGGACTACTACTTTGTACCAAAGTTAATATATTACTGCTAACCACCGATAGTGTTGCCTACGTCCAGGAGCGCCGTCGCTAACGTCGTTCACGAACCTTTCGAGTTTCGTGACGCTGGACTCGAGGCACTGCACGGAGACGGTGCGAAGGTGGCATCTGACTTTTAGCGAAGCGCTACGGAGTTCCCTTGAATATATTGCTGCCTTTTTTTTTTCACGATTAGCTCGAGCGACAAGGAACCGCTTCGGGCAAGGACACGTTCGCAAGGCTACCTGCGCCGTCACTTGCTATTATGTTGCACTTTTGTTCCGTGCTGTGACGTGGTAGCTTCTTTTTTCGTTTTTTTTTCTTTTTATTTTTTTACGCCAACAAGATGCATACTGCACTAAACGTTTAATATCATTTACATTTAGCGGGTATGACGTCGCCTTTATTTTTATGGCTAAGTCCAGACATTTTTCAGACTTGCCAAACACCCGGTACATTTTTACAACGCGGATTCGGGGTAACAATGAGTTGCACGAACTCGGGCTACATTTACATACTGGACTTTTGACTGTCAACGGGAAAAATATTTATCCGACAATGACGCGTCGCGACGTATTACGTACTGTCCTGTTGATATATACATATATATATATATCATAGAAGCATATACTACGTGTAGGTACTCTATACGCTTCGGAGGACTTCCTCCATGTGGGCCGCAGTACCGTTTGTGCTGCGCGCCCGGTCCGTTATGATTTTTGCATCCGTTTTCAAGTTACTTATTTGACTTTCGTGGTGGAATGCATAAAAAAAAAGTTTATCCAAAACGAAGAAATGCTCGATCGGACATGCAAATTTTTTTTCTTAGCTTTCGGTTATGCAAAAGTGATTGCGCCGGTGCCTCGAGTAAAAGCTGCCTGCCGTATGGCTGGAGGGACGGACGATGACGTTGACAACGTTACATATCGGAATGAGGATGATCCCCGCGAAAGACACGGATAAGGCTCGAAATTGCATTCTAGGGTATTTTCTTGATTTAGAGAGCGGACTACTAGTGCCCCGCCGATGTGCACCGAGCTGCGGTTAAATAGGCCGTGACCATTAAAGACGACTTTCTCCGAAGCCGCAATGAGAGAAGAGTTTTGAAAAATTTTTCATATTTAGAACGGTCGGAACTGGTGAAATGGATATGGATGGATACGGAAGCATCCGGTACGATATATATATACGAAAGCTTAGACAGTATATATATATATATATATATACACAGGCGTTTACGAAGTCAAAGGAATTCTCCCAAGTCATTCTTCTTGATCCAGTAAAAAGAAACCGTAACGCGCGTTCACGAAGGACCCGCATGGCTTTTGTAAAGGGAAATAGGCAATAGAGAAATGTGAGAAATGCAAGTACATTCAGAGCCATACAGGTAGGTAAGTGTAGAGCAGCCGTCTGTACGAGGCGCATCGATATATCATTGAAAGCCGGTAGAGAGCCTGGACGGAGTGTAGCGAGGTCCGAGGAACCGTCAAGAAGGCTACGGGAACCGATGAGCTGGGATAGATTATGAGATTACGTATTACGGAATACACGTTGGTTCGGGTGGCCTTACGTAACGTTGAATTGGTTCTCCCGGTACACAAATGACCGCGGTTTAATAGGTAATGCGACTAGAATCCAACAGACAGGAATAGTATATACTTGGTACAGACGCGAATACGCAGGTGCGCGACTGAGGGCACACGTGCGACAAGAGCCACCGGGACAGATGTCGTTAGCCAGGGTGACTGGTGGAAGTAAGGGTAGCCCGCCGGTAACACGGTACACGTAGATAGGTATTATACACGGTGAGATAAAAAAACCCAGGATAGCCATTAAGGTAGATCGTAGAAAAAGGTTGGGAACGCGTGCTACAAGGTGAACCCGTGGATCGGCGTCAGCATCGGTACCGAAGTGGTGAGGTCAGAGGTAGAGCAGACCCACCTACTTTCCCCGTAGGATCGTCGCGCCGTGAAAAGCCGAGCGTCAACGACCCCCGTCTCTACGGGCGAACAGCAAAAGGAGCAACATCAGCGCCGTCGACGCCTCGACCCGAGGCGACGTCGAGCATCCGGTTAAGACGGCATTAAAATCCGTCCTAGGTCAAGGTTCGTCGTCGATAACCGATATCTCATCGATTTCTCCATTTTGTATTACGGTACGTAAAGTCAACTTCACAATTCCAGGACACCGGACGCACGATGGTTATCGGCTTGAAATTGATGCTGGGGACAGATCCTAGTCTTACCCCGTCAGATCGGTTGACCTACGACTGCTAGACTGCCCCCTTTTCCCAGCCGTCCTTCGGCCTAAAACGCCAATCCCAAGGAGCCCAAGGAAAAGCCTGCTGAACGAACGAGGCAGCGCTCGCCCGGCTACGTAGGTATCGTAGCCACGTATACGGTGCTCGAATTTCAATAACGAATCGCAACGATCACTTTGTTGCCGGAGTCCGCGCGCCAAAGCCACATCGATACACAGCAATCACGCTAAGAGCAGATGTTATCCCCACCCAGAGGGTATCGGAGTGTACGACGACCACAACAGCGAGCGAGAGGCTCGAGGTAGGAGCAATGGTGCCTCTCGGTAGAATCAAGTCGAGGGGGTAGGGATATATAGCAAGCTCGAAACGCCACGACCACTCGGTCGTTTTGTGTAGGTAGAGAGACGCGTGACGTCACGCGTTCCAGCTGGTCGAGACGGCGGAGCCCGACGCCGACGCCGTTGTTGCCGAGCCCACGGCTCCTCCTGCGCTTCTCGTCGTCACACCGCCCCCCCCTCCCCGCCTCCTCCTCCTTCTCCCCCCTCCCACACGCAGCCCTCGTTTCATCAAATTCTCCCGCTCGGGCTTTTTTTCCTATCCCTTTTTTTTTATTTCCATTAAAACGCGCTCGAAAATATCGGCACCACCGTCGAGACGCCTCTACACCGCCGAGCGTTCGATTTCGTCTCGCCGTAGGAGTCCGGTCGAGTGCCGTTTCGCGATAACGAGCAACCGTCCACTGATAACAGTCGTAATGCTTTACAATGTCCCGTACCGATAAAATCTCAGGATATTCTAATTGTCGCGTAGCTCGTTTCACGGGGCGTTTCGACGGCGTAGATATTATGGGAAAAAGAAAAAAGAGTAGCAACGACCACCTGACAGATAACGCGGGCAACACGTGCGTTCGTCAAGCCGAGGAAATCGGACTCTACAGGATTTCTGGCTGCGACGCTCTTCGCAGTCCTTTCGAGACGGCCGGATGGTAAGGAGGCACCGCTCGAGCCCCTGTGTCTCTTTATCGGCTTTGGCGCTTTCAAAGTAAAGCCAAGTAAAGATAAGAGTAGCATTGCCCGTCCCTCCCACTTCGCTGAAATAATAGTTTACGGCAGACGAAAAAATAATCGAGAATAATCGAAAGCAGTTTCGAGATATTCCCATCGCTTTGACATCGATTCACTGTGTATTACCGTAGCACGGCAATGCCATGTTCTACGCGTGGGGCTTCCGTTCTCCCGTATCCGAATTCACAAGAGGGCATATAGACGCTGATGCCTCCTTTGGCGAGAGAGAAACAAGGGAGAGAGAGAGAGAGAGACACGCGCGTACAGAGAGAGAGCGAGTCAAAGTGAGAGGGCTACATTACTCGACTCGCATAGGAAATTCAGTACGTCCGCGGTAATTAAACGAAAAGGTTATCCATGCACGCGAGTCACGTATACGGCAAAGGCTCTCGAGGAAGAGATTCCTACGCGATATGTAGAAACAAGTAATATATATACATATATTTGCTGCATAAAGTGTGTATCGTTAAAGAATCAGGATGACGCGAAATAACAGTGATGCCGAAATGTTTTTGTTTATCATCTTGTAGCATCCCGCTAGTCCCC